ATTTCCATGAATAATTATAGAAGTTTTGTAATAAATTCGATTCACGTTTTTTGAAATTTATGATTATATCAAAGACACTTAAATATTTCAGGATGAAAATATCGATGCATAATATTAAAGGTCATTGATCGTACGAGTAAGTTGCCAATGATAAATAGACCAAAATATTTTCGACTATTTTCAAAATATCTTACATAATTGACGTATAATTTCGCACAAAATTGAGTGATCGGTACTGAGAAACTTTGCCCAAACTAAACTTTACTTCAACCAAAGGGGGTGGCCTACATCATATTAATGTGTAGTAAAATTAAAGAATTCTGTTATCTATGAATTCTAGGGTTAGTTTTATTTTGCTATTGTATTGTAATGCATTATTATTTACCTCCGATAATGGTTTGACTTCAATTCTGTACTTTGTACAAATGTATTAACAATTCATATATGTAAACTTTTACGATTTTCAAAAAAATTTAGAACTTTAAGTGAAATAAATAATCGAGAAAAATTGAGTTATGTAAAATATTTTGAATATTCAAAAATTTTAAATGTTATTAATTTAAACCACTTTAGGTAATGATTTCGAAATTCGAATCGAAAATTTTTCAACATTACCCGGACCACTGTCCCGGATGCACAATTTTCAAATTTCGTAAACTAGGCACGCATACAATAAAGCATTAATTATTTGATAATCTGTTGGTAAATTAGTGTATGTTGTTAAAAAATAATATTAAAACCCCTTTCCTTTTAAATCCACCAATGTGCGTATACATCGCGTTTGTACACATAATACAGAAGCCACAACTCTACGAACTGATTACGAAATGTTAAAAATAGTTTGTTTAGCTAAAAGTCAATGATTTCAATCATCACAGCGAGTAATTTATATAAAATGAAACTAATTGATTTATGAAAAACGTAAGTTTCTAAATAGACGATTCAAAATTTACAAATCACAAAAAATGAAATTGTTAGGTATTTTATTATGTTAAACTTGAGGACAATTTGCAATTTAATATATATTGACACAAAGTCGCGCACACACAAGCACATGCTTTCATCGAGTTACTGTTGCTATGAATCAATGCTACATATTGAGTATAATGAAATTCTTAATGCACTCACGTAATTGTAGTGATTTAATTTTAATGCAATCACATATTAAAGTCATGATAGACGCCAGCATTCTCACCATCACACATATAACTCATTTCTTCTACTGTACATCAGAAATTTGCCGAATTGACATCTACTTGCCTTTCGGCGTTAAATCTAGAGAAGCAAATGTATATCTTAGACTGTAAAATAAAACACAGTACTACAGTATTCCACCCAAACTGTCGAGCCAATCATGTGGCATTACAAAGTGAGCTCCGCCCACGCCTACCGGGATTGGACGATTCTTACAACAGAAGTCTAGATATTGAAGATATGTATCCTTCGTAACCTATCACGTTACAGTACACCCTCAATAATAGATTTGAAGAAATGAATTAAAGCATCAAGCATTATAAGTGTCTCTTGAAAAGAATTTACTTAACATATCTATATAAGCCGTTCTTTACATTCCATACATTCTGCATGATAATGAAATTAAAACTTTAGATCTACTGTTATCACCAGTTATTATGACATCGTATCTATTCAATTTGTAAACGATAGTGTATCGGACATTATTGATCCAGATAATAATTATTAACATTATTCGAATACAAATTTTGACCACGTAAAGTTAGAAATTTACTTTTGTATTTTGTAGCGATCGAGAAAAATAAAACGGAAATTCATCGTTCATACTCGCAAAATGAAATTGTTAATTACATATTCCATAAATTGTTTATAACAACAATAAACAAATCAGTGATATTCGATTAAAACCTATGAATTTTCACGATTGAGAGAATAAATTGTCATTTCATACTCGAAGTTATAATTAAATTCGTTTTGAAAATCGACTTTCATTTAAAGGAATGTTTAATAACACAGGCTTCAGATTAATATAAATCACACGCTAAATGGGCTAATAATATACCTAAAATCATAACGAGAGAGTTTGAAAAGTTAACTATTAAGGGTAGATATTACGACTATCTTACATAGGATTCATAAAATTTATCGATTGCATTATTTTATCGATGTTATCAACAATGATAGAATTAGTAATTGAACAAAATAACCGAACTTTTTAGTATACTTTCGAGTTCAATTTCCTAAAACTCGTAATGATTATTTAACTCCCTCCGTTCAGGTTGATTTTAATTTATATATGATACTTCGAAAACTTTTTACAAGTTCATTATTAATAATATGATACTCTGAAAATTGTTTATTGGGTTCATACTATGATAAATAATTAATTACAAAATTCGAATGAAGTCAGATATTAGACGTATTTGAGAACGTTACTTATTGAAAGTAATATTTTCATCGTTTGAGTTTGTTTTCACATAACAAAATACACCATGCAATTTATCCTGCACAAACATGAACTATTATGTTAAGTACACGAGAATTCATTTTTCTTACTTTAAATTTTATTGATTTGTGGTATGAACATAGGATGAGAGATTATGAGCTTCAATTTTTAATCAATGGTATATAATGTATTTGAATCACTTTTACGAGACTTCAAGAACTCATAATCTTGTCGATACAATTTTGTAAAATTGATGTATTATAACTGATGTGAATTGTATACATTTTTATGTTATTCGAACACAAACATTAAAAGCGCAGAGCACATGTTGCTGATAAATTTTTTATACAAAGTGTTCAAAATTTCATTCAGTAGTTTCATGATTTACATACACTATACAACATTTTTATATTGCTGCAGATCACTGTGGACAATTAGAACATATCTTGATTGATTATGAAACTAGGAATCAAAAGTACGTATTGATTATTTTGCACCTTTCTACTACAACGTTCGTAAGCGATAAAAAAATTAATGTCATGCATACACTTAAAATGTTATAATTTAAAGGGTTTGGCTATTCAGGGGCAAATTCGTATTCGAAATTTTTCATTTTCGTATACGAAACTCCAATTAACGCAAGAGATATCTAGGAAATGATGATTTTCGTACACGAAACTTAAAATATTATTAGCATTTCTTATACGAATTTTCCCGTAATAGACACTCCGTAATTGAAACTAATGAAAATGTCGTGTCATGGTGTTTCATTTATTATTTGAATGCATTGTTTAAAAAATAAAGATACCGCTGATACGGATATATAAAGGAAAACGATAAAAAATTATATCGATAAATAGAAGCCATTTTCGAGAGCATGTACGCACAATTCAAAATTACAAACAGAAAAACGAGTATTTTGAGAAAAATAGATAACCACTGGGTTAATGGGTTTACTAACACCTTCGTTTCCTTCCTTTCCGCCTATTGTTGTTTTCTATTGATTTGCACTGCACACAAGGACAATCGTTGATCGCGTTTTTCTTTTTTAAAAATAAACTGAATAAAATCAAACTCGATCGAAATTTTGTATAATAAAGCATCATAGTCATGCATAGTCATGTTTTGTTCGATAGTTGTTAATATTCATTTCCCTTCGTGGCATCTAGGAGAATTTAGGAAAAACTAAGCAACGATTTCGCTCAAAATTCTTATAGATTACATGAGAAAAATAGTGCATATTTCACATTTACACGTATTACTTCGACCTCGCAAGCTGTACATGAGCTTAAATGAGTTTGCTGTAGGTAAGTGGAGGTAAAATAAATGTACAGAAATATTTTTTACTTCATAATAATCATGAATCTAATAATTATATTGACAATCAAATTATTTATCTATAATGAAGGTACCCGGGCCACATCGATATTTTTCTGTCGCTATAGCTGGCTCTCAAGACAGGTACTTAAACTTGAATGCGAGGGTAAGCAGATGTCAATCAAAATTATTTTGTTATGATTTTTAGCTTGCGACATAATCTTCATCTCGTGTACAAATTTCAGAATGAGTACAATCCTCGCGTTACATAACGAAGGCTTGGGTTACAGGAAAACTCGCGTCGCCCGAGGTGTCGCGAGGCACGTCGAGCAAAAACTCAACGTAGTGACTGAGTGTCTTCGTCCACTGTCCTTGTTTACTGCGAATCCAAGTCGTTGTAATGTGAAGAACATCACCAAAATCTGCGACGGAAGTAATGTCTATCCCTTGGTGCAGAGCAGTTTACGGTAAGTTCATAGGAGTCGACAAAAAAAGCCCCGTTTAAAATAATTAGATGATTTTACACAAAGATTTTTTCGAATCTATGGTGATATTGCAGTTCTCCCCAAAGATTTCCTTACAGATTTCCACCAGGATTTTCACATATATTTCTACGAGGACTTCTACGTGGATTTCCACGAGGATTTTACCATGAAAATCCATCATTTTAAACATTGAGCGCTCTAACGCGGTGACGTTATCGAGAATATCTGTTCACGGAGGTTCTCAGTATACTGATGAAAATTATGCGAAAGTTTGTATACATGTTGATCGTTCGAGTCGCTTACATTTTGAGCGTTGAAAAAAGTGAACATCTAGTTTTCGTAATGAAATCAAAATTGAAGGTGAGATTATTAATCCGGACTACTTTGGACTAGAGTTATTCGTACAGAATTAAACCTCACGTTCCCATAAAAAAATCTACTAAATCTAAAAAATGAATCTAATTTTTTCTCTGCCTCTAGAGTTATAAATAAATCCGAACCTTCGTGAAAATTCTCTTTGTAAAGGATGAAATTAATCACTTCACCTGAGGGCGTAATCATTCATGTCTCAAAGACATGAGTCCCAAGCCCATGGACTTTTTCGTAGATCAACCGTAGAATCGACGTGCATAAAATAAATGTTTATTTAAATGTTAAAGTTGAGAAATTATAATTATATCGATCATCTATAAAAGATAAGGTCTATGGATTGGCGAGGAAAATAACAATATTCTATTAAATTAGTCAATTTTTATAACGTGTATATTATTAAAAATCTATTTTTTTTTCAATGTACATGTGGTATATAAAATAATTTTGTAGTTACAATTTTTAAAAAATAATTCCTTTCTCCTTAAGCTGAGACTCCATTTCAGAACGAGATCGCCCGTAGAATGCTTCTCTCGGATCTTTGGAACTTATTCGTGGACACTGAAAAAAAAAGTATAATAATGACCACATTATTGTTTAATCCCCATTTTAAGGTGTGAAATGATTTAACGAATTATTTTTGAGTTTTTAGTTTTTAATACATGCGATATCATTTCAATGTTCCAAATCACATTTAATAAAAAATACCGTGGAAAATTTACATTATAAACATCTACAGGTCGGTATTATGTCCATCGTCGTGTCTTCATCGAAGAATCAATTATGTATTCGTATGCCATACATTTTTCAAGTTTAACTTCTTTGGGCTCGTCGGGTATCGGACATCAATCCCATAAGTTACTAACGCCTCTAAAATTGACCTAGCTTTGTTTTGATAGAAGTTATGATTCCCTACTACGATCGCTTGCACAATTCTTCAGGAACGTTTTGATCACCTGAGTTTTAGTGGGTGAGTGTAAGGTATCTAACTGAATCCCAACGATCTGTTGCATCAGGTCGATCTGGCTCGCTACCCTATTTCTATCTCTTTTAAATTGGAAAAAACGAAATTCTACAAGGAAATAAATGGGACTAAATGGACATGCATCGGATTTCATTGCATTGCATTAGATGCATCGAGTCAACCTAATATGATTCACTACTTAGTTTTAGATACAAATTTTTTGCGAATTCCTTGCATATGAAATAAGTGATGTTTTACGATCTGCAATTTCGCAGAGAAATAGTTGGATTGCCCTTGAATAATACCATACCAAAATTTTAAAACCATGTATGGAAAAATGTTTAATTTAAGAGTCATTTTAAGGGTCGTCGACAAACTTATGCGATTTGTCTGGGCCTTTTGTAGATTCAGAACATTTCACAGGATTTTTGACTCATTTCATATGCACTTTTAACACGGCACATATAGAAGCGGGTCTAATTTTTATACTATTATTGATTATTTTTCAAAATATTCTGTATAGTCCTGCTACTCCAAATCTTCAATTTAGTTGGTTGAAACTTTTCTTCAGTCAAAACACCAACGGAGCGAAGGTAAAGAGAAGGGGGTGCTTACAACACTCGTTTGTGATGCAGCAAAGCATAAAAAAGTGAATCGAGCAGATATCAGCGTGGGTTGGGCACAATGAAAGTCCACAAAAAACCAAACCCCGCTCGTATCGACTTGCCGAGTCGATAAGGAGTCACTTCGACTACGGTAACTATCGTACCGCGTTACGATAAGGAGTTAAAGACTACCTATGCGACCGTCATTTTCCATACATTCAAATAAGCCTTAAATTTAGTCAAAAACCACGACTAAATTTTTAGAATTTTTTACCGATTCTCAAGGTTCTGTGTACTGGCGGATTTTTTAAAACTAATTAGCCGCAAGCGTGAGCGCGGACTTAGAAGCATTGAAGCGATCCGAATGAAACATTGGCTTAATTCATTTTATTATGAATGACCAAGCGGTCGTTATTTTTTTCCTTTTGTCATTAGCGCTTAACTACTACGGTTTTTTTCATTTGTGGATCCAAACACACTTTTGAATCTACGGCAGCGAGATGTTGCGTAACTTGAGAGCTACGGGCTCTCCAAGTTGTCCAAAAGTCCAAAAGATTGTCCAATAATAAATTTCAGACTTATTTTGATAGTAAAATAAATAAATAAAAATGAAAAAAATATATAAAAAATTCAATCCATACAGTCACTGAAAATTACTTCTATAAGTATTCTGTAGAACATTTACTAAATGATTTTCTTTAATAAGGGGTTTAAATGAAACAGAATTGATTCATTCAAATTTTTATTTTCAACTATTATAGGATGCGATCATTGGGTATATTAATTTTTTATTTATTATTATGTTTATCAATTGGAACTATAGGGCTATATATTTTAATTGAATATTCTTTGAAACAAAAAAATTTTTACTTACTTGTGCTAGGTTTCGAATTTTCAAAGCTTCATCCATAAAAGTATTGATGCGCCTTTCTCTATCGCCATGATCAGGATGAGTAGATAACCATGGAATTTGTTTAGGTTCAATGTCCAATTCTATTAGAGTACGCATTAAACCCCAAAACACAACAGCTTCTCTAACATCTATGCATGCCTGTAATTATTTTATATTAACAAAGCATGATTATAACAATAATAAATATATTTAATGCAAATATTAAAAAATTGTTACCTTTGCTGCAAGTAGAATTCCAACGATATCAGCTTCATTTTCGAGTGATCTGCTATATGGTAAATTACAGAAAATATTTACAATTGATTGACCTGTAAATGTAAAGTAAAGCGCATATAAGTCCGGAAATAAAGCCCATACGACAGCCAGAGGTATAGCCATAATCAAATCAATAATGATTCCTCTTGAAACCTGCTCATACTTAAAACAAATGAATCTATTTTGATTACTTTAGATACATTTTTATCCTTAGAATAAAGCATTGAAATTTAAAGATTAGACTTACAGGGTGGTTTAATATTGTATGAGCCATTTCATGAGCCAAAACAATTGCCAATTGATCATCATTTTCTGTTATATGTAATAAACCAGAGAATACAAACATATTGCCACCCTAGAGTAAGGAACAAATTTAATTTCAAAATATGATCTTTGGTATGTAGAAATTAGGCAAAGAATGTATAATTAGTTAACTGGTAAAACATAAGCATTTTTAGTTGGAGAATCAACTATAGCTAAGGTCCATGTCTTGTTTTGAAAATGAGGTAGATCTTTATTTGCATTTATTATTCTAGCAACAACTCTCAACACTCTGGTGTATACTGGATCATCTTTAGATATCAATGCTGATCCATATTGTTCTAGATGCTGAAAAAAAAAAACAGAAAATATTTAATTTAAAAAAAAAAATGGATCACAATAAATACTACTTACATTCTCGTACACTATTTGTGCAAGTTCTTCTTTCTGTGTATCACTCAACATGATAAATTGTGAGCGGTCAATTAATGAATCATATTTCAAATGAGAAATATAATAAATAAAAATTGAAGACAAATATAAGCCCAAAATTCCTAAAATATATTCAGTTACAAAGAGTTTGACAAGAATCGATGCTTACAAGTATTACCTAAGTAAATGAATTTTCTTTTATGAAACTTCTGCCAAAATATCTTTTTTTCTTCATCAGTCCTTGAAGTATACCACTTTTTGAATATTTTACCAAATAAAAATGCAGAAAGTCTAATTAGAGGTGTTATAATGACTGCAAACAAGCCATCTTTTTTTGGAGTAGTATGAAAGTACTTGTGTTGATTTTTTATAATTTTATCAATTTTATATACTTCATTTGAGTATATTGGAAGATGTCGCTTAAGAACACTATCACTTTTAAAATATGATGATTTTAGACGTACAGACGAACATAAAATTTTCCTAATATTATTGTTAGCAACACATCTGATAAAATAATTAATTTTTAAAATATACATTGTGATTCAAATTTAATCATGCCACGTGATACAGTTAATTTTAATTGTTTAAGCAAATTTATTTACGTTATTATAACTTAAGGGCACGCTATGAGCTCGTGCATAATAAATAATAGTTTGAAATAGTTGCTATTTTGATGACAGACATTGCTTTTCAATTTATAAATAATCCTGAAATAAGCTAACGATCTTGATGGGTGAGAGTAAAACGTGTACTTGGGTGTTATAGATTTATGGTTTTCATTGTAGTTCAACACACTACTGGTACGGTCATTTGTTTATGTGTAAATGAAGAAAATAAATAAACTAAAATTAGTAGGTTATAAACTGTATAACTTCGTTAAAAATAGTGACATTTTTCAGACGTCATTTTCTGACATTATTACCGATGTTTTCTAAGACGTCATATGAAGTGTCAGCATTTGAAACTAGAATTATTTTCTTTAATGGAAAAGCTTTCGTCATTTATGATCAAGCCCGAAAATATAAGAAAATCTTTTGGATTTTTTTTAATATATTTTATATTATTATTGGATTTTTTATTATATATAAGAGGGTTTCGTTTCTGAGCATCGTGTTTGTAGGTGAAATTAATCATAAATGATATTTGAATTTTTTAATTGAGGCGTTAGTTTTAGAATCGATCAGTTTTATTCTGATTCGATTCTGATTTATCAAATTATAATCAAAATTCAGTTGCAATTATTGCTTCCGACCAAGCATTACAACAATTCTTGAATGAATCGAGTCTGCTAATGTACAGTAGCTAACACTTTTCTGAGAATTTATAAGAGTGTTAGTTTTTAAGTCAATAGTGTAGAATTATCTACGTTGAATCTAAGCAAAATAAAATCTACGTAATAAATATTCACAGATAGTTATACATGTGAATTATATTAATGAGGAAATTTTATTCAATCAAGAAAATGCTGATATAATATTTTTTCAGCTTTTCGACGCTGCTGTCTTTTTTTAATATGATCCTATAAAAGCTTTCGATCTTTATGTTATTCTACTCGCAATTAAGCACCTAAAACTTCTCGAACTTTTGGAATATATATATTTAATTGAGTAACAAAAGAGGGCGCCGTAACTGCTGAATAAAAATAAATGCCAAAAGGTCCCAAGCAGATCCAGAATCGCGCCAGCATGCGTGTAATGAGTAACTGACCAAGGCATTATTGGCATAAAAAATAAGTGATTTGTAAAACACAGTTGCAGTATTGCCTAGCTTCATTTATGTATTTATTAATTTCCCATAAGAGTTACGAGTCGGATATTGCAGTTGATAGAAATTAACTAAATCTTCGATTCATAGGTTCAGTTTTATCTCAAATAAGTGTATCACAAATTAAATATTTTCCATCATCAAATGAATGAAGAAATATTTTGAGATCATCTTTTAATGAATATTAAGTTTTAATAAAGTGATTCTATATATAAAATATACTATTTATTCGTCGCAATGTCCAATGAGCTATCTTCAACTGTTCCGCCAGTAAAAAAGGTTAAATTTATGATTTTACAGAAATTTATTGTTGATGTTTGGAAATTTAATACAACACAAATTTTCGCCTTGTTTTCAGGTATCCAATGAAATTCGATATGACTGGTACCAAACTGAGACACATGTCATTGTGACTATATTAGCAAAAAATGCACAAAATGTTAACATTGAATATAATGAATCTATGGTATGTTGTATGAGTACATTTTTATTAACAATATTTCAGATTAATAATTTCATTTAATTATATAGATCAATTGTTACATAATTCTAGATAAACACTTCAGCCAAATTACCTAATGGAGCTGATTATAATTTGAAACTTGATTTAGCTCACAAGATTGTTCCGGAGCAATCTCTCCACAAAGTGTTCCCTTCAAAAATAGAAATAAAATTAAAAAAACAAGATGGGTATAGGTGGTCTGCCTTACAACAAAGTTCTGAACAGCCACAATTGAAGCAAATTTCTCCAAGTAATTATTAATAAAAAGTAGTTTAGGTATTAAAACATTTTTTCTGACGACTGATTTTTTCTAGATATTTCAAATATGAATCAACCTCCCAAGTACCCAAGCTCTAGTAAAAAACCTAAAGATTGGGATCAAGTAGAAAAAGAAATTGCCAAACAAGAGGCTGATGAGAAAACTGATTCTGGAGATGCCGTCAAGGAAGTCTTGGAAAAAATTTATGGACAAGGATCAGATGAAGTACGTCGAGCAATGAACAAATCATTTGTAAGTTTATATAAATTTTTGAATCATTTATGTTTACATTAATGTTTATACTGAACGATATATTTTTAATTTAGCAAGAATCTGGTGGCACAGTACTGAGTACAAATTGGAAACAAGTTTGTGAACAGCCAGTTGAAAAACGGCCTCCAGATGGATTGGAGTGGAAATCGTGGCAAACATAATTTCCCTCAAAAACTATATTATTAAAATATTTGGCAAGAAAACATCAGTTGTAGAAAATAAAAACAAAGTTCATGTTCATTTCTTTATTTATTATGGTAAAGCATATTTGATATCACACAAATAAAAGCTAAAATATTTGTATAAATTATTGTCTCTATAATTCTAAAAATTCTGTCAACAAAGATATCTGCAAATTTATTAAATCTAAAATACAAAATACATATATTTTTTAATATATATTACAGTAAAATTTATTTACATTTATTATAAATAATTTGAATATTTAGCACCGTTAATATTTTTTATGAAAATTATTTTTCAACTGAAAGATCGTATTAAATATATAAGGCATACCGTTACACCCAAGTAATAGCTAGTAACTTTGATTTGTTCCATATCTAGATAAGGTGTATGTGTAGATGCAACTTCATAATCCTGATGAGGAACATTGCTTATTTGTGATTCGCTAACATTATTGATTTGAAGCGAAGTAAGAGCTGCAGTAATATTCTCTTCTTGTACATCAATTTTCTTTGATATCAAAAGAAGTTGATCATTCAAGTTACTTTCTATTGAATTTTGTGCTTCTGATATTAAATTCTTCATACTCGAGATTCGTATATTATTATAAATAATTGATCCAATCAACGAAAATATGGCTAATGATGCTGAAGCCAAAATAGATAAATATTTAAATTGTTGTGTATTTATAGCTTGACAATCATGATATTCTTTGATAGCCGTTGCTAATCGCGTAAAATAATCTTTCTCTTCTCCTTCTATTAGTTCTAACTGCTCAGCTAGTTTCAAATGTTCTTGCAACTTTTTATTTTCTAAAATAGTGAGTTGCACATATTTGCTATCGTTTCTTTTAGTTTGAATAAGCTCACTATATATATCTTTTAGCTTTTCAGTGACAGAAGCAACTTGTTGAGCAATGTGCCGACGTTGATCTTGACACTCAAAAAGTTTGTTCTGAATAAAAATCACATGATTTTTCGCAGCTTCAATTTTGTCCATCCCAGTTAGTTGCTGATACCAATTCCAATAGTTCATCAAATTCCTGGGTAATGGTCGAGAACTTTGTAGATCAACAATATCAGGATTTTGAGTAATAGAAGACCCATTCAATTGCTAAAAATAAGAGTAATAATTAAAATAAATAAAAAGAAAATTAAAATGAATCTACGAAAAAGGTAATGATACATTACCTTCATTAAATGACCTAATTTAGTTCTAGCACTATTCTGTATAATGGAAATCTGTTTTGAAACATTTTCTGTAGCTCCACCAACACTGTACGGAAAATTTCCCTTAAACAATTGGCTGGATAGAGACTTGAGAGCTTTTTTCGTGTTACCTGCCATTACAAATGATTCGAACACTCATGGATCAAACTTAAGCAAGTACTAACTCCGTCTGCCAAAACAATATTACCAAATGTCATGGAGCAGAAGATACCGGCATATTATGACTCGGCCACGTAATAATTATTTTCAATTATTGCATAACGATACGCGGCTAATACTTGCTGAACTGTCAGAAATGCAATATTTTTTTGTAGTGTTTGTTCGGTTCTCGATATTTGATTCACTGATGACGAAGAATCAATGATTTAAGAAATATCTGATACTTCTTGAACGAGCTTTTAAACTAGTGGCAAGTACTTTTAATTTATTATTTTGAACTTTAATACACAATAAACAACCAATATGGGTCCACCCGCTGACCTACTGTGGTCCGTGCATATGCAGCATGGGTCCTCGTTTAAATGGAATAAACAAAAGCGACATCTGTATTTTTAAATACCTCACTCGCTCATTTCAATGCATGTTAATCCACCCCCGCATTACGAAAACTAATAGTCTAATGTTTTTAAAAATAATTGTTGTATTTCAAAGAGTTCTCTTTAGCCCCACAAGAAGTTTTTTCCAAACTTTACAGAATCGCACTCAAACACAAGTTTTTCCAGCCAAGCTGGTATTTTGAATAATAAGCTTCTGCAATAAAAATGACTGGTCCGTGACATACTCCTTGACTGATTAGTATTCACAGAAATTCTAAGAAATAAATCGTCTGACGACTGACACTGTTCAGCAGACTGTCATCTGAACGCCGGCGAATAATTTTTTTTGTAAAAATCCTGAGTTGTTTCAGGATCCTGAACGGATATTCTATTGAGACATTAAGCGAAGTGAGTTATTTGCACAGGTCTAAAAATAATCTTCGAATTAATTTACAGGACATATTAAAAAGTTATGAATGCATCTCTACATAACCAAAGTAAATTATAGTGCATGCATTGTTGAGTTCTATTTATTTACTTTTGTACTTCACTAATAAGTCTTGGCATTCTCGGTCCTTTTTGTAATAATAGAACTGAATTTCAAAGAATTAAATTTTATGACAAACTAAAACTAATACAAGACACTGCCAAATAATCAAATTATACTCATACCCATAAAATAAATTTTATACTTGTCTAATAGAAGGATACAACTGATCCTTGATTGATTGAGGCTGTACAATGAATTATGAATAGTAACTCATTCAAATTTGTAATAGGTTTTTTTTAATATAATGCAATGTCCTGATGAAAAATATCTTTCATACATGTTACAGAAATTTGACAACAACTTAATTCATCAACATGGTTTTCCAAACTTTAGCACTCATGACTAGAGCTAGAGGCCCTGATGAATTCTGGCGGAAAAGAAGAATATTTCGATTGAGTTCTGTAAGTACTTACTTAAAAAAAACGAACATAAAGTTACATATTAAAATACTTAAAATAATATTCTTTTGCAGCATTTCAGAGGACGATTCAGAAATTGTTACAGTATGGCTATTCGAGCTGTACACAGATCTCTGCAATTTGCGACCAAAGGCAGAGATGCAAAGTACGACATAATAAGACAGGTAAGAAAACAAAAACAATAATTTTTGAATAAATATTAATGTTTTTTATCCTTTAGATTTGGATGAATAGAATTGATTCTGCAGCAATGGAACATGGCCTTACTTACAAAGGTGTAAAAGAAGGTTTGACACGATCTGAAATTCATTTAAATCATAAAAGTCTAGCTGATTTAGCTGTTTGGGAGCCCAGAACTTTTAAATCTCTTGTCAACATAGCTCATGAGAGGGTCAAACAGGACGGGCTCAGGATGATGGGTTATTTAAAAGCACCTGCGCTTGTTTTAAGCAAAGGAAAATGAAATGAATTGTACATTAGCTTATAGTTTGTTGAAGCAATGAATGCTATCAATGCTCTTGTTCATTACTTGTACGATAGTTTCATCATTTAAATATAAGATAAACTTTGTTATTTATTGAATGGTCTAGTGTCAATTCATTTTTCAATGCCATTTTTAGTTATCAGGATACAGCAAATATTGATTTTCTCAACTAGCAACATTTATTTACGATATACACAGTAACAAGTCAGTGCAACATAATTTCTTATGAATGGAAATTTTTACTGTTTTGCATTTATAATTTTTACAAAATCAGGTTTCAAGGAAGCTCCTCCAACCAGAAAACCATCAATATCTTTTTCTTTTGCGAGATCTTTGGCATTATCAGCAGTAACTGATCCTCCGTATTGAATTCTTAATGATTCTGCAACAGCCGGGCTAACATTTGCAGCAAACCATTGACGAAGTTTATCATGTACTTCTTGTGCCTGTTGAGGCGAAGCTGTTTTGCCAGTACCAATAGCCCATACTGGTTCATATGCCACAACAACATTATCCCATGATTTAATTTTATCAGCAATAGCCTTGGTTTGTCTGAACACTACCTCTTCAGTTTTTCCAGCCTCTCGTTCTTCTAATTTTTCTCCAATGCAAGCTATGACCTATAAATACAAACAAAAGTAAATTTTTACATTTTGTCAGTAGTTAGTGTAAGAAATCAATTACAAATATTTACTTTTAAACCAGCTTCTAGAGCATGAGCAACTTTTTCAGCTACCAATTCATCTGATTCCCCAAAAACATTTCGTCTTTCAGAATGACCAATTATGACCCATGGAATGCCATTATCCACTAACATTGCTGGACTTATTTCTCCAGTAAATGCTCCTTTTGGTACTTTATAACAATTCTGAGCACTGATACTGACATTAGCAGGCAAAATTTCTTTAGTGTATGATAAATAAATGGAAGGTACTCCAACAACTACCTCTGTAATATAAATAAGGTAACTTAAATGCTAAGTTCTTTTTTAATCATTTATTAATATTAATTTTAATACAAAAAAATACATTTAAAAAAAAAACTAGTTTATTTTACTAATGTGATGGTTGGCCATAAATTACTGACTTCCTACACTTAGTATTATATACTACGTGCCAATTTTAAATATGTAGTACGTGAAAATACGTAATTTTAAATGTTTAAGCAATTAACTTTTCTCATATAAAAAAGAAGGAAAAAGATAATTAAAATTGAATTATTCATGATTAGATGTAACATATGGAATTCTTAAATTGTATGCGGGGATACTTACCAACATTAGGATCAAGAGGTCCAGCTTTTAAGAAAGCAACAATATCATTTATTTCTTTTTTGTTTCCATTCATCTTCCAATTGCCTCCCACTATAAATTTGCGACCCATTTCTGCTAAGATTTTATAACGATTCGACAAAATGTTCGAAATACTAAGCTTCGTTAATTCACAACTATAGGCTAGAGTGAAATGTCAAAGAATTCGACTTTGATGCGGTCCGTAGTTATCTCGAATGATTAAATTCTTGCTACAATTCTGTCATTAAAGATTCATTAAAGAGCACTTGCGCAGGCCTGTCGATATATAAAAGCTAGGTTAAAAGTTTAAAACCATTATATAATGATATCACTGTGTAAGATATATTTACCTAGCGCCGAGTGCTGATCAAGCTGGGTCGATAACAGCAGACAGCTTTTGCATTTCGGAAGTTGAACGCATCGTTACGTGACCGGTCACATTACTTTCTTTCGCGTCTGATAGTGTTTTTGGCCAAGTTTGATGAATTATCATAAACGCATAGTGACTCGAGAAAACTGTTCAAAAACAGACGAGAAGTGTCAAGTAAAGTAAAAAATTTTAGAGAAAAACAAACGGAAGGATTGAAAAGAAAAATTTTTTCAGATCGATTATTTATTTTTGGTTATTTGGCTATGGCTTTATTGGATTTTTTATGCGTTGAAAAGGCAAAAAAAGTAAATATCAAAAAGATTCGATTCATCATTGGGTTAAAAATCGCTTAAAATGGAAAAAATATCGCATAAAAATCCAGATCGAAATTTATTAAATTGATTCTTTCGCAGACCGATTTGGAGTTTTTTTCTAAAATTTCAGACGATATTCAGTAAAAAATCTCACAAGCCTTTTTTTCGAAAATCTCTCGAAGCTGAGCTAGGAATTTTTAAAATTTCTAATAGAATTTTGTAACATTTATGACCTTACAAACAATTTACACGACAACACTTAGTAATTTTTTTTTGGCTATTCGATCTCACTGAGAATCGGCATTACGTATCATACACTGTACTGTGCGGGTACATCATACCTGTATATTGTGTTGTTGAATTTCCATGAGTAACATTGTAATAAAGTCCTTGAAACTCGTACATTGATTTCCCTTTGGAATATTCATTATTTTTTAAATTCGTAAAATACACATTCAAATGTAATAACTATTTTATAGAGATCGTTCATACAAAAAATAATCTTGTTATAAGGCTTATTTATACTGTTATAGATTTATAGTTGAATAACACGCGCAGCTAATAGTAAAAAAACGTCTTTCAATTTATTATGTTTCAATTTGCATAAGAGTCCCATAATAAAATAACATTTAATCGTCATGATCGATGCAACCATTATGCTTGAGTAAAATAATTGAGCAACATCTGATGGTACTGATTCCACTATAGTATATTCGACATAAGTAACCCGTAAGTGAAAGTCGCAATGTTCGTAAGTAAACGTGAATCATATGTATTTTTGCGCAGTTTTATTTCTTTTTTTTTTGTTTTTGTGTTTTATTAATCATGTATTCTTCCAACAATTAATAGTTATCATGGAATATATTTTTTTTATAAAACGATATTATAAGAAATCGACTATTTTTGTGGAATAAAATAATAAAATAACAAATAAAATGTTTTTGTTTTACAGTTTTAACGATATATTCTCGATAGATTACTTACATCTTTGAAGACAGTGTTTGTTAATGAGTTCGATCGATATTTTATCATCTTTCCATATCGTACCATAACATCCTCCAAATTATCACTATGGTAGGTTATATCTTATTTTAATTTTAAAAGTTAAAAAAAAAGATCATCGACTAATTATAATAGTTTGAATCCATTACAAGTATAGAACCTCAAATCATTAGTACAAACTTTTGTAAGATGAATTCCTCTAAAAGTCCCCTTCAAAAAAACCTGTATAATAGGAATTTTTATTTGTAAAAATAAAACTTGCGCTCCACGAATTTGAATTTTTTCGTTGAAACGCTTACGTTACATACATTTTTTCAACTATAATATGAAAAGTAGACCTATATTAGTATGAGCTAATATTTTTCTTAATAAGAGCTAATAGTTTTCTATACAAACCATTACGATTATATTACGATTACAGTTTTACAATTACAATTATAGATTTCCGATTTATTTCAGTTACAATAAAATGAATGATTGATTCAGTAAAAATGTGATATTTATTAATGAAATATTCTCTATCTCTCTGATAGACATATGATTGGATCGTTCCAACCTATCAAATAAAAAATTCGATCATGCCAATTATACTTATAAATCGAAAAAAGTTAACAGCTGCCTCCTAAAAATTTTTACTTCAATATGAGGTTTTACTGTACTTCAAAATTATTATTATCTAAATATCGAAATTGATAAATAGCTAATTTCAAGCTTTCGTACATTATTTATTTATGCAGTAACTAACATATGCTGTAATAACTGCTGAAAAATAGCATGATTTCGTGAACTTTCGTTGCAGATTCTATTCATCATAATGAGTATTTTGATACAATCCTTTGCCTACGATCCAGAAGATGAATCATTGAAAAATATATTGCTACCTCAAGGACACTTCGAAGCATTCTATTTGAAGGGATACGAAGATGATGTAGCACGCCCTCCACATTTGCATGGCTCGTTCCACAAATATAAGAATCCGGCTTTAATAAACGCCCCGAATAGTGCTGCTTACGGTTTTCGTTTTGATGGCAAAAGAAGATTCAACTACGATTGATAACGTTTATGAAAAATGAGAAACAAATTTTCAGAAAAATTTTTATCTCGTAATAGTATTAATAAACTTATTTTTAATTATTGTGTATATTATTATTGTGTATGAATAATATACATTGAAAATGTTATCAAAATATGTTAGTTTCATATCCATTTCAATTCATTACTATTTCTGATCATTTTTCATACAAATGTATGATCGATATGATCCAAGAATAATCTCGAAATTTATGTTAATTTATAATCAAAGATACGAAATTAGCTCATTTCTCTTTACAGATATATTTAACTATGCCCTCTCATGCATAAGAAATTGCATACATGTTACGATTAATGAAAATTATAAATAAATTACAGAGCAGAACAAATAAATTCGTTCAATGTGCTTATTTCTATAATTTTTATCGATAGTTAAAAGTTTTTCCTTAATTAAATTATTGCTGCTAATCCTAAATCTGAGATTGATTTTTAAGAGAAAAATATCTTACTTTTGACTTATTTGCATTACAATTGAATCATGTAATTTTTTTTTGGTGATTGCAACAAAAAAAAATTGTATAGAAAATCGAATGCTGAATATACAGTAGATGCCGCTTATATGAATCTCGCTTAATCGAATCCGCCGTTTATACGAATCAAAACGCTTGGTCCCGATTTCCCTCTATACTTTTACATGTTAATTAAAAGTCCCGATTTCAGTATAATGGAATCAAAACCCGTTTATACGAATCAAACGATATTGAACCGTCATCAAGTAAACAAATATAAAATTCGAAATTCACCATGCCTGGAAAAGATTTAACGTTGCTCCAGAAGAAAGAGTTACTAAAACAGTACGACTTGTTCGAAAAGTGCAGTCAACGTGAAGCAGCAGCCAAATTAGAAGTTTCACAGACGCAACTCAATAGGATTTTGAAAAATCGTCATGACCTAGAAGCGGCTAACATTGAAAACGGAAGTTTAAATCGTAAAAGAAAAAGGTGTGGAAAAGACGAAGATGTTGAGAAAATTCTTAAAGTCGTTCAAAAAATAGTCCGCACTAATAAGAAGCAATCAAAAATTGATGAATTTTTTGTAGTAGCTTCCTCCAAGCAATAAGTATTCCATTGACGCGTAATAAAATTTGAAAAACGGTTAAATTTGACAAACCTATAAACGTTTTTTTTTATTAATATTTACAATTTCTTACTGCATCGTTTAATTGAATCAGCCGTTTATACGAATCAAAACGTCTGGTCCCATCGTGATTCTTATAAGCGGCATCTACTGTACCAAACTATTCGTGTGCTCTCTCTTTATGTATAAAATGAGTTGAGTGTGTTGACATGAAGCAATAAGGGTGAAATTTTCGTTGTGAAAATAAAAAATTGAGTATACTATTTTTTCTCAATAGACAATAATGCGATTTATAATAGAAAAGTCATAATACCTGTTTTGTGATATTCATCTTTTACAGTTATTTTCTTTCTTTTTTTTTTTTATGGAAAATGAAAAACTCCGCAAGAAAGTTGACGTGAAATATATAGAATGTCCAGAAATTCATTTTAATCTTCTGTATGTGCGATACGGAAAAATATTCCGAAGAAGATTGTGAAAAAATGCTAGATACAATATGACAAAACCGGATGTGATTGCTCAAATGCGTAATGAAGCGGTACTGTCGCTGTGATCAGGTCCCTGTTGAATAAAATCATTGGATTTCCAGATGAAAAATTCACGATGAATACGTGATCGGCTGGTGATTGATTTTATACCAGTTCGAGTCGTAACACTCTCAAATCAGTGTATTTTTTTACCCAAATGACGAGGATCAGCGCTGCGAACTAACAGTGGGAAGATATGAGCAGCCAAATTTACGGATTATGGTTTAACACAAGGTAAAATTACAATTGATTGCGGACAACAGGTGATATCGTGGCTCTTTAGTCTACGCGAACCTTCGAAATGAGCTCGATTCTGTTTTCGTGTCTGAATCATAAAATCGGCGCCAAATCAAATAAAACGTACGGTATCTTTTGTTTTTTTTTACTCTTTTTGCTATCTTAATTGCTACGGATGCTCTCAAACAGTTAATAAGTAATTTTTTTGTCGATCATAAGTTGAATATTTTACCTCTCTCTTATAATTCAAGAATATTTTCGATTTCGGTATCTATCGATAAGTCAGGATATTTAGTTTCGATAACTAGTTTTTAGCATCCGTCGTCCGTTCACCTCAGGCCGTGCTGTGAGTGCTGTGAGCTGTCGCTGGCAGTACTGCACTCACATACACACAAACAAACTCACATATATAAGTAGATTCTCTATAATTCTACATGAACTGACAAAAACACTGTACATAGACTCTTATGTGTCAATGATATCAACAAATTTTGAATTTTAGTGATGAAGATAGTTAGTAGCGTGAATAACAAATTATATTGCTCCAAGTATTTTGAATCTTTACAGTTATTTTGATGAAAGTACAATTGTCAGTAAAGTTAAAGTTAATTACGTTTTTTGTAAACTTTTTTTAATTTATCAAGATGATAGTATCACAGGATATGTAAATTGTAAGTCAAAAGAAAACTGACCTCAAGATTATTTCAATATTTGAATAGATAAATGCCAAAATGGATTATGATTACTTAATCTCTCAAAGAGAGAAAGATATCCATAATCGCTGCTGCAGTAAAAAACTTTGGTGTATTAAGGTATTTTTCTTTTATGTCACTCAAAAATTTTAAGGAAATAATTTAAAATTATTTTAATGTAATTTGCAGGACATATGTGGTATAATTTGTGCAATCCTCACATGGTTATTGATTATTTATGCTGAATTTGTTGTTATGGCCGTAATTCTCATACCTAAAATTAATACTTTTTATTCCACGTTGAACATAGCCATATTCCAGACATTAACTTTCCTTGCATTTATTTCACATATAAAAACTATGTTTACAGACCCTGTAAGTTTTATAACTTCTGTAATTAAAACAAATTTATAGTTAAAATCATAATAATGAAGTTTATTGAATTCATTATTATAGGGTGCGGTACCCAAAGGCAATGCAACAAAAGAAATGATTCAACAGATGGGTTTTGTAGAAGGACAAGTGATATTTAAATGTCCTAAATGTTGTTCTATTAAACCTGAAAGAGCTCATCATTGCTCTGTGTGTCAAAGATGTATAAGAAAAATGGATCATCATTGTCCTTGGGTAAATAATTGTGTGGGAGAAAATAACCAAAAATACTTTGTATTATTTACTGTAAGTATAATTCAATAATTAAATTCAATAGTATAATCTTTTTTCATTATTTAACATTAAATAATTTCAGTTCTATGTAGCTGGAATATCCTTACAGTCATTAATGTTGTGCGTTCAACAATTCACAACTTGTGTACGACAAGAGTGGAAAGATTGCACCACATTTAGTCCTCCAGCAACAGTAATTTTATTGTTATTTTTGACATTTGAAGCTCTTCTTTTTGCAATCTTTACAGCGGTCATGCTTGGTACTCAGTTACAGGCCATTTGGAATGATGAAACTGTAAGTTTGAGAAAGAGTTTAAAATATTGTAATACTTATGCAATTTTTTATTTTGCAGGGTATAGAACAATTAAAAAAAGAAGAAGCTCGATGGGTTCGTAATAGTCACTGGAAATCACTTCAAGCTGTGTTTGGTAGATTTTCCATCGCTTGGTTCTCTCCATTCACATCTCCTCCTAATACTAAAAACAAATTAGATGCTTATTTATACTCTGTTTGATTTTGGTAAAAATGTAATTGAGTATGAAAGAATGATCATAAACTGATAATAAGTTTAACTAATTAATATAACATTGTGATCAAAATATTATATTTACTACAAATTGTAAAAAGATAAAATGTACATAAATAATGTAAAAATAATATACTGAAAATGTTTGATGTCCACAGTGTATATGTACAAATGTGTGCATGAATTTGATGTAAGCTTCTTTGTTTATTTTTTAAAGTAAAATTTATTTAGGAAGGGCTTGACTCCCTTGAAATTGACCATTTTTACTTACTAATAAGCATATCAAATGTCTTTGATGACTGATTTATTTGCAACTGTCATTGCATAATTCAAATCATTTATTCAAATAAAAATGAATATATTTATTTTTCTTTGTTCTTTTAATGTAAAATGTTACCATGTAATACTCCTACACTTCTGGAAATAGAGCTTGATAAATTGACAAAACTAAAAAATCATTTGAATCATTAGTTTAAACTGATGGTTCAAGTGATTGAAAATTATTTTAGTTTTTGAAGCTTATACAAAAAAATAAAATAAATTACTCATTTTAAAAGTGAGGAAATTTACTAATCAACGGTGCTTTTTAGAATTTTTACTTACTTGTATGCAATGAGGTGCAGCAATTGGTCAAAGTTTAAAATTATCTTTAGCATGTTTACCTACCCTATTATAATGCGCGTGATAATTCGAAAATTTGGCATGATACAAGCATCTAACAATACACTTGCTCGAGTTTAATTTTATAATAACTCAAAGTGTAAATGCAGCGAAATAAGACCTTTATTCTGTATGTTAGCCCTATATACTATTATTATTATTGTCGCGTACTTTAAAACGGAGTTAGCCCCTTTTACGATGTATTTACGATTTGTGTTGTTGCAGAATTGAATACCTTAATTATAGTGTATAATCTTGTGAAGTACATTAAAAATTAAAACTAAACAATTTGAGACCTGAGTTAATATTCTCATGGATCTAATAGAGCTCAAAGTTGGATTGTACATTTTTTAAAAATAAATTTAATTGTACCCTAGCATGATTATTCGGAAAGAATATTAGAATATGTGTTTCAAAATTGGTAAAAAAATTCAATTTTGCTTCATTCCAAAATAATGTCTTTATTCGAGAAACTTCATGTCAAAAAATCAAGTTGTTTGTATTCTAACGAACTCGTATTTACGACCTTACAAATATAATTTATGACCAAATCACCGCTGAATTAGAGAAAACATCTTAATAGCATCATAAAAATTCATGGATTTTCTACGTATTTTCGTGACATTTACAAAATACGTATGATCGTGCACCATATTTTGACCTATCACGATTCGCGAGCTATAAGCATTGAATATATCAACGCACGCGTCGGCAGTGCTGGGCAGCGTCGGTAACTTGAAGTTCCAGTTACACTAAATGACACTGCGTAGTGCGTATATACTCTTGACGAGTAAACATATCGAATTCCAAAACAGTTAAAGCAATCAAGACAGTTTTTTCATAATGAAAAAACCATTACAACTGTTTTATTAGAGCGTTATAACGTGATCAGGTTGACAGTAGATAAAAATCACCGATATATAACCTGGTTCACAAGTTTTCGAATTCGTCAAGGTCAAATTTGCATAGAGATATATATATACACACAATTGATGTGTTTATTCATTTTGATAACACAGTATATAGCAGTAGCGACTATAATAATCTAAATCAGCTACCACTACAAAAACCGATTGCAGTTACATGATTTTTGATAATATCTGATCAACAAACTTGCAATGTGATACATGAGTATGTGAATAGGAATTATAAAAATACATAAAAGCATCTTGCAGTGCCTTACATTGAGTTTTCTGCAAGTACGTTGCTTGAATTTGGAGCTCCAAGGATTAGATGTAAGTCTTAATAATCTATGAAACATAGATATTTTACTCAATAAGCATGTTGACTTGATTTTCAAATTCATTGAATATTTTTTATTTTTATTACGTATTATAACATGAATTCTAAATGAAGTGCTTTAGACAAAAATTTTATAGCATTATTTGTGTCAACGCAATTATTCATACATTTTAAAATTTGTATTTCAAGTATACTAGATTTTAGATGTAACTAGAAAACTCTCATTGTTTAATGATTTATTTAACAATTTTGAAAAATAATAATTTTCTTTTCAGTATTTTGAGCGTTTGTAATACTATGGTACAAAAAATCCAAAAAGAAAATGAAGAGAAGCCAAGTCAAGATATCGTTCAAGGTAAAATTAAAATATTTTTTTATCAATAAAATAACATGAGAAATTGTCAAGTTAGCTTTAAATAAAACCAAATTCATTAGACTAAATTATTTAAAACTCTGTTTTTGTCTACACGTACAAGTTATTCCACCAAATATTTATTCATTTTAATGTTGAGATTCATATGTCAGGTGATTTGATTTTGTATTCAACCACTCACAAGTAATGATCTTGATTTTGACATACGCACTGCACTTGAATAAATTAAAAGACTTTAAAATATACTGTCCGATGACAAAACAGATGGCTTCTATATTAAGCATTTGCATTTACTTCCTATTATGCTGGAATTTCAAAGAATATCGATAATGAAGTTACACTCAAGTAATATTAACAACTCATAATTTGAAAATAGATAATTTTCAAAAAATTTTAAATGATTTTAAACGATGAAGTATAATTGATTTTATAATCAATGTGACATTTTTAAATTAATTTTTTTAACTTTTCTATATAATTTAAACCTATTGTGGGTTGTGGGTCTTTCATTATTTTTTGCAGCATGTCAAAATTAGACAGAAGACATCATTTTCGTTATCAAATCAATAAGAATCACCTAGAATTCATAGGAACATCCTTTTTCTATCGGTACCGATTTTTTTTTACTTTTATAGCGTCTAAGAAATATATTGAAATTTCTAATGATTTTATTTTTACATAAACCATTCAATAGTAGAGACCCGGATATTTTTTGCTTATTTTTTCCTTCAAGACGTTCCTTTCCGAGCTAGAGAATCGCTCAGAAGTCTACATTCCTTCAATTATCAGGCTCACTCACTTGCGCGCTCGATTTTCATAGGCTATCCCCCCTACCGAATGTCTTACGAGAAGTTTCTCAATAACAAATTATTTTCATTTAAAATTATACAAATTGCTAAGAACTTTGTCAAATATTCTATCATTTTGGAGTTGAAATAAACATACATTATATTTATAGATGAAGTAACTACATCTGGAGAATCAATGAACCAAGTTCAGGCTCGTCAAGAAGAGGCCAGACAAAAAAGACGTAAAAAGAAACGTACTAGCTCATCTATATATTCAACATGTTTCCAAGGTAAGGTTTTTTTCACAAAATTTACCCAATAGTTTCTGTAGAAAAATTAATCTTAAAGTTAGGTGAAAAATCACGTTGAATCCGTGCTAAAAATGGGATTTTCTATCTCATTATTTTCGTAATTTCGTCGCAAAACTTGCGATTTTTTCGTAATCAAGTTCGAAGTTCTAACGAATCGTTTCATATAATACACCAAATTTAATTAAAAGAAAAATAGCCATTCCTAAGATCAGAAATCAAAAATTGATTTCGTGAGCGAATCCACAGAACGTAGCTGCTTTTTGGATACCGTGCACTGATAACAAAATTCGATTGTATTAACTAGAAATCACTCGGGTTTCCGACAAGAATTATTCCATTCTTGCTGCAACCTCCATGCGTTTTCATTTCAAATACTTCACAATGAGTCTGTGTGACGATTTGGAACATCATTGTTGTTTCTAATATTCATTGTATCGCTCCTCACACAATCTAAATTAATACGAATGTTCAGAAATGTCATAATGTTTCATAAGAGCGAATTTAAAGCATAAACGTGTGGGGGTTTTAGCAAGATTTATTTAACATTTGCGAGGTTGGCGAGACGTCTTGGTCCGTATTTTAACACAATGTTTCATATCCGTATGGCCGTTGAAAATCCGTTTTTATTCCGTTGTATCATCCAATTTTTACAATGCTAACATGCTAACTTGTACTTGATTAGCTTCAAAGCGACAGTTTAGCTGTTGGTGGTACCATGGCTTAGCCGTGAAAACCGATGGAGCTACTCCGAGATAGAACCATCACCAGAACCGGTCGCTTGCGTTGCTGGCATCTGCGTGGAGCTGAATCCGTAGTTGGTTGCATAGAGAAAGGCCATCGTTTACGTTGACGAGAATATATCGAGCTTGTTCGATCCGGAAAAGTCAAAAGTCAATTGAGTTTTATCGGAAAGTCTCTACATTCCCAAGATCTTATCCTTTATTTTAATTTGTTTTTAGTTATTTATATTTATACCTTATAAGTATTTTGGATAAAATTTAAAATGTTTTTTTTTACTTTTTTTTTGTACAATCTTTTCATTTTTTTTTAGTTTTCGAAGGTGTTACAGTGAGAGGTTTTTGCGGAGGTTAATAGGTTCCTTTCGTCTGTTGAATACCCGTGCAATGCTGTCATCGATACCTTAGGGCTTTTTTCTAGGTATACATTTTTGAAGTCGAATTGTATCCTAGCTATCAAGTCTTGCAGGTTTATATGGTTTGTTAGAGTATGAAGGTATGCTTTATTTAGTAATGTTTAATTTAGAGCTTTTTTCAGTTTACTGCAGGGAAAATGTATCTTTTTGACTAATTTCATAAATTTGGTTGCTATTATGTGTTTTGTTTCAAAATACAGGCTTTTCGTATGTTCTTTATTGTCATAAATCAAGTTCCTAAAAAACGAGAGATGATTGGCCGATTAGTTTTTCTAAAATTTAGCGCCCTAAATCATGGTGGATATTTGAATTTTATAATTTTTATTCAATCAAGCTTTTCGTTTTATATTTTCGTGTGGTTGGTTGATTTTGCAATGATTTCGGAGAAAATTTCATTACCACGAGATTCAAAGAAATCATCATCAGACTCAGTTAGGATGGGCTTCTTCGTTTTGCTCTAACGCGTGAGCTGACTTTTTCGTTGCTTGAGCTTTTTTCATAAAAATTTTCATTTCGTTTCAAGATGTTTCTAAGCTTTAGGATCACTGATCATTTGAATTCATTTTTGATTCTGATACTTATTCTGTTGTGGCCTTATTATTTCGGGAATTTGTCGAATTCCTATTTTTGAAGACAGTTGAGGCCCAAAAAATTGAAACGTTCTTAAGAAATGTTTTTGCTACGCGTGTCGTTGAATTTTGATGTTGTAACCATCGAACTTTTTGGTACACATCCTATGAACGCAAGAAATACGTATGACATTTATGTATCAATTATTCTTCAATTTCGAAATTTGAGTCAAAACAAATATTTTCAAGAAACTCGTGTTTTTCTATCAAAAAAATATGTGAAATCTCGTTCGTTTGGGACAAGATCACAACGATGATCATAAAAAATTGAAAAAAAATACAATACAAATGATTTTAAATATTGACCTACCCATAGGAAAAAATGTTTGAAAAGCGTTTGTGACCAGAGGCAAGAAGGTTTATTTGTATCTATACTAACTCCAAACGTAATGAACTAAACTGACAACACTAATAAATATTTTATTAATCAACTTCTCATTAATTGTACATTTCTTCGTCCGCTCAATTTATGAAATGTAATCGAAAATAATCGTTTTTTGAAACTTCGAAAAGTTTTGGAAAAATTATAAACTAATCTTTTCATAAATTTTGTGTGTTACAGAGCTATATAAACTTACTGGTGAAGTATTGGGAGAAGGTGCCTATGCATCCGTGCAAACTTGTGCTTCACTATACACAGATCTTGAATATGCTGTGAAAATAATTGATAAAATTCCCGGGCATGCCCGGGAACGCGTTTTTAAAGAAGTTGAGATGTTTCATCACTGCCAAGGACATCCTAACATTATTCAACTAATTGAGTTTTTTGAAGATGAGGAGAGATTTTATCTTGTTTTTGAGAAAGTTAACGGAGGACAATTACTTAGTCGCATCCAAGAACGTATACACTTTAGCGAGCGCGAAGCTAGTTATATTATTGCAGAAATTGCTAGTGCTCTCAAATTTTTGCATAAGAAAGGTGAGAATCATTTATGAACACTATACTAATGATTTGTAATAGTTTCTCTTAACGTTAAATTTTAACTAATCGTTTTTTTTCCAGGTATTGCACATCGAGATCTCAAGCCTGAAAATATTTTATGCGTTGACCCACATAAACTTACACCAATTAAAATCTGTGATTTTGACCTTGGTTCTGGGATAAAATTTAATGCGTGCGTATCATCACCGATCGCAACACCACAACTTCTTACACCCGTTGGCAGTGCCGAATTCATGGCTCCCGAAGTGGTCGAAGCTTTTGTCGGCGAAGCCAATTATTACGACAAACGCTGTGATTTGTGGAGCCTCGGGGTCATAATGTACATTTTACTTTGCGGCTATCCACCTTTTTACGGAAATTGCGGAGAAAAATGTGGCTGGGAACGTGGTGAGAACTGTCGCGCCTGCCAGCAATTACTGTTTACAAGTATTCAAAATGGAAAGTACGATTTTCCTCCTGCCGAATGGGCTGATATTTCGCAAGAAGCAAAAGATCTTATTCGAGGCTTACTTGTAAAACAAGCGCATAAGCGTCTCAGTGCTGAAAGCGTATTGAACCATCCATGGATAAATCCAGGACCAAGAATCCGCAAGCATACAGATCGGCCACTTCAAACTCCTCAAACAATAAGACGCAATAATTCCGCTCGAGAGCTGTCTGCTTTTGCTGAATCCGCTATGGCTGTTAATAGAGTAGTCCTACAACATTTTTCATTGAATCTACGAGAGCTTGTAGAAGTGTCAACCGAGCTGGATCCTCAGACTTCTACTTCATCCGCCGACGACGATAATCATCCATATGGTCATATGTCCGACTCAAACAGTGAGCTCTCGGAACTAGGCAACGAATGCGCTCATAATTCCTTGAAAATAAGTGTAACCAATTCTAATCATGAGTCCGTAAGTTTGTTTGGACTTTCGCCTCCTAGTGAGAGTCTACTTATGCAGCGCCGCCTCCGATCCCAGTCTACACTTCTTCAGGGTCACAACTCACCAATTTCAACTTGATCGCCCCATGGATAATGTTAATGGCGTTTTTACGTACTTTTCACAGTATGACAAGTATTCTTTATTTTTAAGAACAGCTGGAACTAAAAACAATGTTTTTCAAATCCTTCTTATGTTCTTTATGTCTAGTGTGATTATATAATAAAAAAAAGCTTCACATTTTATGCGTAATATTGTTTTGAATAAATGCCTCAAATCCTTCATAGTACGTTACAGTACAAGGACTGTATAAAAACACTTTATGGTATGGAGCTCTTTAAGTTACTCCGAATATCCTGAGTACCATAAAATATTTTTCATCATAACAGATGAGAAAATCTTAAAATCGACCTCCTGCGCAATAACAATAAAATGTAGATTTTTATACATCTAAAACAATATTAAATAAAATTTGTTATTCTTTTTAAATTGATGATTTTATCTCGATATTGAAAAGTATCATGAGACACAGAAGGATTCATTGAGAGCCATTTAACAAGCTTCGTGGAAGGACGTTCCTGTCTAAGGGCCATCGTGAAACTTCGCTCTCGAGGGTCTGAGAATTATTTGTTGTTTTAAATGGTTAATTCTCCAGAAATCTAGTTATAATATAAAATTTAAAAATAAAAAAGATGAATTTTTTTTCAATTTGGTGGCGCGAACTATTTAAACTCGTTTCCGTGAAAAAATGTCCAGTCAAATCCTGCAGGAAAGCGCCAAGTCCCATACAAGTTTTCCGATAAGCCCAAAATTCGGCCTTAAAAAACGAGTTTTTGTACGGCGCGAGCATTGAAAAAAAATTATGGCAGCTCGAGAGTTTGATGTCAATGGATGTGACAGCTGTACTGTCTGTTGGGAAAGCTATTTACCTATCAAAGCTATAAAAAAAAGATAAGTTGGATTCATAAGGTTCTTGGTTTGATTCTCCCTAACGAATTTTTTTTTAGCTTCAATCATTGCGAAGTACTATGATACGAGCTTTAATTTCATAGCTAAAACTTATTCGTCGTAAATGAGACGGATACCACATTGGGCAACGTATCAATAGTCTCCCCATGCATGCTACTTATACTGCCGTACAAATACCCTTATTTCTTGTGGATCCAATCAATTTGTTTACATTCTGAATCATGATATTCCTTCGCTCCTCGTGGGCCTTTCCCCTCATTCGAAAGAAGATCTCGTTAAAAATAGTCATTTTCCTTCAATTCTGAGCAAATGATTATTTTGTCCGGATAATATCAAATATATATGTATAACGTCGGCCATCTTTGCCGCTTATAGTAAACAGAGCCGAGAACGAACACGATTCATCGCCTGAATTGTAAGCACACGTGTTGCACGAGTCAACAACAAAACTCAGTACCTTTTTCTTACTTGCGCTGCTTATTTCAGCAGTATGCAATTGCATTATTGGTAAAGAAATTATTTTTAGTATTTAAAATACTAAACATTAAGAACGAAATTAAGTACTAATTCGTATGACTAAAGAAACAAACATGGTTAGTGACAAAGTAATCAAAACAAATGATTCTCCATTTTTTAAAAACTCCAGTTTCAAACCTAAGTATAGGAATTTTAACAATTCTGGTAAGAAACGTATTTGGCGTTCTCTCAAACAAATTTTAAGCCAAGAAAGAGTCGTATCATGGGGAAGCCACATGATGCATTGTAAGTTATTTATCATAATTCATCATTTAGAAACTTTTTCAGAGGGTTTTTAATATTTTTATCATTTCAGATAGTTTAATAAATTCTCAGCCAAGTTCAAAACCAAATAAAAAGTACTCAGATCTATCAGGTCTACCGGTATGTAAAGCCAGTCTCTAGAATGCAAATGTTCTCCGATGACAACATGTAACAATACTTTTTTTTCAGGCACCTTACACAGATCCTCAGACCAAATTGTTTTATGCTACTGGAGAAGAATTTAAAATAATTAGAAGTTTGCCTACCGACATAAATGCTGGATACTTAGCACTCAGAGGGGCCTCGAATAATTTTTAATTTAATGTAATTTTAAATTCATTTTGTTAGTAGCAGGATTATTGTGATATATACTTGTCTTAGTAGTACAATTAAATAAAACAACCATTTATTACAAATGAAAAATGCAAAAGAATTTATGTATACACATCTAATTCATCATTATTATTCAACTCTTATTTCTAACTTGATGAGGTAGAAACTTCATTATCAAAAGTAAAAATGAAAAATTGACACTTGGATTTGTAATATATGCTTTACAGTCAATAAATAAATGGTTATGGCAGTCTAATTGAAGTTATTTAATTTTTTTTACTACTAGTGGTATAGTAAAGGCCATTTATTTTTATAACATAAAAACAATAAGATATGATAAAGAAGTTTGTATGAGCATGTTGATTTCTATAACAATGCAATTCGTCCCATTATTAATAATCAGTACTTAATCAGTTGTTTATTCTAAATCGGGCATCTCGTCGTCATCACTGTCATCATCACCCTCTGCATCATTGTCTAAATCATCAAAGTTAGGTTTGGCCATATTATTACCAGCTCCACCAAGTCCACCCATTTGACGCATCATCTACAAGTAAATTCATAATAAAAAATTATTCCATGAACAGATAATATATTGGCTTTAGAAAAAGTTAAATGTCAAATTTATTTACCTCTTCCAAACTGTTTGGATCCATGTTACCTACTTCATCATCACTTTCATCTTCATCTTGCCATTTATTGAAATCACTTTTCAGCCAATGGAACTTTTTATTCTCTTTTGTAAGTCTAGGCCAGAATGGACCGGGTTCTTTCTTTGACAAAATCATTTCATAAATTCGGCCTTTGGGAGTTTTGACCGATTTTTCTGGATCTATTTCCTTGTATAAATTGATTGTTACTTCATGCTCTTTACCGTCTACTCCACCAACACTTTTGAAGTATATTTTATCTGGCTCAATTCTTATAGTTGGATTTTTACAGTCTTCTAGACACACTGTTACATACAAAATATTACTTCTTTGAGCCCAAATAACGGGAGGAGGTGGAATCCTGCAAAAATAAAATATTATATAGGTATTTTATTGATGATAGATTACTGAATACTAAAAGTAAGAAAGAATGTTCCGGATCTGTTGTGTATAAGTAATCAAAGCAAAGCTGAGGTTGATTAAAATGAGATTTGAGACAATTTGTTACCACTGTATTACTATACTTGTACATTTGTACTATTTTTCTTGAGTCTTTGACAAATAATGACATTTGTCTATTGGTTGCAAGATAGAAAATGTTACTTCTGATTGAGGAATCAAGAAAGAATAGGAGTATATCGTTTTTTGACTTAGGTGCCATATTAAAGTAAAATTCTTATTTTCAAGAATTCGAGTTCATTTTTGTAATAAACTATAATTAAAGAATGTATGTGTAATGATAGTTATCTCTAATTGGGTAAAATGATTGTCATTTCGTAAAAATTAAGTAATAATTTGTTCATCATTGTAATCAGAAACATAAAATGATAGAAATTGATTTTTACTTAGATAGGGTTCAAGTATTATAAGTGATATGACTGACTAATAACATTTTATCACGTAGGTATATTAACTGTTAGTTAACTCATTAATTAAGAAATCATAAATATATTCGAGACAAAAATAAAATAGAATTATAGCTACAATCACCCCGTCTAAGTTTCGGGAATATTCTCAAATAAGCATTATCATAAGCCGAAAAAATATGAACATGGCGAATAGCGGCATGCACCGATTAGATTCGATCGTCGTAACATAAAATATCTACATGTGAAATGTAAGTTTACTTACTGTCCTTCTTGAGTCATGGTTATCCAAAGTATTTAGCTTCTAGCTTAGACGTTAAATATTTACTAGTGATTGTAATGATTAGCAATGGTAAACGATCGAGTAACCTCTGATGAGTTGGGAATATTTAAAACAGCTAAAATGAAACAATGGGTTTCGCTATAAATGGTCAGTCGTTAAAGCAACCGTAAGAGTAAATGAATATTCGTCTTTTGTAAAGCGGCTTATACGAACAGTAACAGTTTTGTACGTCGTCGTCTATAATTGAGGTACACAGCGAGAAACGGCCTCTTCTACAATTCTGGTTAAGGTCTAGCACGTGAAGTTAGAAATCATGGAAGTCAGAACGTGGAACAAGTTGAATTTATGAATGTTTGAACGCCGTGATACACCCTATCGGAAACTTAAAATCGCTATAAAAGTTTTATTTATAAATAAATATTTTCAAATTGCAATGTAAAAGTCTATTTGGCTCTGAAAAAAAAATAAATAAAATTTTCAAGATTTCATCTAATAAATGAAAAATCCATAAAATTGCATAAATTCCAAGCAACTCCATTTTTTGTAATATTAATAAATCGATGTAATGAAGGAATTTTCAAAGCGGCTCCTAATTAATTTATATCAATTTTGGATCAGTCAGCTTGTCAGGGTCTGTGCAGTGTGCTGTCAAATTGTCGCCTATAATTTAGTAATTTGACCCCGCCCGGCGCCACTTGAAAGCTATTTTAAAATTAAAAAGATTTTTGAGAAAATTTAGAAAAAATATATGCATGCTCTTTGAAAAAATTTCAAAGACTTTTTTGTTCTTCACAGTACAGTATATCATAGAAAATTATTACATAAAATATTTCAGAATCAAGAAAAGTTGAAAGTTGAAAAGTAGAATGGTCGACATAACACCGTAATATGGGTTTACGCGTTTTTCATTCGCATGATCAGGAGGTGCAGTAACACTTTGACATATTCTGTAAGTCATATGAAAAAAATGAATAAAAAAAAACTGTTTGTCCAAAAATGCAATACAAAAAAATTAATTTCTGTAACTGATCAACAAAATGCGAAACTCGATATATTTCATAAGAATCATTATTGAACTACAAATTAAATTTTCCTTGACAATCTGATCGTGCACGTGACATTTTTTGACTAATTAATAATGCCTAAACTATGAGATAAGTCAATTTAATCGAGCTTATGCGGGTTCGAAATTATAAATAATTTCAGGTGATTACTTCTGACTCCTTAATTCTATGTAATACATTTATCGTATATAATCATTCATACAAGTTACACCTAATTTTTTGAGAATAAATATAATTTAATTTAATAGTTTTTAGAAATATCAGAAAAATCAATGAATCATGTTGTACAAAATAATTTTCTTTGGGAATTCATAAAAAATAACGTTAAAATTACTTTATTTCACCCAAGAACCATTTTTTACAAATTACTATTAAAATTCTTCGACAAACTGGTCTAAATTTCTAAAATGTTATCTCATAACTCGATTTTATTAACTATTAATGAAGGATCATATTAGTGTTTCTAAGAAAACTAAAATTTTTACCTGTTTTACTTGAAAATTAAACCAAGAGCTTGCCATAAAAGTCGTTTTTGAGAAAACCAAGCTAATCTTTTCACGATCGAATGGCTCTTACGTACGTTATTTTTATAAATCATTTAAGTTTATTAAAAGTAGCATTCGTGGGCGAACAAGTGAGCCTTTTTTTATTTCTATATTCGCACGCGAAAATCTTTCTTCTGAAGTTCAAATAAATTTTTTTGCTGCCTAAAGTTCGGATAAAAGTACAGATGTTATACAATTTGCATTTATGTATAATTATTTACTTCAAGGTGTACATAAGCTCTACAAAGCTCTCAGAATATATTTTTTGTTCATTATCGAAAGTAAACATGCACCGGATACAACATTCAGAAAATAGAAACATTTTTTTGTGATTCAAGTTTATTTCGGTCATCTTTTAAATATACATTATAAAAATTTTCATTTTTACCGACTACTCATTAAATCGTTATAAAACATCATGATTCGATCGAGAATACGTGGATTGCATAGCATATCTTACAATTAATATAGTATTTGTAAAGATAATGTTTGCTGTTTATTTAAAAAATGTAATTTACAAAGTTTTATAGATTTATTTCATTTTTTTACAATTTTCTTTTTTCTTAAACGAAAAAAGGTAACTTGGTATGCGAAAACCATAATAAATAATTGCAATGTAATACGTATATATATAACATATATTTATTCATACTATACAAATAGCCTGACTTGAAAGAAGGCAAAAAACTTAGCAAATCTTTTTTGCTTTACTATATATCGATATTTAGATGAAGACAAAATCTTTAGCTATAGCTTTAGGAAATTTCGTTAGTCCTCTGTGTAATTTTTTTTAGTGTTCAGATGAGTTCTTAGACATCGAAATTTGTGATATCAATTGTACTTTAATAAGTGACAAGTCCAGCATTTTTCGCTGATATTTCTTATGAAAAACCATAGCTGCTGATTGCGTTTTAAAAATAATTGTGGCATTACCATCGCCCATTTGTATACTCTATAACATAAAGTAAAAATAATATGTTAATATATTAATGATATAAAATTTAGGTTGTATCACATAATTATAAAAGTAATTGTAAGGGCAATAAACATTAGTGTATTTAAAAAAAAAATAAGAAAGAAAAAATTAAATATTATGTACATCATTATATAGAAATCTTAAAAAAAAGAGAGAATGACCTCAATACTGCCGATCCCTTGACACATTTTCCTAATTTGATGCTCAGTTGTGGTTGCAGCCAGGTTATCAACCCTCACGATATTTGATTTTAAAAGCTTCTTCGCGTCCGATTTATGTACAATATTGCGCTGACTGATGGCTCCTGCATTATTTTTCTGCTGAATTTTAGATGCTGGAGAAACTACAACGCGTTGCGTACAAGAATTTGCGAGCAACTTGCGAATCTGTCCAAGCTGTCTGTGTGCATTGACTGTTGGTTTTTGAATTATGCTACTTTGATCTAGTTTCGTCTTGAGAACTCTTTTATTTCTGCCCAGAACAATTCGTGATAAAAGCTTGCTTTTCCCGCCATCATCTTCATCAGATTTATCGCTGACCTTCTCGATATAATCACTCATTGCTGTGTTTGATTCTTCAGAGTCATCATCAGATTCTTGATCCGATTCAGTAATCTTTTCAATATCGCCTTTTGATTCCTCTATTGACTTTTGTTCAGATTCCAATACATTAGATACATTTTTTTTTCGATATTTTTTCATTTCATTCAAAGATTGAAAACCGAATGAAGATTCCTGCAAAAAGTAGTTCATTTTTGTCATGTATTAATTAATGCATTGAAATTATTATGCAAATATCTAAAATTCATGTAAAATTACTAATAATTCATAAATCCTAACTTCAGGGTAATTGGAAAGAAAACAAAAATTATAAAAATATTCACTTTATTCAAACGATAAAAACATACAACAGAATAAATTTCGGGTCATGAAAAATGCGTTCTATATTTATTAAAAAAACTTGATTCACAAATTGAACTGATATCAATTTTTGTAAAATATTTTACTACAACACGGGTCCCATTCTTCATGGAATATAAAATAAATTTAATGACTTCAGTCAGATAATAAAGAATAATACAAATAAAAATAAAACACTAGCAAATTGTAAAACAGGTAAAATAATTTCATTGTCGTAAAAACAATTAAATTAAAAAAATTTAACTAGGTAATCTAAAAATATAATTCAATGATTCTTTAAACAGATGGTTGATGAAAGTTACTAAGGCAAGTTAATTGATTTAAAAAATCGCGATCACGGTATTGTTTCATAATTGTATAAATCTTCGGAAGCTAGTGGAATGAGATATTGGTTTATACCTCTGAGGAGTGTACATTTGTTAGACTTTCTAAGGTTTTGGCAGCTGAAAGATTGATTTTCCCTTTTTTGGTTTCTTTTTCGGTAGAAACAATTGTTAACTGAACTCGTGCTTTGTCTGTAAAAAATGTTTAAAAGTATTAATAAATATGTTAACATTGAAAATATCCGAAAGTCTGTTGAATTATTATAGGCTTACCTATTTCATTGCTGTTGGTGGAATGTTCAGATTTATTTTTTTCCATAGCTGCTAATTTTCGCCGATTTTCCTTTTCCAAAATAATTTTTTCACGAAGCCTTTTTTGTTCTTCCATTTTCATTCGGTATTCTTTCATTTCAGGGTCTAATTCTTCTTCCTGCTAATATTAATACATATTAAATTAAAATTCAGCCAAAAAGAGTCGTAATTAAGCAAAGATTTTACGAACCTTTATTATATTTTCTTCCGCATTCTTGCTTGCTGAATTTTTTGCAGGAATTTTGAGTTTTTTCGCTACTTTATCTACTGTAAACTTATCGATTGGCGTATCACTAGCTCTTTTAACAACCGTTCGAACGGTTTCTTTACCTGAGTGGTGAGAAAATTTCTTTTTCTCTTCGTGCACTGATTTATTAACTAAATTTTCATGGTCATCAATTTTGTGACTATTTTTTAACAGTGAATCTGTTACATCACTTTTAGATTTAGGAGACAAATCTTTCTCCCTTTTTCTTTCTTTATCTTTTTCTCTTTCCTTTTCTCTCTCTCTATCTTTTTCTCGATACATATCTCGCGATTTTTTATGTTCCTGAAAATAAAAATTCAAATATAGTTTTTGATTTTAATAGTAGTTTGAATATTTGAATAAGCTGATCAATACTAACAATGTAGTCTCTGGAGTCATAATTTTTTTTGCTGCCTGCCTATAATATTATAAATTATAAATTGTAAATATGACAATAACAAATTTTAATATTTTGATATTATACAATTATGAAATTTCTAATTTACCTCTAAATGTTCATTTTTGTGAGACCATTGAGGTTCAGATTTGAACTTATCATGATTACTACTTTTATTGTAATTATTTTCAGGAGAATATGAACGATGCGAATGAGAATTTTGTACTCTTTGTGATTTGCTTTCTTGCCACATATCGGAAAAATAAGAAAAGGGATCCTGAAATTTGAAATAGAAATTAAAAATTAATCAATTTTAAAATTTAATAATGTCAAGTTACTTAAATGAATCTTACATCACTCTTAGCTTGATTAGAAGACGAACGTCCGTCTCGTGAACTAGAATTAGATGCATTTCTGAGCGCTTGAACAAATGTTTCAGCTGGATCATGCAATGTTTTATCTAAAAAATAAAAATCAATTAACGATGATCTCAAAAAATATTCAAAAATTCAAATAATATTAAAGAACATACTATCGATTTTTCCCTTGAAGTGAGGGTTTATGAGAATCTTGTGACCCGTCGGAATAACAGGAACATTAGATACACTGTTTACACTGGGAGTAACAAGTAACTTTTGAGATGTATTAACTTCCTGAGGAGTTGCTGTTACTGATGGTTGTGGCCTGCATTGTTGTAGGGATTGATTTGAGTATGGAACCCCGATTTGCGATGGCGTTTGACCAAAGTTTGCAGGAGGTTTAGGTCTCATTTCGTAACCAGGCTCATAAGAACTGGTCATTCGAGAATCATAGGTAGAAGGTCTGTGTGGTGGCAGTGGTTGGTTAGCTTGATTACCTGTCATTACCGGCACAGAGCTGTGTTCATTCATGTGCTGTGAATATGGAGCAGGCGGAAAAGTATGAGGTGCTAGTCCATAGGCAGCCGGAGCCTGACCTATTCCTGGTGGTGGAGGAGCTAATCCTCGCGATCTATAATCCATTAACGGCCCTGGAACCAATGAAGGTAATTGTGATGGCTGCATAGGTTCTGGATACTGATTGGGCAACATTGGTGCTGATAACTGTGGATCATTATAGTGCGGATGTGGTCCACTTTTCTGTGGATGATGATAAGATGGTATTGGAGGATACATAGAATGTCTTGGCTGACCCAAATTTGATACACCTAAAGGTAGAGGTCCACTAGCAGAATTTCCACATTGAAAAGCAGAACGATTTTCAGGTCTATAATGCATTGTTCCTGGAGTCTGAGGTAAAGGTCCATGGTGATACCTTTAACATTAATTTTAGTTTTAAGTAAATTGTGTTAAAAAAATTAGATATAAATGCATAAATCTGATTGTAATCTTACCTTATAGGTAAATGAGGATCATACCTTCCTCCAGGACGATTTGCTAATGTTCTTCGTTCAAAGCGCTCACTTCTATCCCTGTTTTTATCACGCTCTCTGCGATTATGTGTCTTGACGTGTTGATCTGAAGTAACAACTTTTTCCAAGGAATCTGGGATTTCTTGATTGGCTTTGGTTGGAACAACAGTCCTTTCACTTTGAAAACGGTTTCTCCTTTCTTTGAGTTCTTCACCATCTTCATCATCAGTAACATGATTGTGTTTATTAAAATTATTTCTTTCTTTCAATTTTTCACGAAGATCTATTTTCTGTTTCACAGAAGGTTCTTCATCCGAATGATTCTGTTGTCTTCCTCTATCTCCTATTGATTCATATTTTGTTGAACTTTTTACAGCTTCTGACTTTTCTTGTATTTGACTCTTCCTCAATTCATTTGAACTAAGTTCATTAGGAATATCATTTTTTTGACAAATATTGACTTCTACATGTGACTTTGTCTTGGATTGAATATTTTCATCTTCGGTTACCAAATCATCGAAAGCATCCGTGACTCCTAGATCCAGAATGTCATCTGTTTCTTCATCTGCTTTTGAAGAGTAGCTCTGCTGCACAGGTAACTAAATTACGAACATTTGGGATAAAAATTGATGGAAAAACATTTCCTGTATTGACTTTAAGTAAATCTTAAACTACAGTAACATTCTAAAACATTATAGTATGTTAATTATGCTTAGTTAAACTTATTAACCATTTACAATTTGTAAAACCTATTTCTCTCTTTAAACTGTATATATCTTTTATAAAAAGTTTAAGCTTAACATTTAGATGTAAAATTGATGTATTACAATTTTAATGATTTTACTACAAATCCAAATATTTAAATAAGAAAATATACACCAATTTCATTTAGACTACCAATTTTACATGAGTCTAACATTTTCGCTAAATGTAAGTAAAAATATTATTTTTTCGGCAGTAACTTTTTGAAAATCTTTGGTGCAATTCAGGGAAGTAATTTATATAATCACAGTTGAAATATTCTTTTTCTTTTCGAAAAGAGTGTAATTAAAGCTTTTTCAGAAAAAAAATCCAGTCTCCCCAATAAAAAATTATAATTCTTCATGAAATTTTTCCTGTACATGTTATAAAATTCATTATTAACCCTTTTCTTTGGTCATCAAGATAACTTCAAGCGAGTGAAGCTTTGTTAATTTTAAAGAATCAGAGAGTTTGAGTAATTGAAAATATATGTTGTAATGAAAATGATACAACATAAAATATATAAATATATATTTATAAATAACAACATCACAATATATCTCATTATTCTTGATCATTCATTCAACACACCTCGATTATACGGGAGGAAAATAGTTTATAAACTTCATTTTTCATTGTTTAACACAGCCTAATAAATACTAAGATACATTAAAGCTGATTCTGAGGCAATTGGTTGAATAGTTGGTTGCATGTCTTAATAAGTTTATCATATATAGTAGTGTAAATGACTGTATAAAAATTAGAGCGTTATTTTCCTTTTTAATTATTCATCTCAGGAAAAGTTTTTTTGGACTGCGCGCAACAAACGATTCAACGATATATACAATCTTAAATATAAAATTCTTATATCATTTCAATAGAAGTGATATTAATTCCATTTAAAATATAATTTTAGCACACATGCTCTTTGAACTCATATGTACATAATGAAAAGAAACCAATATCTACTTCTTTGAACTAGTATAATTTAAATACTGAAAGAACTTCAGTTAAAAAAGTTCTTAAAATTTGATCCATTTCTAATAAGTATACAAGCCTGGGTATAAATAGAGTTTCTATCCTGATATATATTAATAAAAAAATTATTGAAAATTAATGGTTATGATAATGTGGTATAGTGATACCATTTACAAGAACTCAAAATTTTCATGATTTCGATGTACATATTACCTAAATATGTTCTGGATATTTTAAAGGAATACTTGGCGCAATTTGTAGTTATTTATATATAAATACAAGTATATCTATAACTTTTTAAACAAGGTTGAATGTTTTTATAAATTTTTAAATTGAATCAACAACAATTTCTAATACTGTATCATTCTTACATTTAAATTTTACTCTTGGTATGTATTTAAAACTAATTAAATAAATAGAAACTAAATGAAAAGGTCTGAATAGAGAATATACTTTGGACATAAAACACGTGACATGTAGTTTATCCATTATTTAAAAGCATTATTTTATGTACTTGTGCATTGAAAAAGGGGCCATAAAATTTCACAAAACAAATCAATTTAAAGTGTTTCCACATGAGAGATAAGATACTTGATAGATCGTCAACCTAATATAGTCTAAATTAATAGGTAAATCACAATAAGTATGCGGCATTAAGCGAAGAAAATTTGCAGTGTGCCGCATGAGACTCTCACCCTCTCGTTATCAATTTCATCATCAGCTAAGAGAGCTTCTTCTTCGTCATTTCCCAAGTCGTAAACTTCATCGCCAAGATCTTCATCCAGCAAGGCTTCATCACTGTAAAAATGAAAAACATTAATTTTTATGTAATAGTATCACACAAAAAAAAATTGGCTGGAAGTCATAAAAAATGCAAGTTTCTGTTCTGGTAATCAAAGATAAATCTAGCAACACAAATGAGAAAGTAAATAATGAGTATAGCAAGTTTAGGAAATGATGAATGAAACTAATCAGTAAATATTTACGTTAAAATAATAGCGACGTCATGCGAGTTAACCTTACAATACTTGGCTTTTGATTACAATGTTACATCTAACATTGTTAAAATAAAACTAAACTGCAGTGCAATTCATTTCCAAAGAGATGAGAAAATGAAATATGTTTTGTAACAAGATGATAATAATCATTAAAATTACTAATAGTGCTCGTAAATTACTTACTGATCTGACATTGTTTTGCTTTGTGTTGCTGTTCCTTGCTTCTACGTCAGTAATTCTAAGACAAGTTTCTGCATTTATGAACACTTTTTACTAAAAAATCTCTGATTGTGGAGAGTGAAAACTCGGAAATGGCTAAGAACGCAGTGCCTAATGGTTCTGCAGTTCTGACCTGATCACTAAAATGACGCCACCGCAGGCTTATGATCCATGATGTTAGACCTCTCACTTCTACATCAAGCAGAGACCTCTATACTCCGGGGTACACAACACAATACATATATGAATTGCTAGAATGCAAGTTTTGCTATTTACAACTAGATACACTTTAAAACCCTTAAATTTATGCCTAAATAATTATTTTACTTTTCAAGTACAAATTTTAAAGATATTTTATGTCTTTGCTTTGATATTTATGTGTAACTAAAGTTCATTACGGCACAATATCATTATTTGCGTAATTGTTTAATTTTATATTGTATTTCTTTCAGATAGATTAGCGTGAAAACATTGTGATTTTTGTTCAACTTTTTTAACTGATTGGGTGTGTAAAAAAATTAGTTTGTTAAAAATTATTGTTTCCTTATATTCACCTCGGTTTATAAGCAGCCATGGTATAAATGACACGATTTTTGTCTTTTACAAAAAATTCAAAGTTTTATAGAAATTAAAACTTGCAAAAATGAAGATAACGAATTATTATTTTGCTGAGTCAATTTTACTAAACATTTAACCCGAAATCCAAGGGAAATCCACGTTAAACCTATGAGGAATGACTGTCAATATACCTTAGCGTGAATAAGACGTGAAATTTTTGAATAACCCAAGCATAAAACTATAGTCTGTGTCATGTATGTCAGCTAAATGCGGGCTGAAACATATGCGATGTGTATAGAGGCGCTGTGTTATTGGTTAATTCCTGATCGTGAGTATTGTACGGAAAACCAACGAAAAGCATAAAATCATCGTAAAAACTTTGTTTATAAATTCTTTTCATCTGTCAGTGTCGATCGGATACAAATGTGCTTGTGAAGTTTATTTAACCGCAAAAATGATCTGAAACATCGACATTTTCATGAATAATTGCATAAAAAAAGTTTAAAAATAATTGAAAGAAACATTTTATGTAAAATTAATTTCAATTGACATTATCTTCAAAGCATTTAATGAAAGAAATACACGTTATTCACGCAAATGTGGAGCAATTTCATTTCATAAATTCATGAAAATTTTAGTTACGTTTTTGATGCATTGAATGAATATATTCGGTTAAATGCTCATGCTCTTTCTTCTATAATTGACTGACATTTGTATGTCGTCACACACACTTTGTTATGACCGCAATTTTTTATTTCTTACTAACTCATCACATTGATTCGTTACGTTTTAATTCAGATAACGTGAAGTACTCGATCGAAAGTAAATGCTCATTCTTTTTCTATCTGTGACTTGAATTATTAAAATGAACTTTTTTTTACTTATACCTTCAACTAACTTAATTTTGCATCCTTATCTTTGATATTTATGTAGTTTTTCAGACACGCTGTAAAAATGGCTCATAATGACGACTTAAAAATAAAGCAGTTTCTTAGTAAAGTATGTAATTTATTGATTTAGTTTACAAAAGAAATACCATGTTTCAAAACAATACATTTTTTAATAAATTTCAGTATGTCAATCCAGATGTCACACGTAGAGATGTTTTCAGAGTTTTGGAATACTACCGAGGGCTTCATTGGAAAATAGAGAAATTCGGTAAGTGACCATTATATCCTCATGTGAAAGTTAGCCTAAGATTTGTTTCACATCAATGCATTTATTTTATGTCAAAGTTTTTAATGATGGAACTCGGAAGGAACTAATTAACTTACAAGGAACCATACCGGTACCCTTTAAAGGTATGATTTAGAAATTTTGAAATATTTCAATAATTTAAAAAACATATTAATGTATATTTTGATTGAAGGAAATACTTACCACATACCAATTTGTATATGGTTAATGGACACACATCCTAATAATGCCCCTATGTGTTATGTTACACCTACTCCAGAAATGAATATTAAAGTTAGCAATTATGTTGACCATAATGGTAAAATTTACTTGCCATATTTACACGAATGGATACCTGTATGTAAAAAGATATTTTGCTATCTAAAAATTAAATTAATCAAATAATTTACTTGAAAACTATCTTATTGCAGCACAAATCAGATTTGTGCAGTCTCATTCAAGTTATGATTGTTGTGTTTGGAGAACATCCCCCTGTGTATGCACGTCCAAAAACAGGTCCCCTGTCGATGATAAATACCACGCCATATCCTAAACAATGTAAGAAAATGTTTTTAGAATCTTCGATATTTTGAAATGTTTTTTACACAATTTTTTTTACTTTCTTGCATAAAAATGTGATTTTTCAGCGACTATGCCTCCAATGCCAATGAATGTTGGACAACCTGGATTTCCTCAACCTCCTCAGCAAGGAATGTCAAATATTTATCCACAGTCAGACTTATTTGCCAACTACCCTCCTTACCCCACATCTGGTGTAAATTATCCAACACCGAATTATCCTAATTCATTTCCCTACCCTCCAGTAAGTTTTTTTCTTTTAAGATTTAATATTTTTATATGGAATTGAATAAATGAGCATTTTTTTAACAGACTCCTGCGGTTTCTGGAATTTCAAGTGGGGGAACAGGAACCATAACAGAAGAGCACATTAGAGTTTCATTGCTATCAGCTATTGGAGATAAATTAAAACGTAGGTTCCGCGAACAATTCTCGCAATTACAAGCGGAACTTGAAACATTAAGACGTACTCAGCAGGAGTTATCAAATGGATCTGCTAATTTAAGTGAGCTTTTTGCAAAGCTGCAAATGGAGAAGACTCAGCTTGAAAAAAATATTCAAATATTGCAAGAAAAAGAAGTGGAATTGGAGAAAGAAGTTATGAAACTTTCTGATAATCAAACTATCGAAGTTGATGAAGCTGTTACTACAATTGCACCTTTATATAAACAGTAAGTACTTACCTTTGTTTCTATCCAATTTTTTTCTTCTCATACTAACACATAATTCATGCTTACAGAATGTTAAATGCATTCGTTGAGGAAGCTGCTACAGAAGATGCTATATATTATTTGGCTGAAGGTTTAAGGAGTGGGATAATAGATTTGGATGTTTTCTTGAAGCAAGTTAGGCAATTATCAAGGAGACAATTTATGCTCCGAGCACTAATGTCACTATGTCGACAGAAAGCTGGATTAACAAGTTGAATATGAAATAAATATATAGTTATCATTTGCTATTATACATTTATTTAAAAATATACATTCACTGTAGTTACATAAATTACTTTAGAATTCTATAATTTAAGAAATTTATGTAAAATAAAAAAGTTTCTTACTTATTGAATAATAATGACATTTGTAAATCTTTAAATGGAATAAAGTTACAAAATAACTTCTGTTTAATTTTTGAACCTTACTTACATTTAAAAATAAAATAGAAAAACGTATTCGTCAAGGATATTAAAGTTACTAGTTGTACGCTTAAATGTGATAATGTACGGATGTATGATATTATTATTTCTATAGTAGATTCCCGCCTACTTGTTGTTGATATACTTCTATAGTATCACCTTCTTCCATTTCTAATGTTGATGGTGTATCTAATTCATGAATTGGTTGTCCATCGAATCGAAATCTGACTGCAGCAATCGCCAGGCCCTTGAATAAAATATCGATTGACAATAACTGGTAAAAAAAATAAATGTTCTATGCACGCAATATTTTATTTACCGCTCGGTCACAGTAAGCATTCATTAGTTTTCTCAAAGGTGTATGTTTTTTGATTTTGAACTGGACCACACCGTTATCTTGCCCAAGCACTTTCAAGTTGATGTGCTCCGATTCTTTAGAATCCTAGCGAAAAAAAAATTATAATAATTACAAAATCAATGTTTACGTTTGATACAAGCGAAATTTTTAGGTTGGGGTACGCTACCTTTTTCTCGTCTGACATTTTGAATTAGAAAATAAGTTCAATTTATTGCGACTCAATAAAACACTACTACTTCTAGAGTTGAAGCTGAAGATTTGCAAAAAAGCGATATCGTTTGAAAATTGCTCGCGATTAGGGGAACTTTCTTGAATTCGTGAGAGTCGCTATACTATGGCAGCTACCCGGGGAACTGTCTTCAAATGTATAGAAAATGCGGGACAACAACCGCTCTTAACACGCAGGACACGTGATAAGTTAGATCGTAGGTATAAGGTTTTGCGAGGAACATATGCGTCAAACTGTCATTATGGAACTTGTTAAAGATTTGACTGCAATCAAATTGTTGAATGTTCATAAGCTTGCATTCAATGTTGAGTCAATTCTAATGCATTTCCAGTTTTAAATTCTGAATAGCAATACTTGTTGTTAGAAAAAGTTAATGCAAGAGCACCACCGTCGAAATCAGAAACGTAAAGAATAAGAATTTTAAGGAATGGAAGGAACGGTGACCAACGGGCAAACGTGAGCTAGCTTTTATTTTCAAATTTTTAGCGATCACTTAATTTTTATTAATGAACTATTGATCAATTGTTAGTTATTATATGTTATAAACATACTTTGAAAGCTTAAGTGAACTATTTCTATCCTCTATCTTTCTAATTTGAAAAACAAAATTGAACTTTTGCTGCAAGATTTCATGAAAGTTGTTTAAATCATTTTTAACATTTGCATAATTAATTAACTTTTTTGTTCAGATACGTTTTAAAATTATCCGTACAAAAATATAACTTATTCATCATGATAGATCAATCTGCGAAATGATTCAGAAATTCACCTAAACATCGATCGAAAAATAAATCTGATAATTTACATGTTGCTGCATGCAAGTCTCGTTGTTTGCAGAGTGCAGACTGCATGCGTAACTAAAAATGCTTAATTTTTTTCTGGAATGATTTTTGAACAACGGTGCAATTGACCCTTCCATCACATTATCGGTCTGAAAAACTGGATAAACATAATTCATTCGGTATAAATTTTCTCGGGAAACAATTTGAAAATTTTCAATTCCCTTATTCCAGATCAAAAATTGATTCGCAGTTTTCCGGGAAAACTACAAAATAAAATTGGCGGCAAAATTTGCTACAGTTGTTCTTAGCAACATTTACTTAGGGGTTCGTTAAAAGTATTAATTTTCGAATTGTATAACTTTTTATATGATAAATAGTATTTGAATGTAAAAATCCAGGAGTTGAAATTTCAAGTAATATCTATTATCTTCTAGTTGGTGTAATTCATTGGGGACTTAAAATAAAAATATTTGCTGCCCGTTTCAGCGCCATTGAGAAAATAACAACATAAATTATAAAAAAAGCTTGGTGAAACAGTGCAGAATTGTTGAGAACTAAATGTGTTTTATTTATAACACAATCTCAATTTTCTATTTTTCATCAAACATTTTGCCTTTTTTCGCTACTGTATACTTAGGCATAATTACCACACATATACAAACCTACAACTTTTACAAAATAAAAACCTAATCTTATGTTTTCGATTTCTGGCATTGAAATTGAAAATTATTCATTTCATCATAAGTGTTACAACTTGATTTTGAATGCTCGACGATTTTTACATATTATAATTCATACTTCGTGCGAAAAAAGTCAAAGAATTATATAACATTTAATATTCTTTAAATTAGTCTGGTATTTATTAATAACAATTCTTCGTTAACGAAATTTACTTTAAATATTATTATTTCGAAATTCAAAATACATAAAAAAACGTGCGCGGAGACTATTCGCTTCATCAGCTACGAAAACCCTCTGGATGTGGCATAACACCAATAATGAACTGTACACGTTTTCAGTCCCCCCTCTCGTATTCTATTTCTTATTAATTTTGCGACATTTATAATATGTAAACAAATTATACTCTAAACTTTAGCATTCTCGATCAAAATACTGGTGGAAATGAAGAATTTAACATTTTTTAAAAGAAAACATGTATTTCATTAATTCAAGTTGATTTGGACGGTCACGCATGCATAAGGGTAGTATACAAAACCGATATTCAATCCAGAAAGCTCTTTCTTTATTTTTGCGATGTTTATAATTTTAAACTTTTGGTTCAAAGGATTTTTATAGTTCAATTTCTCTATAATTTTTTAATAAATCGATCACCGCTTAGATTCTTTTTGCGTGTACTGAACTTAAAATATTGACAGATTGTAGACTAATAAACGTCGTGGACTGCGCCCATTGGTCAGAATTTTAGCGAATTGAATTTTCGCTTTGCCTTCGCGACGTATACAGCATCGATACACAAACATATACGTGTAAATACAGCGCAAGAACAGCTATATCAGTCTAGAAGGTCGTAGCGTGTGTCACGCAGCCGGTTTACAACGGTTCAAAAAGCAAAAACTTTTGCAAAAAAGTTTAGTTTCGATTCTTCCGTTACTTTGGCATTTTTGTTGCCTAGTTATTCAAATGATATGAAGCCTCTAATAATTTTTCTCGCTGCCGTTTTCTTAGTAACAGGTACGAATTTTCTTGTGTTCATTGAGATAAAGTATGCCCAACAGTTTGAAACATATTTTGATAAATTGTTTTCTACTCCTTTCTAGAATGTGTGTCGGCGCAAGAAGACTTCATCGTCGAAAAAGTCGGCACTGTCGAAGATGATTTAGGATCAAGTCGCGAAGCTCTTCGCACAGGTGAATTAACAATCACAATTTTTTAACATAATTACCGGAACAAAAATTGAAATATTTATAAACATTTTCGTTTTGTTATTGATGACTCAAATCGTTATTTTGTCTTTGCGAAATACTTTCCAATTGTTACGGACTTAGTCCATTGATCAAATTAAAGGAAAGCAAAATAATTTGAAAACTTTCATTATTTTTATTATATTCTTAAATTACTTAACAATAATTTTTGCGTTAAGATTTAATTTACTCCAATAAAAATAATGTGTATAAATTTTTTTATTTTACAGAAGAACATGTACCATTGAAAACAAAGGAGCTTCATGATGGACTGGATAGTGCTGAATATCAAAAACTCAAAGAAAAAGCTGAGAGTTTTACGTTTCAAACAGAGGTTAATCGTATGATGAAACTTATTATTAATTCATTATACCGTAACAAGGAAATCTTTTTAAGAGAACTCATATCAAATGCTTCCGATGCACTTGATAAAATCAGGTTGCTCTCTCTCACCGATAAAAATGTTCTTGAATCAGACTCCAATTTAATGATCAGAATAAAGGCTGATAAAGATAATAAAATACTAAGTATTACTGATTCTGGAATTGGTATGACTAAAAATGATCTGATAGGTAATTTAGGAACTATAGCCAAATCTGGAACAGCAGAATTTTTGGGCAAGATGCAAAACTCTATGAATTCACAAGACATGAATGATATGATTGGTCAGTTTGGTGTTGGCTTTTATTCAGCTTTTCTTGTTGCAAACAAAGTTGTTGTAACAACTAAACATAATGATGATAAACAATACATCTGGGAATCTGACAGTAACAGCTATAGCATTGTTGAAGACCCTAGGAATACACTCAAGAGGGGAACAACCATAAGGTAAATAATATAATTTCAATTTTGTATTGATTGTTAATTTCTAATTATTTTACTAATAATACTGTTTATTTTCAGCCTGTACTTGAAAAATGAAGCTCAAGACTTTTTGGAAGAGGATACTATCAAAAATCTTATCAGAAAATATTCCCAATTCATCAATTTCCCTATTTACATGTGGAGTAGTAAAAATATTGAAGTAGATTCAGATGAAGTTGATGAAAAAACTCCTGAAACAAAAGATGCAGAGAAGGAGCAAAGTGATGATGATGATGCCACTATTGAAAATGATCAAGATAAAGCAGAGAAGAAAAAAGTAACTAAAACAGTTTGGGATTGGGAATTAATAAATGATGCTAAACCAATTTGGACTATAAAACCATCAGAGATCACTGAAGAGCAGTATAATAGTTTCTACAAGTCTTTAACTAAAGATACCCAGGAACCCCTAGCTAAAGTTCATTTCGTAGCAGAAGGCGAAGTTACATTTAAATCTCTCTTATTTATTCCTAAGGTTCAGCCTAGTGATAGTTTTAATCGTTATGGAACTAAAGATGATAACATTAAGTTATATGTTAGAAGAGTTTTCATTTCAGACAAATTCAATGATTTAATGCCAAATTATTTGTCTTTTATTCAAGGTATAGTTGATAGTGATGATTTACCCCTTAATGTTTCTCGAGAAAACTTACAACAACACAAGCTAATGAAAATTATCAAGAAGAAGCTTATTCGTAAAGTTTTAGATATGATTAAGAAAATACCAAAAGAAGATTATGATTCTTTCTGGAAAGAATACAGTACTAATATTAAATTAGGACTTATTGAGGATGCTCAAAATCGTGCCAGATTATCAAAATTACTTATGTTCCGCAGCTCATTCAGCAATAAAGCAACAACATTGAGTGATTATGTTTCTCGTATGAAACCAAATCAAAATAACATTTATTACATTGCAGGCTCCTCAATTAGTGATGTTGAAAAATCGCCATTTGTGGAAAGATTGCTAAAGAAGAATTATGAAGTTTTATACTTGGTTGAAGCTGTTGATGAGTATGCACTTTCATCAATTCCAGAATTTGATGGAAAGAAATTCCAAAATGTAGCTAAAGAAGGATTTTCAATTGATGAAGGAGAAAAATATACTGAGAAGAAAGCAGAATTGGAAAAAATTTATGAACCTCTTTTGAAATATTTGAATGAAAAGTTGAAAGATAATATCAGCAAAGCACAAATTTCAGATCGTTTGACAAATTCTCCTTGTGCTCTAGTCGCAAGTATGTTTGGTTGGACTGGAAACATGGAAAGGCTTGCGATATCTAATGCCCATCAGAAATCTGATGACCCACAAAAGTCATATTATTTAAATCAAAAGAAGACTCTTGAAATCAATCCACATCATCCACTGATGAGGGAATTATTGCGAAGGGTAGAACAAGATGCTGAAGATGAAAACACCTACAATATGGCTTTGATGATGTTCCAAACTGCTACCTTGAGATCAGGATATATGTTGAAAGAAACAGCAAGTTTTGCTGATAACATTGAAAAACTCATGCGAAAATCCTTAGGTATTCCACTGGATGAAGTTCCAGAAATTGAAGATGATAACATTGAAGACATCAATGATTCAGAAAAGGATGAATCTGAAATCTCAACCGACGAGAAGGATGATGAACAAAGTGAACATGATGAACTGTGAATGCATTTACTGTAAAGTATAATTTGAAATTCTTTTTTACGAAAATTTAAATAAATAATTGGTAAAAAAAAGTTGTTTTGTTTATCTTCTGCATCCTTTGAAAAATATTTATGAGCTTGGTATATCGTTAAAATTGCAAATCAATTTTTCAAAATGGTAGTAATATTTTTATTTTGTTATTACATTGAATTTTTTTAATCACGGCTCGTAGACATTTACATGATTTTTCGTCAACTCCCAATAGAAAATATAAATTTCTTTTGAGCAGCGAGCTGGGAAAGACACTTCTGTCTGCGGGCATTGTTCTGCGTGTTATTCGTATCAAACCGCTAATCAATCGGTTACACGACGAAACCAATTGCTCTTAAGTAACTACGTCCTGTTTTATCAAGTGTTTTTTTTTCGCATTATGTAAAAAATGTAATCAACAGCAATATGTGAACGGAGGACTTCTTCGCGCTGCGTCGTTTTCTTTTATTGTAATAAAAATGAAATTCACCGTTAGGCATAAAATATACGAGCTAAGTCCCATAAATGAAATATGATAACAAGATCTCAATGTGATTCACTGGAATACTTTTAATCGTAGGTAAAATCGTAGATACGCACAGTCCTAATGTAGAAATTACATGCAATATTATTTATGTGGAATCTCCCGTCATACATTTTTACCTTTGTTTGTTAGTAAGATTAATGAATACAAAACTCAGCGATATATGAGTCGATTTATTTGTACGATTGCCTACAGAACAAATAGAAATTACTAAAAAATATCAAATTGTTATTACTGTTTAAATAATTAGGTATAGTGAGAATATATACTATCAATTATTAGCTGCGACTAGCCGGCTATTTACAAACTACAAAAATATTAGGCTAAATATGTTCACACAGTTTGAACGAGTTGCTTTCTAATTTTACGACTTTCAGCCAAATAATGGAATATAAAATTTTTTGCAAAAAGTATCACATAACAGTCTGTAAGATAAAAATTATTTATCTCGCGACCCGTCCGTACGGTCTCAATTTCGTACATTGCTTTATAATTCACTGTAAATATCCATTCCTTCTCTTCCGAAAAAATTGTCCAATTTGATAATTATAATTCTCATTCAATTGTACTCACTGTTGAATTATAAAATTCAAGCTTATTGAGGAATATATAAGAAACCAAAACAACTCTAAATAAATTTAATGACTCAGTTCAGTAAAAAAAAATCCGAAGCAATCTAAATGTCTTATCGCAACAAAAATAAAACTCAAAAAGCTTATAAATAACTCAAAAATACTTAAATCAACTCAAGAATATTTAAAATTGGGAAGATTGCACTTATCATCTCAATAATCTCATATTGAAAATCAAATCTCAGCGTGGTATGATACTTCCGGTTTTGTCTCGGGTGCTAACTTTTTGATATGAACAAATGGTAAAAAACGGAAGTATATAAAATCCTAGCAACTTACTTATCTACAAAAATTTAAAAAAAAGTTGTTTTAATGTCAAAAATATACTTAGGGCTTTGGTACAGACGTAAAAAATAATATTGTTTGTTTCTTATAAACTTTTGAAAACAAAATTGACTAAATTTGTCACTTCCACAAAAAAGCAGCTACTTCTTAGATGCTTAAAAAGCGTATGAATTTCACATAAATTAAGTCTACGATAATGAGATATAATTTCGTCTACCTACAAGACTGCATGAAAAGCTTAGTTAAAAAATTTCGCTTCGCTCAGCATAATTCATATACAGCTACGTTTGATATGTTCAGGAACAATGTCGTGACTCTCCTGGGGCCTACTTTAAGGTAGCTCTTTGAAGTCATAAAATTATTATTTTTCAAAAAATGAATTTTAATTAATAGTATTGAAATTGTTTCATGGGTAACACGCATGAAAAATATTATCCTCAAAATTTTTATTTTCAATCTATTACGCTTCCAATGAATAATATTTTCAAATACATCCTGTTGCTTTATTTCGAAACGTCGACGCCAGGTTTTGACGCACCCTTGAAATTAAGCTCGTTTCTATATGTTGTTGCGCGCTGGACTTGGTCGTGAACTCCGTTAGACAGAGAGAGAGAGAAAGAATTCGACCAACCATATTACAGAATTATATTCACGGGTGTTGCTATAATATGTTCGACACACAATCCCCCCTGCACAGCGCCACCCAATCTATATAATATAATGAATCGGGAAGTGCACAGTGCCTAAGGTACTGTGTGTACTGCGTGTGTGCGCCGTATCCGTTCGTATCAATTGCACCGAAATACACGTACATATATACAGTATACTGTGTACGATGATGCATCGCAATTAGTAATTTTCCTTCCGCGCAGTGAGATCGCGAAGATTTTTTTTTTTTTCGGCGAGCTGTCAAGATGTCGGTGCATTACACGCACGCGATCATTTGTCGCGTACCCATGTCCTTGCGCACCTGTGCCGAAATACAGCCGGAGGAGGCTCGTAAGCAGCACCAGGCCTTGGCTCTGCTGCTGCGACAGATTGGCCTCGACGTCATCGAGATGCCGCCCGACGAGGCGTCGCCCCTTTGCTGCTACGTCGAGGATCTCGCGATTGTCTGCAACGGCGTGGCCCTTATCGCCAAACCAAAGGAGTCTTCCAGGATCAAGGAGGTTATTATTAATACAGTAGAATTTAAAAGTAATTTTCACGTAGAAAGCTCACTTTATGCACCATCTACGAATGATTAGTGCTTTATTTAAAATTAATACACACGAGAATTTATTTTTGAAAAAAAGATGAGGAATACCATTTCTATATATTCAATAGCTCTATTTATCAATGGGCGATAAATTCTTGTTTTTACGCTTTATTTTTCGAACAACTGCGCTTTAATTTCAACACTATAAATTACCACGAATTGAATATCCCCGCCAGAAGTTCATTTTGACAAAGAAGAATTATAAAACTATGAACTTTCATTAAGTGTTACCTCAAGATGTATAACTATAGACCGCGCGGAAAACTGTACAGTTGAAAGCTCAAGTTACCGTAGACGTCATCTGAATTTATAAAAGTTCAAAAAAGTTTGTTAAAATTGTGAAATTATTTTTTAATAGTCTGGCCTAAAATCTCGTGATTGTTTCAGAAAAAATCCAAAGCCTATGAAGTCATTTTTGATTTTGTTAATGGAATATAACGTTTTTAAACTGTAGATTTTTAAAAATCGCGCTTTTAGATATAATTATTCATAATAGTTTAATGTAGGAAAAGCGACAGTAAAGTAGCGAATAATTTATAAAGGATAATTATTCAATTTTATATATTCATTTCAATGATTAAAATTTCGTTTCAGATTCAAACCTTGAGAGCTGTCTTAAAAAAAGAATTGGAAATTCCATTGATAGAAATTGCGGATGAGCAAGCATGTTTAGACGGTGGAGACGTTCTATTTACTGGTAACTTATTTTTGTTTTTTGATATTTTTTATTTTTTTTATGATAAATAATGCATCGATTTTTTCTCAGGCAGGGAATTTTTCGTTGGATTGTCGCAGTTCACAAATGAAGGTGGAGCACAAGCTGTGGCAGCTGCATTTCCTGAATACCCTTGCACACCGATAAAAGTAAATTATTTTAACGATTATATTTTCTTATTCTCTACGTAGTTTTTGTGACGATTGAAAGTTTTACCTAAGTCGACATTTCGAACAGACATATAATTTTTCTAAATATTTTTCAAAAATGGAATGAGTCACACGAACTCGAAAAAGTTTTTCTAAATAGGAACGTTTGAGTAACTTAATAAAAGTAATAGCAAAAACGCACGCCTTGTCATTCGAGATCGCGCAAAAATCGGTAATAACTCGTAAGCAAAGTGATCACCTAACAGCAACGATTTTCCGATTTACGAGTTTTGTAGTATGATATATAGAATAGAATCCATCATTCTTTTTTTTTAATATTTTTATGAATGTAGAGAATTCTCCAAGATCCACATACATGAGCGAAAAATAATTTTTCAGGTATCCGAGTCAAACCGTCTGAAAACTTTGGTAACCATGGCAGGTCCTGATGTTATTTGCGTTAGTTCAGGAAAATCATCTCAAGAAGTCCTCAAGGTACAATAGTAAACATTTTTTTTTCGCTTGATTTGCTTTTATTAAATAATTAAATTGATCACCAGCGGATCGAAAGGGAAGCCACGTACAGTTATCAAACTTTAACAGTACCAGAAGATACCGCGGCAAATGTCCTCTACGTAAATGGTGTGTTAATTCACCGATCGCCGGAGGAAATACCGCAGTCAAGTAAATTATTCGCTGAAAAAATAGATTTTCCATCCAAACCTGTCTGCATACAGGAACTGGCTAAAGTGAGTTCTGGCTTAACTTCATGTTGTTTGTTAGTTCGCAAGCCAAGACTTATTCGTAATATATGAATTTAATTTAGGTATGTTAATTGTGTTTATTATTCTTGTATAAAATATATCTGTGTAAGTCTGAAATCTCGAAATCATGACAAGTTACCATTCGTACTTTATCAATAACTGAATGTTTACACATAACATGAAATAAAAATATAACAAATTGGTGCAAATAACTCAGTCATATACTTGTACAATATTTTATTAGCACTTTTTAAATGTACTCATTTTTATATCATCATATCTTTTTATTTTTGTTTCATTGTCTCATTCTATGGATCAAATAGTCGAAACAAATTTTTATAAAAATATATCATTTAATACTCTTATCAGATCGCTCTGACCTTATTATGGCAGAGAACCGTCGGATTTTTCGCGCATTTTTGACACGAATAGATGAATACACATTAAAAAAATATTCAAACAACTCTTTCATCAGCATGAAATTTATAGTGTTACTATAAAACCTAGTCTTAGAATTAGAACAGCATCAAACTGTTCTAACGATACAAAGGTTCCGGTCCGTCTTGTCAAGTAGACGGGTGACGTTCAATTTGACGATCGAGTACGGCCAGGTGGGCGCGTATTCATTAGTGGTTTTATCAGAAAAAAATTTACAAAAACGTATTGTATCAATCATAAGAATCTCACAAATGTTATCCATATCATTACTATCATTACTATTATTTATAAAGATCAACCATCGTCAATTTTAGTTCTTTATTAAGTGTAAAAATACATAATCAAAAACTAACATTCTTAAAAACTCGCAAATAAATTATATTTTATAAAAATGTACAATAGTCAACAACTTATTAACATTAATATACATGACATTCATCAATTGCCTTAGCATTGATATTTTTTAAAATAGTTTTTAGCATTCCTTTTGACCCCACATCAAAAGTTCTTGGAAATTCAGTTCCTGGTGGCCTGCTATACATAGTTTGCATAATTTGCTCCCACTTGACCGGTGAAATGATTTGTTTGATTATTTGCTTTTTCATTTGTGATGGATTCGTACTGAAGACTTTACCAGAAAAATTAGAATATACTGTTGTGTTGGGTGAACTTAAAGGTGCATTGTTTAAAGCTTTCACGAATGATTTCAACGCTGGTTCCATCAAACTAGTATGAAATGCCCCAGATACAGGAAGTCTGGACACTTTGCGTAAACCTAAATTACGAGAATTTTTTTCAATGTATTGAAGAGCTTCATTGCACCCACCAATAACTTTCATTTGAGTATACAAATAAATGGCAACCCTGTAAAAAATATATGATTTAGGAATGTAATCTTAATAGTATAAATTTAATATCATAAAAAAATATTTGACCTGCAAATTGGTTCGGATGCACCAATATCCATCGCCCATTTTTCAGCTTCTTTACAAATCAGAGATACATTAGCGCTAGGAGTACAAATACATGAAAGCATTCCTTGATTAGACATTTCTGTGGCACTTTGCATTGCTACAGCCCTTGCTTTTACTAATTTTAGTCCTTCTTCATAAGTTAGAGCACCAGAAAAGATTAGAGCTGTTAATTCTCCTACACTATAACCTGCAGTAGCCACACATGATTCAAAAGCTTTCGGCCTCTCTTCCTGAAGTTTTTCTAAGGCTGCCAATGATAATACAACAGTTGCGGGTTGATTGAATTCAGTTCTATCTAACAAATTTTGAGGACCTTTAAGACTTAACTTTAAAAGATCATATCCAAGTACACTACTTGCAATCTCATAAAGATCTTTCACTCGTGGAAATCTTAAATACTTTTTGGCATCTCCAACGTTTATAACTCCTTGGCCTGGAAACAATATTATTGATGTATCTGTAGGATCTATGATATTTTTCTTTGGTTTTGGTTTGTCATGATCAGCTGTAACAGGATAGGGGCTTGTACTCCACTCTGAACTATCACTTGTATTAAATGATGCAGCCTCCTCTAAAAGTTTTGATACAGAGGGTTCTTTTGACGAGTCGGAATATTTCCTTTTTTGAATTTTACTATGAACAACAATGCAATTGTATCTACTGCAATCCAAGTAAAGTCTCATTGATGAGAAACAACATCTCATGGTGGTATAATTAACTTTGGACAACATTTTCTCAAAAACCTTTCAAATCATAAATGATACTCTTTAATCGAGCTTTTTTGTGTATTAACAATTGATGCAAATGATATGCGATAGAATGTATACAATCATCTTATAACTCGAATGCAACTTTTAACCTCTATAACTGAAATCTTGCCGAGATCATGTTTTGAATTTACAGCGTGCCGGCTCTGTTGTAATCCATGCGGCTAAGTGTGCACTGACTGCAGAACGCTGTTGAGCCATAGCCGGCAGATTTGATGGGAATTGGTTGAAAAAAAAATTTAAAAACCAGATAAATCACCTTAAAAGATTCTTATAAAGTCACTCTTCAACAATTTTAAAAACCAATGTAAACAATCCAAATATTTTGAATTTACATGGAAATTTGAGTCATCTGCGATTTATTATCAATTAACGTCATTGAAAAATCCATTATGCTAATCGCTATAATTATCGGATTACATTTGGATGAAAAAACAAATTTTCGTGAAAAAATAAAGTAATGTGAATTTAAGTGAGCAAAAAAACGCAGAACGATCTAAAACTTTGTTAATAATTATTCTACAATACTTAATGTTTATTATTCGAAATTGAGTGTTAAATGCAGCTAGTGTTTCCAGTAGTAATAAATGGCTTTTAATTACGAATAAAAATAATATTTAAAATAAAGACAGGATAACATGCAACGATTTACTTCAAATTGGTATCATGAATAAAATTTATGCAAATAAAATTTCTTTTCAATACATTTTTTTATTTTATTTCAGTTCTTTGTACAATACACGCATTTATAGTAAAGATTCACTTAATATAAAATAAATTATCACAGTTTATTCAAATTTCTTTGATGTTAAGAAATAATAAAATTTCATCTATTAAATCAATGACTATTAATGACTATATATTAAATACCAAGAGTAGTTTTTTTCCATTTTATCCAATCTTTCACTTTTTGAGAAAGTTTTTTCTTCTGCGTTAAAACTTTAGCTGCTTGTCGAAACTTTTCTTCGTTTCGGCGAATATACATTCGAGCATCTTGCTCTAACTGAGAAATTTTATCAGGGCGAATTTCCACCATTGTCACCATTTCCGTTAGATAAGGATTGAATCGGAAGTAAGCGTGGTCCGGTAAAAGATCATTCAACATAATATGTACGGCTACGAAAAAATAATGAAAATGTTTGAACAAAATATTTCTAAGTGAATTAATTATATAGAAGTTAAAGTTGTTAATTAATAAACCTTCTGTGTCAGTAGCACTGTCAAGAATTTTGTAGAATTTATCTTTCCAACTTGATGCTGCCGTTTCTATCTTATCATCCGAAAAGTTGTTAATATTTAACGGTGTTCTTCCAGTTCCAAATGAAAGGACACATTGAATTGGACTATTCGGCCATAATTGTTTGGCTTCGTGAATAGCGACAGCACAAGGATTATTTACCATTATACCTACAGAAAATGAAATATTTTTTATTTAAACTTCGTTTAGCTTTAACGCAGTAAAAAGCGACAATTTTATTCTCGTTCACTCGAAAGTTAAGATTCAATTTCGAATACAATATTAAATCATATTACAAATGTTGCTAAAATGAAACGGGATTAAAGTTGCATTTTGGATAGGAACAGTTTTAAGCTTTACGGAACTTTTCCTTATGGCAAAGGTCCTAAAGTTCTAAAGAAATAATAATTCTAAGAGAAAGATATATGCCCACATCGGAAAATCTAAAAATTGAAAAATAAATTCGAAGATTGAAAAATCGTTCGCATACCGGTTAAGGAGTGTAACTAAAAGATTTCGACAGTTTTGAAATTAACAAGACATGTGGATTAACGGATACTTGATCTGTCAAGCCCGAAACGAAGGAAAAAAGTTTACAAGTCTCTTTGAATACATAATAGCTCATTCATTTGACCGAAGTCAAAGTCAAAAGTAACTAATGAATACGTCAATTACGCAAATATACTAAGGGCAATAACGTGATCAACAAGTATAAAAAGCTAAGAGCGATATACAATTCTATTTTTCAATGTATTGAGTTTAGTAAAAGCATTAACAGTTTTACAAAATTACCTCCATCTTGATGAAGAAAACCACCACATTTGAATTCTTCAAAATATATTGGAGCTGCTGCTGAAGCTCTTACTGCTTCCCATAATTTGTGCTTGTAAGAACCTAAATACTGACTTTCCACACCAATAGGTATGGCATAATTTCTAAAGACATAGGCCATCACACGTTCGTGATTAACTACAGCAGATACTACTGAAAACTATGGTAAATATTAACGAAAAATTATATAATAAGTATATCAACGTAATATAAAACTATGGGACTTACGATTTCAATCAATTTAATAAAAATGTTATTCTTACCTTCGGAGCAATTGGATCTCGAGTTGTTTTTATTAAATCTCTAGTACCTAATTGTTCTTGTAACATTTGTTCCCATAGTGCGGTATCATAATAAGCTTGCCGATAAACTAAACCGCTAGTACCTTTAAAAGTACTCTGTGTAAAAATTCTAGTGCTCAGTTCTTTGTACAACTCCGAAATTTCATCCAATGATTTTCTTTTGTGGCCTCCTTTCAAATTTAATTTTTTTGTGAAAAAAGTGAGAATATTATGAAAAAAAATTTTACGAATGAAGTTACTACTAAGTAGCTATCCAAAGGAAAATTATTTTACAAAAATATGAAATTTCATGCGCAAGGATATTGAAAACAATGTGAGCACGTTGGAAAAAATTACCTTGTTTTGTGTCTTCAACCATGGCTGCTTTAATAAACCATTTATTAAGAAATGATTGATAAAATGTGATGCTAAATATGAATGGATTTTCATGGATATTTACCTAAAACTGCAGACAAAATAGCTCCAGTGCTTACACCGCAAATGTAATCAAACATTTCGTGAACTTTTTTCCCTGTCAACTGTTCTAATTTTTTCAGCATTTCAATAACTAAGACTCCTCTTATTCCGCCACCATCAATAGCTAAAATTCTGATTCCTCGAGCTGGTAGAAAATCTACATGACCTAAAACTGCTAAGGCTTCTTTGATTGTGGCTAAAATATATAATATTCAATTTATTATTATGAATATCAATTTGAGAGTGTTTCAAAAATTACCTTTGATTTGTTGATCCTTTGTAAGATTTTGTGATTTGAGTAAAATTCTAACTGCACCACTTTTAACAGCGTAATGACGTGCTTCTGGAAACTGTTCCAAATGATAAAGTAAATCTTCAATTCGTCTCCATTTTGAAGAATTTGACTCTGCAGTAACAATACTGTTTAAAATATGTCTTGTTCTAGATAATATACTATTTTTAGTGATTTTATTTTGTACACTGGTTTTCCATTTGGGCATTGTACTTGGAAGAGGTTGTTTGTTAATGCTACTTATTTTTGGCTTAATTAAATCTGTGATTATTTGAGGTAAATAATAATAAGCATCTTTCAGTTCTGATGAAGTTCCAGTTTGAGGAGTCAACTGATACAAATTTTTAATAATTGTTTTAAATTGAATGTATAATATAATTTAAAAATTTTTGATTATATACATCAAAGCCTGAAATAATACTGTTGTAATATGTAATATGAAATATTGAAACTTTAAAATTCCTCACTGTTATCAAGGAATCAAAACCAATTAATTGAATTTTAAGTAAATTGTGAAGTAGCTAAATTTATATTTCAGACCATGATATAAATAATAAATGTTTATAATAATATTCATTTACCATTCCAGTTTTTGGTTGATCATCTTTTTTGTCACAGATGAGTATATTTTTGGGTTTTATTTCATCACGAATAGATTCATTATTTTTAATAGAAACTTTTACACTGCTTGAATCTTGATTTTCATAAAAATTTAAATACTTTTTTCCAAATTCATTTTGTGCATAAGAAAGATTTTGAAAGAACTCAATATAATCTTTATTTGTTATTATTTTATAATTTTTATCACGTAAAAATTTGTTTAGTAAATTTTTTAACTGGCTCAGAAGTTTTACTTTATTTTGAACTGACATTTTGACTTATTTAATGTCACTACTATTCATTATCCAGTTATTAATAAGAACTTTCTTGGGCTTTTGTACCTGTAAAATTTAAAAAAAATTTATTTAGCTGATACTTTTTTTACATTTATTTTTAATGTAATTTTGATCTTTAAATTATATCAGAAACTAGATTGTACTTGAGATGGTAAATTACAAAAATATTTATAAAATTATCTATGGTATAAAAATATGCATATTATCTTTCATTTCTCTTATGTGCAAATGAATAACAGATGCAATGTCAAATAGTGCTTGTTGTCATCTTGAGGGCTTTTATTTACAAGTTATTGAAAAGGTTATGATTACAATTTGATGTTCTACATGCACACCTTCTCATAACAACATTAATATAATTTATAATTAAAAACATTATAGTCGCAATATCAATGAAGTTTAATGGGCTGATTAAATAAATTTGCATAAAATTATGAATAGCTATTTACCTACAAAAGAGTTGATACTTGTTTGATACGTCTCACTGTTGTTCATCTTCGGATCTTCTTATATAACAATATTTTATTTTGAAGAGTTATAATTATTTAATTTAAACAAATATGTTTATTGTTGCTTGTTTATGCGCAGTACGATATCGACCGTAATAACTGACATTAGTGTGTTATTGAATTCTTAAAGCTTGCTGTCTCTAGACTCGCGCGGAAGCTAGAGGAGGGGAATATAGGAATAATTATTGGCAGTTTTGTTAGTAATCGGGATCGTGTAGGCAGTTTTGAAGTTATATTTTAAAAAAGATTTTTCATAGCTTATACGATGTTTTTTTAAATCTGTATTCAAATGCCTGAGTTTTACGTAAGTGTAATTTTGCGTGCCCAGACTTCGGAATATAAATTTTTTAATTTTAATATCTGAGCTTTGAATAAAAATTTGGTCAAAGAGAACATATTCAATTCACATCCATATAAAAAATTGAATTCAATATGAGTAAAATGGTTTGCTTACTTAGCACGTAAAGTTTTTATTATACGCGAACTGGGAGTTAATGCTAGACATTTTTTGTTTTGTAGAATCGATTCCAGAATGAAACAATACATCTGAATCGATAAACATTGGGTCTATCATCATTTTTCAGTTTAAAAAATTCGTCAAAAATTCATTCCTCGATATTTATGAGCGTGAAAAAATCAATATGACTTGTGAGATTATTCTGTAAGAGATGGTATATTCTTATTATCATAATTAACTGAGAAACTTCCCTTGATATTTTGTTTATTATTATAGTAGGTTTTATCTATTTATGTGGACTAGGTATTTGGTGTTATTAGAATCTTATTGATAATTACTATTTTTATTATAAAAAGAATTTTATTTCTGAATATTATTTACAGTTTGTAAATTAGAGTAACTCATTTTTAATAAGTAAATGAACATAAGTATATATTTACACTATTGACAATTCAGAGATGATCAAAGATGTGAATGTAACAACAGTTTAGCAGTTTATAAAAATGTTATTATCTGTTCAAAATTAAAAAATTTTGGCTATTTAAATCTATAAAAAATAATTTTTAAATAATTTTTTTTTTAATTCATCATTTTATTTAGTTGAATTCAGAAATATTGTTTCCGAAAAATAAGTTAAATAGCCATGATATTTTTCTCTCCTTTAGAATAGCTATAATGAACATAATCTCTGAACAACTAATATCTATCATCAATTATCAATTATTTCAAAAATTCATTATTAAATTAAAACATTCTGAAGAAGCTAATGATTTCAGCAATGATTAGTTATTGTACAGGTTCGTGAAATTTTTCGTAATAAAAACATTATCAAATTACACAAAAACTTATTTATTAAAAGCTTCTTGAGGTATTTTGCCTTGTCTTGAAGCCTCATGAAAGGCTGCAACAGCAGCTTGAAAACTCCAGTTTACTTCTTGTAAGCACTTGAAACTCCATTCAATATTCATATTTGTTTGCGCACTAAGTTCAACTGTCATATGTTGTTTTGCTTCTTCACTTAAAGGAACCTGATTTTCAACTGAAACTGTTGAAGATGGACCTGCTAATGAAGGTGATTGAACAGCTGCAGGTTGGCTCATAAATTTTTTTTCTTGTTGTGCGGATGCATAAGTTATGTGTAATTCTTCATTAGCTATGCAGAATCCAGTTCCTTGAGGGACAATGATCCATGTACGATTAAAAAATCTTATAATATCTTTGCTAATTTTTCCTATTAATTCTTTATATAATCCAGTAACAGTAATAATCATCATTGCTTCCTACAAAAGTAAAATGATTTATAATCGACGTTTTTATTTATATTAATTAAATTAAATCTTGTATTAAAATTAGATACTCACTGTTACAAAATTCACGTCCATCGTGAAACTGTTTAAATCATGCTCTGTAGGTGGCAATTCACAAATAGAGGAAAGTACAGAAATTTTTCCTGTTTTCAGTAATTTTCTTCTTTTAGTTAAATCTGATACTCTGTTTAAACTTCGACTTTCAGTAATGTATTGTTTGTAATTTGGACCTTGGGATATATTTGAAGTCATACTATATAAAGCATTTTCATGATACGCATCGAGTAATGGACTACGATTTCCACTGTCAAAAACTTTGAAATATAGCTCTAAGAATTGTTTAGCAATTTCTTTAGCCTGTTCATTAACTACAAAAACTTGATTAGTTGGTGGATATTTAAGTTTTTGATCATCTACATCAAAAAGTATCGGAGGTGGTAACTGTGCTCCATCCTAAAATACACATATAATAAATGTAACTAAAGTTTATTGTTTCTTAAGATGAATTCAACATAGTAAATTTTTTATACTTACCAATTTTAGTAACTTTGGAAAAATTTTTCTAACTTCACTCTCATATTCTTCTTTAATATTATATTTGTTGCATAATGGATTTCCCTCAAGTCGTAATTCTTCCAAAGGTAATTCTTTTAAATTATTCAAAAAATGTATATCCCTGAACTATAAAATGAAATTAATTTTATTATTAATAATTTTTTATAAGTGAAACCGTTCTCTATGTGAAAGTGTAACAAAAACGCACCTTGTTATCACCTAGATATAAAATCTTCAAGTTTTTAAACTTGTTTAATATTGAACCAAATCCTTTTTGTGATGGATTGTTTAATTTATTTGAATCCAGATTAAGTGCTTGTAAATCTGGCTTAAACTCTGCAACAACACTCATCACATGTTCCAACATGATAGGTCTATTAAGAGGACAAAAATAATCTTGCACTAAGTCTGTAAGAATACATAAAAGAATGAATATTAGCAATGAGATTATTGCTGCATTAAACAAAAATTATTTCACAATTAGCATGTTACATACCTGAGTCTAGATGAAATTTTGACAGATCCAAGGCCATTGTGCTTGCAATAAATCGTTTATTCAATACCAGTTTTATTTTTTCTTCAAGCTCATTACTAAGCTGCACTACCGGTGGCTCAACTCCAGTTTTGACACGAACTTGCATTTTATGCCCATTTCTTTCAAAGTATTCATTGCAATCTTTTAATTTCTTAGCAACATTACCATCATCCACATAAAAGTGTGCATCTTTTCCTTCTGCTTTGTACTAAAAAATAATGATATATTATTATTTGATATATTCTTATCTACAAGTGTATTTTTGAAATATATAATTTTTAATAAGTTACCATTAGTGGATTAAATATTAAAGGAGCAACAAATCTGTGTAAACTGTTGATCACAAAATCTTTTGTGTAATTTTCTCCGTATGGAATCTGCAATGTAAAGAAAAATTGTAAGCATTAATTATGGTTAATTACACAATAATTGTTCTTATCATACAAAGAATTAATACACTTATAAGAAAAGAAAAGTATTTTATTTTTAAATTATTTATATTCTGAAATTAATACTTAAGAGTTAGGAATCATTTGCAATTAATTTTCAAACCATTTTTCATCATAAGAAAATCAAAAAAATTTGTAAAAAGTTTGCTTCTATAAGTTCTAGCGACAATTTTGAAATAAAGTAATAAACATATTCCTACAAAAAACTATTTCAAATAATTTACAACTCATTCTAGTTATAGAACTGTAATATTTAAGGAGATGGCAAAACTAGCCCAAAAATAAAAATTGAAATTCTGCTGGTTCATATCACACAAAACGCATAAAAATAACTTTAAATATTGTAGAAATGTTAGTCATATAGAATAAGAAATGACATTTAAAGAATGAAATAAAATGATAATTAATGGTAATGTAAAAAAATTCTTTTTAAGTTACTTACATCAATTCTTGACCAGCCTGTTGATTCATGTGTATTTGGAACTCTGCCATTTCTACGATCATTTCTAGGTAATGGACTATTTCTCCCTCTGGGAAAATGTTTGCCTCGTCCTCTATGAAGTTGACGCCCATTGTTATTAGAACCAGACATCAAAACATCCTCATCAATATTTTTGAGAAAATTATTCCTAAATTTATCTGGTTTGAAGTTTTGTTTTTTAAATGAAACTCTAGGTTTGCTGTGAAGAAACTTGGATCCTTCTACGGAGTGACCCATTCTATCGTCATGTTCTGGAAGAATTTGTTTAATTTATGAATCTAAATTACTGATATTAGGTAATGTGAAATAAATAACATTAAATAAGCTTTAGAAAACTAAAAAATCATATCTTTGTGAAGCAGTAACGAAAAAAACGCATAAGTTGTACAAATTATACTTCAAGAGCAAAAAAGTAAGTATAGAATTCATTTAATACAAAAATAATAGTTGTGTGTAAATACATACCTCCTGAATAACGTTTTTCATCATGAGATTTATTAGATCTTCCTCCTCCACGTCCAACACTCCAAAAAGATTTGTTCGATTTCTTATTAGGCATTATAAAGCTTTGTGAAACTGTATGGTATAACCTCACTTTTGGAATGATATGCTCGGCACAGTTCAACAAATTTGGGCAATTTTAGAGGTTAAGGTGAATAAGTATTCAGCAATAAATTTATGCACTCATGCATACAAGATGCCTCAAATAACATTCAGCAGAACAAACGTTTTACAGTCCTATTATTGACATAGAACTATACACACATAATACAGGTGTAATGGAAACTCAATTGCAGACAGTTTGAACGAGAATACCTCGTTCGTTGATTACCCACGTTTTGGGTAGCGGAATATATGCCTGAAGAAGTAACGATGCATTGAAGGGATATGCACTATACACTCACAAACTAGGTGTACACTAATTATTGCTTAAAATGTTTAGCTCTCGCTCACGAACGTCCATAAGCCTACGGACTATGTGCGAGTTACAAGACTGGTCAGACTTATATGCGATGACTGTACTATATAGCCAACGCATAGACGTGTATTGGAGCAACTATCTATACACCAGACAGAGACACCAGCCACTTTACTGCGAGCGGACAGCAGGCACGTTGAGTAAGGTGAGTCTATGGTGGGGGGAAAAACGTGACCGTTCTATAACCAAGGATCCATAATTAAATGCCTTATTGTATAGGGAGTTCTTTGGTTAGGACGGTCGCGTTTACGTTTCACAACTTCGCACACTGCGGGATACTTTTTTTTCAAATACTTCATAAAATAGTACTTACACAATTCTTTTTAAGCTTAAAAAAATGGATTTGTAGAGCATATTAATAAAACATAGATTTTTTTCAACATTACAATACGAAAAAATGGTAAAGTTTTTTATTATAATTGTTTTTAAACCCAGTATGAAAAAACAATAATAGCAACAATGAAAAATTAAAAACCAAAAACTAGCCCTTGTCATTATTTAGTTCATGCTCGAAGCGTATTTTTTTTTTTTTACATCTGACGTCCGTTCAACAGTTCACTTAATTTAATTTGTTTGTAAAAACTTCAAATGGATTAATACCGAATAATTCATTTTGAATGACTCTCATATTTATTTCCCGCGGTCTGCTGGGCATTGCGATATGCATTGCATATACATATACACGTGCGCAAAGCTGTGTAAAAACATGCCATGGTGATGGTGTTCAAGACAGTCAGCTTTTTTCATAAGGTATGTTGTGCTGAGGCTGCTGGGACCTGGGTCAACCTGTTTTAACACGACTCTGAAATCTGACTGCACGTGCGCCATGCGGGCAATAATGGAGTTGCTTATTCGGTTCTAATGATTATACTTTCTCTCAGTTGAGATTTAAATTGTCGAACATTTCACACGTGCTTTTGAAGTGTATAGATCCATCTATTATACTAATAACAAACGTGCCAGCTAATTTTTGTTTTTTACTGTCAGGTATGTTTTGAAACTTTTTCATGCTCTACAATTAATATAAATCAAGTTGACATTTAAGTGATATATTTTGATAAAAATCATCATTTCCTTGCACTTTACCGACTACTTTAACCTCGTTATTTTGTAGATTAACTTGTTGTGTTTATTTGAAAACTTGACATAGACTTTGAAACATATTCAATTTATTGTAGCATTAATTTTTATTTTTAACCAAGTCATTATTTTTATAAATGATGTTAATAATACTTATATTATTTTCAGTCGATTGACAGTTTGTAGATAAATAATAAAATTTTTAATACTCAAAATGTCTGATGAAGAAATGATGGACAATTTTGATTCTGATGATGATTCATTTGAAGGTCAAAATAAACTACAACAATATAATGGATCAAAAAAACAAAATTTTGACAGCGATGATGAGGTTATGGGTGGTTTAATTTCTGAAGAAGATGACCATGATTCTATAGAATCTGATATTGAGGGTCTCAATACTGACTTTAATTTACCCAACGAAAAAGCGTGGGGTAAAAAGAAAAAAGCATATTATGCCACAGACTATGTTGATCCTGATTATAATTCAGTCAGTCAAAAAGATATTGAAGAGGCTGAAAAAGAAGAAGAGGTAGCAACAAGTTTGCAAAAGCGCCTGTTTGAACAAATTGATGAAAATGATTTTGGCCTAGAGTCTTTTGTTACAACATCAAGTACAGTCAGTGATGATAAATACGAATCCTACAAAACTAAGACTGATTTGGATAAACTTAGTAAAAGAGAGAAAAAAATATTTTTTGAAAAAGAAAGTCCTGAATTTAAACCAATATTAGCTGATTTCAAAGGTAATGCTTTAAACTCTTTAGCTTAATATAACTATTAACATACATGATATAACTATAATTAATAATTGATTCATGTTTTTTTGTAGGGTACTTGACAGAAGCTAAACATGTTTTAGTTCCGTATTTAAAAAGTTTTGAATCAAATTATCCAGAATTGGCTTCAACAAAATTTTTCAAAACTAAATTAGATGTAATCATGCACTACTGTATGAATATTTCTTACTACTTAATGCTAAAATCAAAAAATGTACCTATTGCCTCTCATCCTGTCATCAAAAAATTAGGAAAGTATAAGGAGATATTATACCAGATTGAAAAAGATCAAGGAGATCTCATAGAAAAAGCACAAATTTTATTAGAATCACAAGAAGAAGGAAAAACACTGTACAAGGTCAAAAATTGTGACAAGTCTGTATGTGAATATGAACATAAACTTGAAATGTCAAACGAAGAGAACAGTGAAGAGGATAATGAAGAAGATAATGAAGAAGATAATGAAGAAGATAATGAAGAGGAAAAGGATATGATGGATGAAAGCAGTAAGAATGATAATAATGCATTAGTTAATCCAAGTTCAGAACAGAGCAGCGAAAATCCTGAAGATGAAAAGAGATTTATTAATTACCAAATAGCTAAAAACAAAGGTCTTACACCACACAGGAAAAAAGAACAGAGGAATCCCAGAGTTAAACATAGAAACAAATATCGCAAGGCCATTATACATAGAAAAGGAGCAGTAAGTTTCTTTTTTTCTCTTTTTTTCCAACATTTATACATACATATTACTATAATATTAATTATTTTTAGGTCCGACAAGTCAGAAAAGAAGTTACCAAATATGGAGGTGAAATATCTGGTATTAAGGCTGGTGTCAAGAAAGGAATCAAACTTTTGTAAAAACCATATACATGTTAAAAATTTAGTTGTTAATAAAAGTTATAAGTGTCAATACATAAAAAAATCGAACTTTTTCATTTTGAATATTTTATTATTAATATCATAAATGAAACAATGTTGGTTACCAACTAAATGACTTGAAAAGTTTATTTGACAAAACTCTTGTCGTCAACATTTTCTAAAAAGTAAAAATTAAACACTGATAATGTATCAAATAACGTTCTATCGAGTAAATTAACTTTTGTTTATTCCTCCAACTTAGCCAAAATATCTGCCTCACGGAATAAGTGAAACTCTTTTTTATCTTCTAGCTCGACTTTAGTACCTCCATATTCAGGTAGTAACACTACATCGCCAACCTTGATGCTTGGTGTAATATGTTCTCCTTTCTGAAATTTATAAAATATAAAAATTATTGTTTATCAAAAATGAAATAATTATGAAATATTTATATTGCTTTAATGAGACTGACCTCATTTCTGGATCCTGGTCCAACTGCGACAACTGTTCCTTTCAATACCTTGCCCTGGGCTTTCTCAGGGATGACAATGCCACCTTTAGTTTTGGTAACAGCTTCTGCCCTTTGGATAAGAACTCTATCAAACAAAGGAACGAGTCGTTTAACAACAGCGGCAGCAGACTGAAACATTTTAAACAAAATTATCAATTATTAAACAGAGAATAAAAATTGTGTATAAGTTAAGAGCTAAAAATTTTCTGTGGTCTCATTGTAAAAAAAAAATGATCGTTAAATATCTAAACTTCGTGAATTTTATCATTCATTTGTATTATCAAAAAGTACCAAGATTCTACCAACATACAAATGAATTTTGAAAAATAAAATTTTCAAACCGTAATTTCAACTTTTACATAACTAAACTAATTGGTAAGATACTAAAATAATCTTTGAAATCGAAAAACAAAACTGCAACACCCAAGACTTACCATAGTTCGTTTTTGGATGACAATTGGAAAAAGCCTAAAAAATGATAATTAATCCTTTGCGCGTATAACCTTTGCGACGAATTGCACTGCGGCGAGCAATGAAGATGTTCTCCTCGAGTACGGTCGACTGTGTCTGTGTAACACGGTACCTATCTAGATCATTCGCTCAACTGAATTGCGGCGTGCTTCACGGCTTCTAGCGTGTTTTGAGACTGCGAACATTCAGGCCGGCGCGCCGGTGCCGCGTGGCAACTTGAACTCCGAATAAAACAATTTTTTCAGCGCTCCATGTGGCAAGTTCATCTCCGTAACATGGGACCAAAATTACGTAATCGTCGCGTAGGAGTGCCGGTACCGAATTGTCCCAGCACTTTTCTCATTGTACAGCGAAAAATATGATGACGTAAAATCGATGCGAAATTTCACGAAATTATGTCATAATGCGACATTTTCGAGCATCTCAGGTGTACTCGAAAAATCACTTCAAATATTTATGTCGAACAATTTTTATGAATGAGCATTCTCGATTATTTATGCTCGAGAAATATTTGCATTGCAATTTAGCGAATGATAATGATTTATGTTGTTGACATGTGAAGCAAAAAGATTTGTCATTTGATAAATGAAAACTCAAAATATTAATTGCGGTATGAGTTTTATTTTGTCATAATAATTTGTTAAAAAACATGAGTTTATTTTTTTATATAAATTCCTAGACCGCGCTAAACAGTACTACTTGAACATATCTGTTTATAATCCGATCGTCATTACGTATAGTTTATATAATATTCAAATTTCTCATGGATTCTTAACAAACAATTGGGAGGCATTTTTTCTCAATTTTTTCGATAAGACGGTCAGATCGATCGAGGTTCTAGAAGTTTTCGGGTTTCCAGAACTTTGCCGGCATACAATATACACGATAAAGAAGCAGACATCTACATACAACACTTTCTGGATGATTCGGTCAAGACCCCCCAGACCGCAGTGGGGACAGTGACGAAGACTATTCCAACACGCAACGCAGCGCAACGCGCACGCGAGAGATCTAATTCCACGTCTGCCCGCTCGTATCGGTATACCTCACTCATTTTAGTAGAAGGAACTGGCATTGCAACTTCACTTCGGAGTCTGCAGACGAGAATAATTTTGGAATTTATCATAAATTTTATTACCGAGAAAGGAAAAAACATTTTACAAGGTATGAATGCTTCTAATAATTACGAGTCATTACGTGTAGCGGTTATAATTTCGCTTCGTTTTTCACATCGAGTGTTGTTAACTCCGTATCCGGCATTTGTAAAAAAAATGTGAAATAATTTAATTTTCATAAACTAGAACAACTTTTTTGGTTAAAGTTTTCATCAACTTAGATGAATCAATAACGAGTTAATACGTTTTTCGTGTAATCAATTGCACACGTTGATTTAGTGGTCACACGGCGGTTTTTACATAACCATGAATCTTTGAGTGCAATGTATTGTATAATATGACGATATTACTATTTAATTTGTTTAAAAACAACAACAATCCATCAATTTATGTTACTTTAAAGCATTATATATTAATTGTTTACTTTTTATCAATTTTAGATGTTCAGACTACCCACACTTCTTCGCTCGGTTGCTCTCCGAAAGGTGCAACTTCAAGCTGGCTATGCCAAGGATGTGAGATTTGGAGCAGAAGTTAGAGCTTTAATGCTTCAAGGTGTTGACATTTTGGCTGATGCTGTAGCTGTGACTATGGGTCCTAAGGGTCGCAATGTCATATTAGAACAAAGTTGGGGCAGTCCTAAAATCACCAAGGATGGTGTTACAGTTGCTAAAGGTGTTGAACTAAAAGACAAATTCCAAAACATTGGAGCCAAACTTGTGCAAGATGTGGCCAACAACACAAATGAAGAAGCTGGTGATGGTACTACAACCGCTACTGTCTTAGCTCGAGCCATTGCCAAAGAAGGCTTTGAAAAGATCAGCAAAGGTGCCAATCCAATTGAAATCAGACGCGGTAAGTTGAACGAATATAATAATCTCTTCATAATAAAATGATTTGAAACTTGTACTTAATAATTGTTTTCTTATAGGAGTCATGATGGCAGTTGAAAAAATTAAGGAAGAACTTAAAACTTTGAGTAAACCTGTTACAACACCAGAAGAAATTGCACAAGTCGCTACCATCTCAGCCAATGGTGATTTAGCAATTGGAAATCTGATTTCTGATGCTATGAGGAAAGTTGGAAAGGAAGGTGTAATTACAGTTAAAGACGGAAAAACCTTGAATGATGAGCTTGAGATCATTGAAGGAATGAAATTTGACCGTGGATATATTTCACCTTACTTCATCAATTCCTCCAAAGGAGCCAAAGTTGAATTCCAAGATGCTTTACTCTTATTCAGCGACAAAAAAATCTCTTCGGTCCAAAGCATAATCCCTGCTCTTGAACTTGCTAATTCTCAGCGTAAACCACTTGTCATCATTGCTGAAGATATTGATGGAGAAGCTCTTTCTACTTTGGTCGTCAATAGATTAAAGATCGGTCTCCAAGTAGCTGCTGTCAAAGCTCCAGGCTTTGGAGACAACCGAAAGGCTACCATGCAAGATATGGCTATTGCCACCGGTGGTATTGTCTTTGGAGATGATGCTGATATGGTGAAAATTGAAGATGTTCAAGTACGCATGATGAAAAATATGAAAATGTTTTTGTTCCATTGAGAATTTATAAATAATTTTTTTTTACTTTGATTTTTAGCCCACTGACTTAGGTCAAGTTGGAGAAGTTGTCATTACGAAAGATGATTGTCTTCTGTTGAAAGGAAAGGGTAAGAAGACTGACATTGACAGAAGATCTGATCAACTCCGTGATCAAATTGAAAATACAACTTCCGATTATGAAAAAGAAAAATTGCAAGAGCGTCTTGCTAGATTAGCATCTGGCGTAGCTGTATTGAGAGTAGGTGGAAGCAGCGAAGTTGAAGTCAATGAGAAGAAAGATAGAGTTCATGATGCTCTTAATGCTACTAGGGCTGCAGTAGAAGAAGGCATTGTCCCCGGAGGTTAGTACTCTTTTCTTTCTTTTTTATTATGTCTTTTTTTAATACAGCATATTAATTTACACTTCAAATTTTCCAGGTGGTACTGCCTTGTTGAGATGTGCGCCGTCTCTGAAAACTCTTTCACCATCAAATGAGGATCAAAAGACTGGCATCAACATTGTAGCAAATGCTCTTCGCATGCCTTGCCAACAAATCGCTCAGAACGCTGGCGTTGATGGTAGCGTGGTAGTAGCCAAAGTCTCAGAAGGTACACTGGGCTATGACGCATTAAACAATGAGTATGTTGACATGATCGAGAAGGGAATCATTGATCCTACTAAGGTAGTACGTACTGCTCTGACCGATGCTGCTGGTGTTGCTTCTCTCCTCACGACTGCCGAAGCCGTTGTTACCGAATTACCTAAAGAAGAAAGCCCAATGCCAGGCGGTGGTATGGGCGGCATGGGTGGTATGGGTGGCATGGGTGGCATGGGTGGTATGATGTAAATTTTAGAAACCTTGTAAAATGTTTACACCTAAGACTGACAAGTTTGTAAAAATGTTACCCAAAAAGCATTGATTTATAATTATTATGAATCGTTCAGTTTTTGATATTCTTATGACTCCTAAAGAGATATTCCTCATTGATAGCTTTTATTGTTTGTTAATAAGCAATCTTTACGGCACAATAGTGTTGCAAGAATTAAAATACTTTTAATTGAATATTTGAAGCTTTGTGTAAGTTTCACAGTTCAGAAATTACATCATATAGTTCTTGTTTCATATTTATTACTTAGTAATTAGTATTGAATGAAATTTTTCTTTTTTTTTAAATGATTTTATATACAAATCAACGAAGTTATTTTAATTATTTGCATTTTTAAAAAATAATAAAATACTTCTCAAATGTTATCTTTTTTTCTATTTCATTAAATACCTCACCTCCTATACCTTATAGAATAAAATTATTTGAAAATGTCTATTACATGATTCAACGGTAAAGATATGAAAAAATATAGGTATCAGGATATTCCGATGTTCAATACATGTTGGTGAGTGGAAATAAATTTTATTAAATTTTATTGTTCATTAAAATAATTAAAATCACCAAATCATGTTGTTTAGCTTATGAAAATTGATGTGCTTGGCACTGGAAACATCGATTAATACTAAAAAAATTCAATTATTTTTATTATTTACGGTATAAAGAGGATAAGATTTAACTTTCATGCTCTTGCGAATACGTGTATGCTGTCAATAGCGAGTAGTAGTCTTTGTGGATGATGATGTCTCGATTCTTCATCAAACGAAAAAAAAATTTGAAAAATTTTTTTTTGCTTTCATTTTAGCGGCAAAGTGTACATTTTCAAGATAACAATTTAAGCTTTCTTGGTAATACTCTCGTTCTCTAACAATTAAAGTTCGATGAAAGTCAAATTTGACTCTACATACGAATAAAACTTAAAAAATAACTATTTCAAAATTTCATAATTTTAAATATAATTTTTTTTTTGTAGAAAATGTCAATATTTTGAATAATTGTATCTAATTCGAAAAAATTTGTTTATAATTCGTTCGAACAATCATGAATGACATCAACGTATAGAGTTTTTACATACATGGTAAAAAGTAATTACTAACAGAAAATGTTGCAAGATTACCAAATTGAATCTTGCCACCTGTAATCGCACCTGAAGATGCCGAGCTCCATTACTAGCAGAAAACCTTAGCGTTATAACCACTATCTGCTATCGTATATAAAGACGGACCCTAAAAGCAATCCGAAAATCATGTGGTTTAGCATACATATCAGTTATTAAATTTGGAAAATTTACTTTTTATACAAGAATTAGTATACCGATTTTGATCTTAAATGTATCATGTTAGATTTTATGAGTATTTAAAGTGAGTATAAGTATATAAAATAACAAGTGTATAAAGTATCAGTTTATATTTATGTCTGTAAAAAAAGTTGCCATTGACATAAAATGTCAAAATCACCCAGCAACATGAGAAAAACTAAGTTGTTTGTTGAAACTATTGGCAATAATGTCCATAAGAAGATTACACCCCACTTCAGCAAGTCAAAGGTTCTGAAGATTTTGTTACACTGAAGTAGCTGAGTTGATGCCTTTCAAGGCTATTTATCACACTATTGTTATTTTTTTAGTAAGTTTTTCTAGTTTATACTGATTACTTTAGCTAAATTACACATTTATGCTATGCAGTTTTGTTAAATCTAAATTTTTTTTACTTAGTTTGTTGTATTCTAGCTTAATTATTGTTGCCATACTTGTTGTACTAATGGTGCTAGTTACTGTGATAAATTATGTTTTCTAATTTCAATGACAAAAAAAGAAATTTTTAGTAATTTTTGATAATTATAATTAACTTGGTGAGGGAGTATTTATGTAAACAATAATTTTTCAAACAAATGAAATGATTACCACGCAACATGTACTTTTATAATATCTACAAACCAGGAGTCTACGTGAAATCCAAATCACATATCTGCTTCAAAATTTTAAAAACTTTTGAGAGGATTGCCATATGTTTATCGATATATCAATTATTGATTTCTCAATCATCAGCTATGCCCAAATTATCCCAAAACTTTTTAACATTTTTATCAGAATGGTTACTATTTTATATAATTTTAATAAAAATGTACAATGTACTTATAAGTGTGCTTCCAAAATAGAACTGGATCGTCAATATCTAGGGTTTAATCAATTTCAAGTCAATTTCATAAAAAAATATAAAAATTACCTACCAAAAAATATCTAAAATTTGCTGTCAAAACATTCATAAATTTTTGTCAACTCTTTATTCTCACTGGTATGATATTTGAACCATTTTTTATTTGTTGGAATTTTTGTGGGTAAAATTAGGGGAGCTGGGCTTGATATACAATATTTTTGAATCATTATGAAAATGAAATCATCCCAGAAACTTTGAGAACACTTCTTCTTTGACTACTTCTTTTATCACTTTTTATTTCTCTTGGTCAAGTACCCATAGTATAGCAGCCGGCAAGGTATCATTTGTACATATGAAACTTGTCCAATATTTATACACATTTTACTTGTGTACAGAAATGCCCGTGTACAAGTTTCATGTGTACAAATGATACCTTGCCTAGCAGTCATGATCTAAAGATTGGCATGTATATGGACTATATCGTGTCAACTGTCCCCCCCCTTGGATCAGAGTTGTAATTTGATTTTTCATATTTTATTCTGCTTTCCAAGAGTGAATATGAAAAAATGATTGAAACATGATTTTTTATGTAAAATGTGATGAGGAATTCAAATTTTATGTCAAAAATCATATTCATAAACCCCAAGAACCTTAATTTCTAAATTTCAGCTCAAGTGGTACAACTGGTAGTACAACTAAATATTTTGTTGTTTTTACCAAAATTTCATGAAACTAAAGAACAAAAGATTATTTCAATGAAATTATTTCAAAGATTGTATTTAATTAAATTTTCATTGAATCAATGAATTTTTTGTCTCAGTGTACATGTAGTTTTTAATACACTAATTGAAAGATAACTTAATCTTCCCAACAAATAGTTTCCCACTTTCTTCGTGAGAGCATCGTGTCCACCTCCATTTATTGGAAAGTCTATGATGTCGCAGCGCATCTCATTTAATTTTAATTTCCATGTTAGAATTAGAAAAATAGGGTATGACTATATTCCTTATTAGTTCTTATGGGTCTCTCACATTGAATACTGAGAGGCGCTGCGCTGTGGAACAGCTAACCAACTGGTAAAGTAGGCGGGGCCTCACTTTTTTACTTTCTCCAAATTCGCTCTGAGCGTTTGAGTGGAGCTTAGAGTGGCGCTACAGTCACCATTTACACGTAATCTTATGGAAAAACCGGACGCGTCCCGAAAAAATGCCAGCGTCGGCCGCTCGAACTAAATTTTTTCTTATGAAAATTAACATGATGCAAGACAGCTCTCAGTCCACGCCGAGACTTTACAGCGCGAACATCACAGAGACGTTGCATCCATCGTTGCGCCGTGAGTCTCGTGAAATAAATTAAAAGTATCTCAAGTCATAAGTGAAAGTTTTTAGTGAGTGCGGCGCAGGAAGATGTCGCGTCTACCGCAGTCAGTGCCTACACTAGGAGAAATCGAAATTTTCGAAAATTTACTAAGCGACGTCGAGTGGGAATCGCTAGAAAAGCGACAGACACTTGTCTATCGACTACACGAGTTAATTCACCGTTGGGATTCGCCGTATCCGGATCTTCGGCAATTTCTTCAGCCACGTCAAATCGATCAGTTGCTCGAAGAAGCCGTGAATATCGATGGCGATTACGATGATGATTATCCGGGAGAACTGATCGTCAAGTTCGTTGTCAGCTGCGGCTACAAGGACGTGCCCGAGTTCGATGGAGACGGCAAGCTATTGAGTCGTTCTACTCCTTTGCACACCATATCGTACAATTACGCGGGTGCAATCTCGCCCATGGTCATGAGTGACCTTTTTCTCATTTACGATCGGTTCGACGTCAATTACGTGAACGAAATAGTTTCACATTTCCACGTGGCTTGTCTTTACGGCTGCTTGGACGTAGTCGAGAAATTTCTCGCGTCAGGTCAGAATCCCAATTGTCCCGGGTTCACTCCACCCCTGTACTTCGCTCTGATCGGCAGGCCGGAAACGAGCTCGGCGGTGATGAGAATTCTGTTGGCACACGGTGCCGATCCCAATTTTGCCGACAAAGAAATGCGAAATACAATTCTACACCGATTGAGCACTCGATACGATCCTCGCGATTATGACTTGATGAAGAGGTTCATCGAGATTTGCGAGGAGACGAAGCAGACGCTGCAGGTGGACGCCCAGAACGAAGACGCTTGCACACCGTTTCTAGTAGCTATGGCTTTTAAGAATTACGAAGTTGCCGAATTGCTGCTGAGAAATGGCGCTAATCCAAATTACACCAATGAGGCTGAATCGACTCTGCTACACTTTTATTGCATGACGGACGAGCACGAGGAATCTATGAAGAAGCTGTTTGAAATCTGCGACAACTCACAGCGGACGCTTGAAATCGATCATGCCGGTAACGCGTGGAACTTGACACCTCTCCATGTGGCCGTAATGAATTTCTTGCCGTACAACGTCAATCTGCTTCTGGAACGCGGAGCCGATCTATCGAACTTCGTTTTTCCCGATTTCGAAGGCGTTTCCAAGCGATTCGCAGCGATACAGAGTAAAAATTTGATCAATTACAACTTGGAAGCGGCGTCCAAGCTCATGCTCGTCGTCGAGCACCTCAAAAGGAAAGGATACGAACTGGCCGAGAGCGACGCCTTGGCTATCATGCGATTTTTCGTCAAGTTTGACTTTTTCAAGGGGTCGGAGAAAATCGAAGAACACGCGTGCCGTCGTGGTTTCGTGGAAGACGCGGAAAGATCGATGATAAATTCCAACGTATCGCTCTACAAACTGATCGAGCTTGGGCCCAGACAGGCGGCGAAACAAGTCACGTACGCGGACTACTTGGCGTTCTCGCGCTCGAAAGCGCATAAAGATCTGCCCAAGAGACGGACTAGCGACGCGTTTCTGTGCGACAAGCTGGCGTGGAAATTTCTCATGAGCTGGGCGCTGGAGCCTTTCATAGGATTGACGCACTATCGGCTGCCGATGGAATGCTGTGAAATGATCCTCGAAAATCTGAGCAGCAAGGACTTGATAAACATTTACTTGGCGGTTTCGGGCCAAAAATCTGGATAAATTTAACTCCGCTGTATCTAATTTTTTCAATGTTACACGTCGATCGAATAAATAAATGAAAAAAAAGAACAAATTTGACTTTTCCTTTGATAAGCCTCCATTAGAACTCGATTTTTCAAGTTTCAGCTAAATAAATGATACATAAAGGCGATGCCTTGGCCATAGTGTTTGGCGATACTAAAAATATTACGATAATGAGCCTAGAAAATGATAACTTTTTATTATATTTTGATTGTATGCATTGTGTACTTTTTTTTTTATCGAAGCTTAAGTTTAATTATTATTATTTCAATTTTTTTAATTTATTCAATTTTTTGAATAATATATACTTTCCCTTACTGTTTACATAGAGCAGCACATTTTCTTTCATCGAGACTACCGAAACAACGACTCGAGTCGGTCAATGACCAACCGTACTAGAACGACGCGCCGAGTGACCGGACTGAAATTGCCGTTCGAGGGGTAGGACTGAATGCTCGCGAAAAGATAAAGTCGAGAGCGACCCAGTGGCTCGCGTCAGCCAGGAAAAGACTTTCTCCCATAAGGCCACGTGTTATAGATAAGACAGCTCGGAGTATCCCGGCAAGGGGCTGTGGTATCTATAGGGAACTTGGGCACAAGTGGCGTTTGCTTACACTCATCGAGAGATAGTCCTCCTGGATAGTCGCTGAGATGGCGTCTGGGACGTGTTGTAAGGAAATTTAGAACTGAACATCATTTTTTTTATATCAAAAACCAGTTGACGATTTTCGTGGAGACGTCACATGTTGCAAGTACGAGGAGTGGTTTGGACAATTTGAGACTCGGTTCGAGCCCTAAATGATTTTACATAAGAGTCGCAGAGATTCCGCATGTAACAATTGTGAGAAGCCGTTTGGATCACGAAAGTCGTTCCAGATGTCTTCTTTCACTTGTCACATGCGTAATCTTTGGGACTTTTGTGTACTGTCATTTGGCGTTTGAATCGTTTCTCATTTTGTCCAAATTTCTTCTCGAACTTGGAGCAGGTGATTTCTTTGCGAGCATCGTTTACTGGTTTTTAATATAAAAAAAAAAGATGATCAGTGCTTAATTTCCTTTCAACTCGTGCCAGACCTTATCTCATCGGCTATTCTGAAGGGCTGTTTCTTGATGATTACGAGCAAACGCCACTTGTGCCCAATTTCCTTTAAGGGGTTTTTCGCTACCTACTTCTGTTTGTCAAGCAGCAGCACTACTATTACGATCATGAGCCTAGAAAATGATAACTTTTTGTTATATTTTGATTGTATGCATTGTGTACTTTTTTTTTATCGAAGCTTAAGCTAAATTATTATTAATTCAATTCTTTTAATTTATTCAATTTTTTGAATGATATATACTTTCACTTTACTGTTTACGTAGAGCAGCACATTTTCTTTCATCGAGACTACCGAAACAACGACTTTAATCGGTCAATAAATGACCGGACTGAAATTGCGGTTCGAGGGGTACGACTGACTGCTAGCGAAACGATAAAGTCGAGATTCGCTTGCTGGCTTCCAGCAGTTAGGAAAATACTTTTTTCTGTACGTTCAAGATCAAATTCAAGGTTACTTTTCGACGTCCTCTGCTGAAAAAAATCATGGGAAAAATCATATGATGTTTTGGCATGATTTATCCAATGATTTTTTATATGATTTATCATGAGATTTTTCCCAGGAAGGGAAACAAACCCTTATTTTTAATATAAAAACCATCAGAAGGAAGTGCCAAAATATAAAGTCTGAATTTATTATTGTTATTGAAAATGAAGAAACTACTTTTGAAAATAGCTAAAAAAATGTACATTTAGAGCACAACAATTTAAATAATTTAAAAGAGTTTGAAGTGAATTATAAAACTAGTAGTCATGGAAATTTAGATATAACAGTGTTATCTTACCATCAAGAAAATATTGATGCTAATCGTTTACAAAACGGTACAAATTCAGGCAGTTTGATGATTCAACAGTTCGGCAGTTTTATAATTCACTTCAAACTCTTTTAATATATTCAAATTTTTGTGCTCTAAATGTACATTTTTAAGCTATTTTCAAAAGTAGTTTCTTCATTTTCAATGACATTAATTAATTCAGACTTTAACTTATATTTTGGCACTTCCTTCTAGTGGTTTTTAAATTAAAATATGGGTTTGCCTCCTTTGCTGTGAAAAATCATATGATAAATCATATAAAAAATTATATGAAAAATCATGCCAAAACATCATATGATTTTATCCTGCACACAGTAATCAAAAATTTCGATCCTGTTTTCCGGAAAAACTACCTGATGAAATTGGCTGAAATTTGGTACAGTTATTCACAGCTATAATTCGGAGGGCTCTGCAGAGCCGTTTTTCAAAAATCAGCCTGGAAAAAAGTTACGAAAATATACATTATCTGTGCTCGTTCGGTAAAAATTGTGGCCAAGGCATCACCTTACTAGGAATGACCGCGTTGCATGTACATGTTCCTATAAGTGTCATTTTACAGTACACATACATTGTATGTACAATATATTGATATTCCTTACAAAGAATAACACTTTTATATTTAAATTAACACATAAAAGCTAGCATGTATTGGATGCTCCTGTAAAAAGGTGATGGACGATCTTCTTTGCATTTTTACCCAAAAATCGGGTTTTAACGATTCATTGATAATTGCTTGGAACCTTTTTTTTGAATAATATACAATACACATGGTAAAGAGGACAATGCCTAACTAATTCTAATAAAAACAATTATTATTATGCAAAATCATTTTTTATCCAAACCTTTTTCACGCAAATCGACTTATTTAATTTCAGGTAACATCCAATTTGGAGAGCAAGAATAAATAAGTAATTCATGAATAATGCTACAAAACTACATTAGTTCGCGCTTCACCAAGCGCGCGCTATTGCTGCTGTTGGCCTGGGGTCTGATTCTGATCGCCACGGTACAATTGCGCCAAGTCGCGGTCAGCAATGGCAGCAATCAAAATAGCGTATTTCTTCAGTCGGCCAAAGAATCTCAGACCAATCAACAGCAAGACTCGGAGTTGGACAAGCTTCTCATCGATCGACGCGGTCCCCGTAGCGAGGACGAATTGGTTCGCGAGATCGAGGAACGTCTTCCCAGTCTTCCGTTGAGCTATTGGAATCTTTATAGAGTCAAGCAACAGACGAAGCCCAATCGCAACGAGACCAATCAGGGTGGCTGTCTGCCGCGATATCCCAGTATTTTCGAGCTCGAATTCAACAATGCCTACTGGCAAACGCTGCGCACGAACAACGGCACCTTTCAATTGTTCGGCGCGTTCTACGACGTGCGCGGCTTGTCTCGCATCGGGCCGGCCATCAGGATCGTCGGCATGATCGACCGCATCGAACCGACGGTTCGCACTTACTGTCAGATGTGGTGGGAAAACGAGCGGTACCCTCGAATCGTCGAGATTTTAGAGTACAAATACGTGTGGTACAAAAAGTGGGGAAATTACAAGCAAGGCATCTATCAACCGTACGTGATAGCGTGCAAGGTGCCGCAGTCGCACTGGCATCGAGGCGCCCCGGCCTCGGTGTCGTTGGTCGAGCGTCGCTGCGACACGGCGAGCAACAACCTTCGAGTCATCTACAACAGACCGCCCAACGACAAGAAACACGACTTCGCCGTTTGCGTCAAGGGCCTCGACTTTTTGCACGATGATCTGTCCGTGCGAATGGTCGAGTGGATCGAGCTGCTCAACCTTCTCGGCGCTGACAAAATTTTTTTCTACGAGCTGCAAGTTCATCCGAACGTCAGCAAGGTGCTGCAACATTACGAGCGTCTGGGACGCGTGCACGTGACTCCGCTCACTTTGCCGGGACACCAGCCCAATGTGCCGGGATTCCAGCATCTTTATCTCACCAAAAAGACCAATCACAAGCGTCAGAACGAGCTCATTCCCTACAACGATTGCTTGTACAAACACATGTACGAGTTCAAGTACATAGTCCTTCTGGACGTTGACGAGGTGATCATGCCCGTTCGCGACGCCACGTGGCGAGAACTCATGGACAGGGTCATGCCAAAAGCACTGAAACTGCGTAACGAAACTCGTGCCTCTTACAATGTGCGCAACGTTTATTTTCTCGACGATCTCCTTCATTCGCACGGCGCTTTCAAAGATATACCTAGGTGAGATTACCCGACATTTTATTTTTATTTTCTGTAAAATTTCACGCGTACTAAAATGTACGCATTTTTTTTTTGTTCCTTACAGCTGGGCTCACATGCTGCAACACGTGTTTCGATCCAAGAACTTCACGAAGCCAAATCAGTACATAAAATGTTTTCACAATCCAGAGCGCGTTGTTACGTTGCACAATCACTTTCCACTGGCCTGTCTTGGAGCTGGTTGCACTAGTTACCCCATTGACACAACGGACGCTCAATTGCAGCATTATCGAGCCGACTGCGTAAAATCGTTGAAAAAGTCGTGCGTCGAGTATCGTGAAAATAGCGTGCTCGACACCACGATTTGGAGATACAAAGATCAACTGATACCAAGGGTCAATTCAACGCTCAGGAATTTAGGATTCTTCGGACCCGTTAGTTGACCACTGGATCGATTGCATTTTAATTGAGTTAATTGTCAAGTTGAATGAGAATTTGTTGATGGCTTAATTGTACACGTTATGAAAAGACAATATATTCAATATGAAAAGTGATTTATATTTGAAAGCTTGTAGCAGAAGTGAATTGAATTTTGTAATTATTGAAAGTATTTCCATGAATTTTTCCTATGTAATAATCAAAACTGAATACGAATAGTATACTCGATGTTTAATTACTTTTTTACTTCCTTTTTTTCTCGTGGCAAAAAGCACAATATTTACCTAGTATCCAACACATTCATTTAGTGCCATGTTACTTTGTACTTAAATTTATAATTATTCATCACATTCAAGAAACACCTATGCTTTGATTTCTTTTTCATTTTAAGTTATTTTTGTGGTGATTATTTTAATTATGCAGAACAATTTAGGGCTTCGATCAATTAATAAGCGGTTGCAATCGCGACTTCCTAAGGAAAAATAATTAGGTACGAAATCAGATGAGACTTCATGGGTAAGAAAGTACCTGATTTCCTATCTAATTTTCCATAAATTGTGTACATTTTTATGGTACACTTATTCTTTCATGCAGCCCTTTTTTGAATTTACAACGTTTAATATTTGTTTCGAAAAATTCTGTGTTCGAAAATAGGATTCGAACTAAGGTCCTTTATGTCTTTCAAAAAAACTTTTAAATATAATATTATATATGGGGATATATTATTGCTCAAAGAATACACTAAAATATGAAATTTTCTTGATTTTTATGACCATTTCTTCAAATTTGGCAAAATTATGGCAGTTGCTAAATTGAAAAATTTCAGTGTATTTTTTGAAAAGTTTTAAGAACTTTTCATTTTTCATGATTTTTTTCTCGAGAAAAAAATTCTTAAATGTATAAACAATTTTTGTTGTTTGCAATAAATTTTTTAATAAAAACCTTTAAAAAAATATACTTGTGTATGATACTTATGTATTTTTGCCCGTAGAATCGGATTTCGGGGTCAAATCAAATCTTTTCTTTTTTTCTCGTTTAAAAAGTAAATTACTCCCCCGCAAGATTGGTGCCAAATCTTATGTAAAATCTTATCTCAAATCTTGAGTGAATTTTTTAGGAGGATTTTTAAAAGGCCTTCATAATGATTGTAAGAACTGCAAAAAACAATATCTTATAGAAAGAGCTCCTTGTGGACAAACTTATGATCAGAAATACAGCTCCGAATTTTGGTAATATTATAAAGCTTCGCAGACAGTTGTCATGACTCGCCGATCACCGGCAAATAGCTCCGTACGTTGACGCATGCGAGCACTACAAATCGTAAATAATAATACGATTTTATTACATTCTTTTGTTTACTTATTACTGAACCTCTTTTTTCCGTACCGTAAATGAGCAATGAAAGAAACCCTCGCTTTGAACATAGAAGTATGAGAGTGACGGGAAATAGAAAAATTAAATGAGATCTTTATTAATAAAAATATTGATTCTTTAAAAAGTTCACGAAAAAATGTGTAAAAAATTAAGGGGCCTTCCCATTGGGCTCATCAGTTAGGCGAAGGCCATCCCTGACCCTTAAGTGCTCGGGGATAATGAGTCGGATCCGGCATTTATAGTAACGCCCAACCGTTTTATATTTGGAGTTGCTTGCAGCAAAATTCCTATAGCAAAGCGACATCCAGTGGCAACTGGCATAGCAACTCGCCACATATGCACGATCAATCATCAAATACATATACACAATACACACATATATATAATATAGGTATATTATGTGCCGATTATACATATAGGTATATGTATGTTAGCGGTTTGCGGCGCTTCATGAGGTGAGGGCGCTCTTCTGCTATACATGTATGTATTTACATGATTTTTTACGTGAAGCAAAAATAATAATACATGAAAATATAACTCATATTACTCACACGCGAAATATTATTGAATTTTAGCACATTCCATATTGAATGTCTCGTGCTTTTTCTACCACTTTATTTGTATCTAGTTGAGATCATGACGGAATTCATAGAAAAATTGAAAAATATACCCATGCATATGGTAAGTCACAAATGGTTTATTTTGGAATACATATGTTTTTTTTGACAGATCTCAAACAATTATTTTACGATTAAAGTAACCAGAATAAATCATATTAAAATTATTGTCTCACATCAAACTCGTTATTTTTGTTTACTTTTAAGGACTATGAAGGCCAAGCCAGAGCAGAACGTTTATCAAGAATTATTGTAACTTTATTTGGGGTAATTTTTTCCTTTAGTTAATGAGTAGTATTTTTTAGAATCAAAAAGCTAATTTAATTTTTTTATTTTTAGGTTGTAGGGTTTATATGGGGTTACATTATTCAACAATTTTCACAGACAATTTACATTCTTGGAGCTGGATTTGTCTTAGCATTCATTATAACAGTTCCGCCATGGCCAATGTATCGCAGAAAACCATTAGATTGGCAGGCACCACAGTTTCAAGTTACGGAGTCACAAACAAAAACCAAAAAAAAGAAATGATTGTTTTAAAAAGTTAATAACTTAGTGGCTTGTGAGAAAATATACAATAAAATTGTTTGCAACTAAAAAGGATATAGACATACAAACATACATTTTTTAAATTTATAATCTGCTTTTAATTTTATGAGTTTTTACAAATTATTGCATAGTGTTAACAAATTCATTACTTTTATGGAAAACATTCCATTTTATACTTTATTATTAATTAAAGCTATTGAATTCATGGTTTGTAAATCTATTTCACTGGAACATCTCTATTAATATGACAATATATATACTTTTAAGTTATAAAGTTTCCATACCTTGTAAATAAGTCAGATTGTCAATTGGTTTACACTAGCAGCATGTTTAATGTTAGCTTCATAATTGATAAAAAATATTTATTCTCTTGAGTATTCCTTGAAACAATTTTAATATCAGTGACTAATATTATTTTAATTAGTGAATTAAATATAACTTATAAAATGTTTATCAACATGAAACTAAAATAAACACTATTTTAAAATAATATACCTTTCTATGTATCTAACAAAAAATTCTCAAGTTTGATTTTTGTATTACAGAACTTTGTCATGAAGTTTACTGTTTCAAAAGAGCTAGCTTTTGTGGAAAATTGAGATTTTGACCTCAAAGTTGAACCATTATTAAATAATTTTTGAAAAAAATTCCTCAGCTTTTCAACTGTAATATAAATATAAATACATACAACACCACACATTTTGAAAAGATGAATTGACTTTAATCTATTGAAACTCTGTTTATGCCAATACCTGACGATATCAGCAGTCGTAGCTGAATATCACAGACCACTGGGCTGCACCAAGGTGAGAAAGTTCAAATTATGACATGGATTACCTATGAGATCTTTGGAAGGATCATTCATACTCACTTATTTAGGATCTTATATAGTGTCTTGTGGCAATTTTTAAAATTTTTAACTTATTGGGAATATTCATGAGTCTATATTATAAATAGTTTTAACACCATAAATCAGGCTAAAAATAAGGATTTTGAACAAAGTTTTCAAAAATTGTCACCCAATATTTTCTAAATAAAAATCTGCGTAAAAGTCTAGAAATATCGAAATAAAGACAAGCTTGTGTAATGTATAGAAGGGTATAAAAATGTCATTAATATAATAACTTTGGTATTATCTTAAGTACATAAGTGACCCGTTCCTTGTTTGAAAAAAAATACATTTTTTTGGAGTCTGTTTGAAAATTCGTATTGGAATAACTGAAAATTTTTTTAAAATTTACCGTATGCAATCAACTTTAATTTCTCCCATAGTTTTAAATTTCCCGCATTTCTCGTTGCTTTTGTGGACGTTGGAACGAACGCAATATGTGCAAAGTGTTGACTCGAGGGGCAAGGGGGCATCATGGATTCATGGAGACCGAGTGGAATGAACCTCAGAAATAATAATAATGCTGACCGTGCGCTTGCGCGTTACTGTCAGGTTACTTGAGAGCTACGAAATTTCACCTCATGAAACCGTAAGCTTTCGAAGAAAGTGTCATTAAAAAATGTCAAAATTTAGGAAAAAATACCGACGAAATTTTCGTAAAATGTTCATTCATTGATTATGACTATTGGAGCAGTAACTTAACTATTCCATGGTCGGAAACATTTTTAATTGTACGAAGACTACGATCGAAACCATGCAAACTTGTCGCAAAACTTCGTAGAAATTCAATTATTAAAAATTACATCTCAAGTTCTAATTACGAACTACGAAAGCAGTGGATCTTTCAAAACTTGACAAGTAGTTTGACCCTTGCTCGTGCATCATTTTCAATTGTTGTCGAAAAAACAAATCAACAGAGGCACCGAGTACTCTATAGTAACTAGCTCTATGTGGCACACACGCACAATGCTGATTGCGCATCAATTCCAGTCCGCGCTCCGCCAGTCCCACAGTTTATCCTCGAGCGTCGCAGGCGGGGAAGGAAAAAAAAGAGATAAGATAAATTAGTTGGCTCACACAAGCAGTCCGATTCGTGTGCCACTATTGCGCTTCATACACGTCCGTGCACTCAGACACTTAGATCACATTTTGAGTACTGACCGATGCGAAAACGACGATCGATTATAATTAGTGAAAGAATCGTGCAGTGTTGAAAATTTTACTCGACGACAAATTGAAACTGACCAAGAAAAGCTGCTGCATACGTCCACGGCACACTTCTGTGAATTCGTGTTTTCGCTAAATATCGAGTGATTCTAACATGTCCAGTATTGTTTTTGAGTGACATTAGAAGCATAGACGATATGCTACGTTCAACATGTAGTGTAAACTTTGAACCTGGACACAACTTTTAGGTATACATAAATTACAATTATTATATTCAATTCTGCCTCAACTTTTATCTATTTTAAACTTTCTCTTGTTGTTTGATTCAATGTTTCACTTTTTGGTTTATACCACATGCAACACTGATCAATCAATTCTTCTGTTATCCAAATGAGCAAATTTATAAGTCTATCCTCAATATCCATCAATAATTATCATGTGAAAAAGTTATGAAAGTAAATCAAGAGCAAAGATGTGACTCATACTAACCCCTATGTCAATTATTGGTACTTCTATAGTATTTACTTTTTTCAATGATGCAAATGAAATAAAATTGCTATGATTTGGTTTTGTTGAATAAACCTATGAGTTGTGTAAACAATAACTTTTGACTGTAAAATCAATCAAGATTTTCAACTCTTGAAGATTTGGAGAATAACAAATAGATTTTAGAAATCAAAAAGTAAATTATATTGATGAAATATAGAACCAAATAGTATTATTCCATTAATAAACATGTAATTTGAATTAAAATATTTCCATATTAAAAATACTTCTTAGATAATTAATACAATGCTAATTCATTATTTGAGCTTATGCATATTTTGTATACAATATTTTCTATCTTGCATATAACTTATGGATAATACACTTTGTTTTAAATTACATTTTAAACTCATATTGTAACAATTGTAAAAAGTAGAACTGTATTTGATTGTCAGAATACAAAAAACATTAATATCTACTATGTTCTTGAATGTTTTGAATAGAATATAATGAAATGTCATATTACAATTTATATTAGCATTTGTAAGAATTTTATTCTTGTTTGATTGTTAATAATTTTACATTAAAACTTGTTTTCAAAATATTCTATGCAGTGCTAACTTGATATAAATTAGACATTTTCTTTATAACATAATAACTTTAACATTTCATTCTTGTTTTTTAATTCATCAATGCTCTTGCAGAAAGTACTATTCATAGCATTGATAAAAATATTATTCACAATGATACATCTCAAATCTTATTAAAATTGTTTAATTCTATAAATTTCCTTTTACTAACTCAGCATGCATCTCCAAAATTAGAATATTCAATCAATATTCAAAATAATAATATTTCAGTAATCCAGTAATCCACTGAAAGTTGAGATAAGTTTATCAGTAACAAAACAACTGAATAATTAAAAACCATGATACCATAATAATGAATATAAGATTCTAAGATATCTAAGATTAACATCTTGAATTTTCTAACTTTAGGTTCAAAAAGTTGAAAATTTGATCATCAGCCTTTGAAAAGCCTTATTCTTGTAAAAGATGTTTGACAATATTTTTTCAAACCTTTTACAACTTTTGGTTTGATGTTCAAAGTAAGATAATGATTTATCTTAAAATATTAACATCAAGATTTTTTATAAATCAAAATGATCTTATATTATAAATCCTTTGTTTTAGGAATAACAATCATATGATTTGGATTTGGATATTCTATATGTGGAACCATTAGGTCATGACTGTAAAAATTCTACCTATTGGTACTTTGACAGAAATCCATTATATAGAAAAAATAACTTCAGAAATTTTAAATCCATCTCGTAAAAAAATTCCTGACATAAAAACAGTTGATATCAACGGAGTTGGTGTTGATTGGCAAAGAAGAAAAAGGAGGAAGAAAAGGAGGAGGAAAACAAATTAATTTCCTTAAAGGAAGTTCTAAAAAAGTAGTAGTAAAATAGTGTCTTTCAATTGAACTCAAACATTTACAAAGTATTGTACATGAAAAAATTATTAGTCTCTTTAAATTATTAAAAAAATTTTATCCAAATTGTACACAAAATTTTATACTATATATTGACTTTGAAGTAAATTTACTGAAGAACCATACTCTACGTACCAAAGCTTTCTTTTTATAAAAGAAGTAATAAAAGGAGTAAATCAATTTTTTAAAACTTGTCTCAGATCAAAGATTTAATCATGGTCAAAAGCAAGATTAAACCAAAAGTAAATACAAAATCAATAAAAAAGAATTCTAAGAATCCATCAAAAGCTGCAAAAACTGAAGACTTGCCTTTACCTCCAATTCAAAAGAAAGGCAGACAAACTAATAATTCTCTAGCCTCCCTTGATGGACCATTTCTTTTGGAAGTTACACAAGATGTAATCAAAAATGTTGAGGACAAAAGTAGTATTGGGAAGCAAGGAAAGAATGATTCCACTAACTATGGATATAAAGATAATATTGGTATTGAAGAAGAAGAGCAACAAATTGGTATGCATAAAGTTCTCAAGATTTTAAAAGATCATGAAGATGCCTGGCCTTTTGCCGATCCTGTGGATGAACAATATGCTCCAAGGTACTTATGCAAGATTTGAATTAATAATGTTTACCAAATTATAAAAATGAATTTTTTTTTCAGGTATTATAGTGTTGTTCGAAAACCAATGGATCTTAGCACTATGGAAGATAAATTAGATGATGGAGCATATAAAACCATAAACCAATTTAAACGTGATTTTAATCTCATAATAGAAAATTGTAAACAGTATAATGGTTCTGATAATGGTAAGATCCAAATTCAAAAAATTTCAAAAGTTAATAGACATTCTAATCTTATGGTTTTTTTTTTTACTCAGAATACACTGAAATGGCTTTGAATCTTAAAGAAATTTTCAATAAAGCTGTTGATAAATTCTTAGAATTTGAAGCTTCTAGTGAAGATTCTTTATCTACGAGTTCGTGTAATGAAAAAGAATCTTTGAAAAATTCCAAAAGTAAGAGTTTTTCACCAGCATCTCCCAGACATAGTCCAAAACGTAAACAGTCAAAACAAAAAAATTCTGAAGAAAAATCGCCTGCAAAACTAAGTGATAAAAAAATTAAAGTCAAGTCTACAAATACATCTGAAAAAAAGGATATTGTTGAAGAGGTAATTATGAAAAATGAAAATAAAGATATTAAAAGTAAAGCCAAAAAAGTAAAGAATCAAATACAAGAACATGATATTGAAGAAAAATCTGAAATAACTCAAAAGAAAGCTGCACTAAATTCGACAAAATCGAAAAAAACAAAAGTTCATAATATTAATAGTGTTTCTAAAAATCAAAATTTATCAAGCAACGAAGTAGATGATCTAAATATTAAAACAACTGAAAAAAATAAAAAAGTTGAACGTAATTCAGGATCACAAACAGATAAAGAACTTAAAGAAAATAAAAAGAAAAAAGATATTAAAAAGGAGTTAAATTTAGTTGATGATTCCAAGGATAAAACTCAGAAAGTAAGAAAAAAACAGAAATTAGATATTTTAATTGACAAAGTAAAAAAAAGGAAATCAAAAAGTGAAAAAGACCTTATTCATAAATTATCTAAAAAACTTCAAAATACTTCAGATTACTCAGACAATGAGGATGATCAAGAAGAAGAAATCGAAAAATGTCAAAACACGAATTTATTCTTGAAAAATGGGGAAATGAAAACTTCTTTAGATGATATTGGAAGTATTTTAAGCACTAGTAAGAATATTGTAAAAAATATTGAGTCCATTACAACTAAAAAGGAAGATATTGAATGCCTGGATGGTTTGAAAGACAGGATAAGTAAAAAACGTCAAGAAGAAAAATTAAAATTGGAATTGGAAAAAAAACGAAAAAAAAAATCTGCAAAAGGCGTTCATGTTTCTAAAAAAGTATCTTCTCACGATGAACCTATTCATGACAAAAATAAATCAGGTGTTAAGAAGTCAAAATCGAAAAAACATATTAAAAATGAAAAGAAGAGTCAAGATGACAAAGAATCAAAAAAAAGCAAATCTTCAATCAAGAAAGAAGCTAAAGGATTAGAAAAGAAAGAAGCTAAAGGATTAGAAAAGAAAGAAGCTAAAGGATTAGTAAAGAAAGAAGCTAAAGGATTAGTAAAGAATGATATTCAAGCTCTAAATCAAGCAACGGAACAAACACTCAATGTAAGTATATTTAGTACTCAAATTGTAAATTATATTTCTAAATATAATAGTTGATTTATTTGTGAAATTAGGATATGAATAAATGGTTGGATGATACTCCTCGTGTTTCTGAATTTTCATCTGATAATGATACATCTATCAAAAAGGAATCTGTGAGTGATACTTCGAATGAACCAATTCTCCCAACAACATCAGTTTCAACAAATAATAAAGCAGGATTGTGTCCAGGAGAAAACTCTAGAAAAAGACCTAAATGTCCATCTTCTAACACATTACCTCGACCTAAAAAAATCCAAAGAACCATTGATAGATTACAACCGGGAAAGAGTAAAGGAAACTTATTATTTAAAAAGCCAAACAGTGAATCACCATCTTTATCTGAATCTATGGATAATCGTTCAACCACTGATAAAGAACAAAATTCCAATCAAAAGAATGATGATGAGCCAAAACTTAGCCTTGGCACTGTTCTTAAAAATGTTGATTCAATTCAACTAATTTGTAAAAGCATTATTTCCTCTCCAAATACACATTTATCTAATGAAGATGATGAAGATGAAGGGATAAGCAAATCAGTAACTTCAACGGATAATGATGTGCACAGATCTTCTGATTCAAAAGTTTCATCTGCATCAAGCAAGAATACTAGTATTGATAAAAATGTTGTTAAACAAGAGACTCCTCAAACAAAAACTGCAACTCCCAATCTTAGTGCATGGTAAGACAAATGCATCATTAATTTTTTACTTTTATTCAAACAATAGCAATTTTTGTACTCATTTTAATTGTCTTAATAACTTATATTCTAATTTATTTTAGAGATGAATTCAGACCAAACAATTTTAAAATATTTTGAATGAATAATCTTGTTTTACTTGTAATTTATTTTATGTGTTGTTAAGTTCATAAGCTTCTTCATCATGAATATTGAGAGCTTCCCCTTTTTTTATAGGTTCAAAGCTTTTGGAGGTCCAAAATCAAAGTGTAAAAAAGAAGAAGAAGAAAATTTGGAGAAAAAAAAGGAAGAAAAAATCCAGACGGCTCCAGAATCTAAAACTACAGTTTCAACGAATGAAAGTAGTAGCACTGGACCGATTGCTGCAGTAAACAATCAGCATCTCACTAATATGAGTGGATGTAATACAAATGAAAGTTTATCATCTTTCTCACAAGAATCAATGCCTAGTCGTGCAGGTCATTCACCTCAGCAAGTGAGTCAATCTGCAGAAGTCATTTCGCCAACTGTCTCAATAGATCCTCAAAACAGAGGTGCAGGATTTTATCAAGATGCTATGTCAACTGGGAGCAGTCCATACAATAGCCCTTATTACACTACTCCACCGCGTTATAGTGCTCAACTTCCACCAACTCCGTCACCACTGCAGCAGCCCACATCGCCTGCTTACTTAGCACCAGCTAGTTATGATCAGCCTTCATCACCTAGTCTGTATTCTCAAATCAGTCCAAATCCACAGCATTTGCCACAGTCTAATCAAATTTCTGCTCAAAATCAATCATCAGTATGTCCAGCTCAGGTAAAGGAATCATTAAGTTTGCTCACTACTTTTTTGAACTGCTTAACATTATACTTTTCAAATTATTTTACACACAACGATGTTGTGTAACATAAATGATTTTTTGCTCATGATTTTATTTTTACTTTGGTTTTTTTTATTATTCAGTCTCCTCGTTCTCTTCAAACATCGCCGTATCCACAGTCATCGCCGCAACCTATGAATTATTCTCAGTCATCACCGCAAACACAACCATCTACGCCACAAACTCCTGGGAGCAGCTATTCACAACCTTCACCATCAACAGCAACTTCGCTCAACTGTCCACAAGTTTCGCCGCAACAACAGCATTCTCCATACTCGCAATCTTCGCCTCAACCACTACCCAACTATTCTCAACCTTCGCCTCATTCAACATACTCGCAAGTATCTCCCAGGCCACCGTCTTCCACTTATTCACAATCTTCACCTCAACCACCGAGCTGTGCAACTCAATCTCCAAGTCCATACTTACAATCAGAACTTGGTAAGCAAAGTTATATTTTTGTTTCATAACTAAAAGTATTACGCATACACAAAGGCTATTATGCATAATAGTTCTGCATGGTACCCCTTGTCCTGAAGAAAAAATACGTTCACATTTTGTCATAGTGTATTGATGTAATTTCTAATCTAATAGGCAATGCAATATCCTTGCCTTGAGGAAAAAGAACTGCAATTATAGCAGAAATGTTTGTCCAGTAATAAAATTAACTAAAAAAATGTTGTTTTACAATTCAAGATCGATATTTTATAAACTCGAGTTAACATTTTTTTTTAAGAGGCAAGCAAATGTTGCATAGTTTTTACTACAGATTATCACGTAATTAAGCCATATTTTAATATAAATCAAGTACTGAATATTTTCTTTATATTTTAGTGATTGTTCAATCTTCGCCGAAAGGATTTTCACAAACATCACCTCAAACACCTACGAGTTACGCTCATTCATCATCCCAATCGTCATCTCCGTACTCTGTTCAGCAATCTTCTGAACAACAATTGTCTACTTATTCGCAACCAACGTCTCAGGCGCCGATAAATTTTTCTGCGCTATCTTCGCAACATTCAAAATCGTATATATCATCGCATTCAGTTCAGGAATTAACCACCCAGCAGCCGTCGCCGATACAAAATTTTTCACAGTCTTCAGTTCAAGAGCAGCAACAACAACAACGATTAGTTCAAAATACAACCAAAGTTATAGAAGAAAATCAATTATATCCTTCCAATTTTTCGCAATCTTTGAAATCTGCTTATAGTCAATCTTCTGCACCTTTAACTTCAAATGTTAAATCAAAAGACAAACATCCATTGCAGCATGATAATGTAGATCAAAGATTACACAACCAACAGATTTATCAAACTCCTATAAGTGCACAGTTTCCACCGTATCCAACAAATATCTTACAAAATTCACCAGTAGTAGCCAACCAAATGAATATTGACTCTTCTGGATTATCTGCTAGTGCAAGAGCATCCAATCATGATGTGCAGCAACAACTTGCTCAACAAAGACAGGTTTGTAAATTTCTCTGATTTGTAGTATGTTGATGCTCTTGCTATGTTTAAGCATAGAATTTTCTATTCATGCTTACAATCATGAAATTATACTATTGGTGACAAAATTAGAAACTGAAATAATAATAATTTTAAGCTTATATAATCAGTCACAAATTGCAATAAAACATTTTCTGTCAAATCTATACTCTTTATAACGTTAATTTCAATTGTTCATTTACAGCAAAATTTGTCAAATCACGAACATCTATATGGAAGTGGTTTTCAGGCTAGCTCATATGCTATTTCAAATCCGGCGTGTAGACCAGTGTACCCAGGATTTTTCGATGTCGGTTCTAAAATCCCGCCCGGAACTGCTAATTCAAGTTTACCTCCTGTTAAAAAACGTGCATATGAGGCGTCAGCTAATACCAATCTCTCACCAGGAATGAAGCGAGGAGTACATCAGGATCCGACACCGCAATCACAACAGCAGTTTGGTTTTGAGCCATTACTAAGTCACAGTCAATTTGACTCTAGCAATGCATTTTCTTCTGGCCTTGCTGATAATGCTTATGCTCGGTTAAGTTTAGGGTTGGTTGGTCACTCAACGACTGCCAAAGATCAGCAACTTCTATCAATTCAACGACCCGATCCTAAAACTGAACATTTGTCTCCTTATGCACGTCCTGTGTCATCTGGACAATCTGATTTAGAACTCACCTTACTACAAAATTTACAAAATGCTGCAGGTGTAGCGAGAAAATCACCTAGTGTATTGCCAGTTGCACATCAACCAGTTCAACCAAGTTTGAATGCTGCAAAGCCGAAAAAAACTAAAAAAAAGAAGTCACAAAAAGAGGCGACCCCATTGCCAACAAATATTGCAAGTCACCAAGTAAAAACAACATATTCGCAATTTACCAGTTCTACCATTGATTCGATGGGTCTCAAACAGTCCAATAGTGCTTTTAATTTTACTACTGCAACCTCAAATGTTACTGGAACGGCTGCCACAACTGCAGCATATTATGATAAAGACTCTGCCCCCCCTGCTTACGCATTTTTAGATGACTTCAGGAACCCAAATCTTCAGGAGTATTATAGCATGGCATTAAGACAGCAACAGCAGCAACAGGCTCAACATCAACCACAGCCACAAACAAATTCGACAAATGTAGATGAATCAAAATTGTGTACAAGTCAAAATGCTGTAGTAGCTGCTGCAGCACGAACTTATTCAGGACATCCATTTCTTCACACACCAGGGCAACGCCCTAATCCTTATGCATCACCAGTGCCCTCTTATGTTCCACCCCATGGACATAATATTGGAGTTGACCCGGCTAGTTATCAACAGTACATTCATTCTTTGTATGCTTTGCCACCCCCACATCACAGGACTTCATGGCTGTAGCCTATTTTTAAGTTCACTTTGTAAGACTGCGGATATTTATTATTCACTGAATACTTCATTTTATTTTATATTATCTTTTATGGCAAGTTTGTACAAATTTCAGTATTTTATGTTAAATATTTCATTGCTATCGATGTTTTTCTGTATAATATCTAATCAAAAGAGTATGAAACATTTTTTGAGCTCTCTAAAAAATTTTGTAATAAAAAAGTACTATTGTAGTTATTGAAAAGGAAAAAAAACAAAAAGTTACGAATAATGAAAACAAATACTTCCAATGTTAGCCATTGATAATTTACTAGCATATATTAATAATTACGCTCGCGTGACTTATGAAACCATTGGAAATTTTATTTCTATAATTTATTGTTGACATTAACTTCTTATTTAAACTTTATAGTGATATGTAAATAAATTTTTAACTCTTGTAACATTTACTTATCGAAGGTGTCAATGAATTACGGAATAGCATAATGTAGGTAAACTATAATGCGTGTATGTATTTTACACAAATTTTCACAACTGTTTCTTGAAACATTTTTAACAACGCTCCATAAATTTATATCAGTTCTTTTGTTACAATAATTAAAAGAATTTAATATGAAAACAGTTATGATAGAAAATCCATTATAGGCGTTCCATTGTGAACGAAAATTAATAGGATAAAAACTGACAAATTATTAGAATTACGTGCCGATGATTATGCATAGGAATATTCAATGTAAATACGAGGTACAAAAATTTAATATTGACAAGCAAACGATATGAAGTCTTGTGTAAAATTGAAATTATTTGTGAATTTTCGTGAATATATGGACAAAGCTTCGATGCAGGATAAAATTGTATCTGCTCATCGAACTTTTGGAGGTCAAGTGGCCTCCCTTGTAAAATAATACAAAGAGACGTACGACTCGAAAAAGTCATGAAAAATCAATTCAACTTAATGGATTTTCTAGTGATCAATAACCGATCTAAATGTCTGGAGCTGAATTAAAAATGGTTTAGAATCAATGGTTTCTTTGCACATACATACACATTGTGTATTACACATATATTACTAATTAATTAGGCAAAATTTGCTGTAACAATCACCGAGAATTGTTAGTTAAAATGTAATTTTAAGTATAGATAATTCATTGAAGTATCAAATATGACTGTAGATTTAATATTTAATTTTGAGCATGAATTTTATTCAGAAATCTTGTTTTTGTTTAGTACATAGTACGTTCTTTTTATAAACATGAACGAAACGTACATAATCAAACTCGTAATATGGTGTAAAAATTAAAATTTATCATGCTAACTGAAAAAAAGATTTTTAAATAGTTAATTAATAAAGCTTACGTTTTATTATGCAATTTTATTACGAACATAGAATATAAAAAAAATTTATAGATGTATATATTAATATCATATTATATATATTCATAATTACATATTGTAAATGTACAATGCAAAACTCGAACGTGTTCGTTACAATAATAAAAAAAAAAAATTATCATTCCATGCGTTGTTATCATTCAAACTGATAATTTTCAACAATTACTATAAGGGCGATTGAAACAGTTGCTCTTTAATAATAAATATTTTGACTATTTTTGTCATTTAAAAATTGAAATGTAGTTATCAAATTTCATCAAGTGAATCATTGAAAAAAGTAAATATTGAGTTGTACACAAGAATAAGAACGATCTACATCCTATTCAAGCACTAAAACTAATCTGATACATGATACAACTAAAATCTACTATGTATATTAACTTTGAACCTTTTATATTCGGTTGACTTTAACTTTAACTTGAAACTTTATTTTTCGATATTTCCACAAAACATTTTTATAAAAATCTAGGCCAATTATTTCATTTTCTAGAACTTATTTTACCATTTGCTCATTCGATAGGAGATACGAGACGATTTAATATTCTTTTGATCAAATCAAAATGTTCCTAGTTAGATTTACTTTATTCGCACCCTTCTTTTGTGCCTTTTGTCGATTAATTTCTTATAAAACGAATTTTTGAACCGAATATCATTGAAAACTATTTTAACAGTATTGGTATATTTTTAAAAAGCAAATTAAAAATCGTAAATATTGAATACGAATAACCATGCATCTTTATTATCATAAATAATAGTTTTCACTCGGCTTAATTCATCATCTGATCTGTTCCTTATTAGTTTTAACATACTGGAAAAATATAAATATTTATATTGCTTTTTACGAGTCCTTATTAATTTTATTAGCTTTACTAATTGCGGACCTAAAATCGTTATTGCGAATCAAATATCAAAGAGGTGGAATCAGATATATACATCTAAATACGCACAAGATAAAATATCTTGAGCATATCTAGTTTAGTTTTGAGCCGTGAGATATCTCTCAAATCTCAACTTGTAACTCTCTTCAAACCATTAACTTAGAGACCGCAGTAAGAAACACAGCATCGTCAAAAGTGTAACTCAAACTTCTGTAGACTTACAGTGCAGTGCTAAACCCATCGTAACTAGTAAAGAGATTGAACATTTCGGATTTAAAAGTGAAAATTCAGTTATGAAACGAGTTTTTTTTATACATGGTGAATTTTTTTATTAATTATGCATCAAAACTTTGAAACTAATCCACGTTTAAAAAAGATCCAATTATAAAGTATTAGCTTAATATCAGCGGAAGTATCGGTTTTTTAAATAAGGTAATAATTTAAAATTATAAAACTTTAAAAAAATCTCCATGCAACTTTGATTTTTGTTTTTTGGGTTTTTAAACGAGTACCGTGCGTGTGTGTTCTCATGTCTAAAAATGAAAAATTAAGAAGACACGGAAAGCTCGCTATTCTTGAACTGCACAGATACTGTTGCTATTTTGGTCTACAAAAACCTACATTACTGCGTATAAGTTGCGCCGTTTTCCTAAAGCAGTCATCGCAAATCTGGCTAAGTCTGAGGACAATTATGAATTGCCGGTATCAAATAAATAATTATTCTAGCGTTTATTTATGAAAATGCACTACTGATTAATCTGGTTTAGTAAATAACCTACTGTTTATTAAATCATTGAATTTTCAGACCTTGTTCGTCAATAATTTCTCAAGCTAAACTTCATAGCAAATCGCAGTCTACTTTGCCAAACAACGTTAATTCGACTAGTTTTTTTATAATTTTTCAAAGTTAGTTTATTAATTTTTCTTACCTTTTTATTACATATACCAACTTATGTGACTTTAATGTTGATATTCAAATAATTATTAAAAAATGAGTTGCATACCTCAGTATAAAATGTGACTTTTTCGAATGCAGTAGACGGTAGTGTTAAAAAAAAAAGGTGAAACACAATTGTTCAAAGAATCTGATTTTATATTAAAATAAGTCGCCAACAGGATGTTTGGATAACGATCACTTGAATTTAAAAATAAAAAAGCCATTTTTGATCTTGATGAAGTACTAAAAATAGTTTTCATGAGATAACTAATGTAGACGTTTTTTTTATTTTTGAAAAACTTTCGCTTTTTCGTAGTTTGTAAATATAAAATAATCAATGGAGCTATGAACTTTCTGTTTAACGAAATAATTGTCTTAACTAAAAAGACTTGAAAGTGTGTAATTTTCAATAAATTGATGAAAAACTAAAACAATATTCTCACGATAATTTTTCATTCGTGTTCGTGAAACTTTGAAAAAAGAGAAATATTCAACGCAAAATAGTTTTTTTATGTATGTTTGAAAATTTGATCGTCTTTACTCAAAAATACCAAGATCCTACTAAAAAAATTAATTTATAAATTAATAGGCTTTCAGTATTAATTGTGAGTTCGCGCCTGCTATTGTTTCCTTTGAAAAATAATTTTAATAACATGTTTTGTGGTGTTTTGGCTCAAGAAATTGAAATTTCTCAAGCGGTGGCATGCGGTTTATAGTCAATATTTTTCGAGCTATTACCTTAATACGACGTTTTCAGACGCTTTAAACCTAATACCCTATGCTTTGTAATGTAGATTTGATAAAAATATTGTCAAAAAATTCCAAACCCGAAAAATAAAAATTATTTGATTTAAAAACTACGTGTCTAGTGTTTTCGATTGAATTTTTCTTCGCTTTAATGTTGAAAATTGGCTTGATCGCGTGTTATCGAAATTTGTTTGCTTTTTGTTAAATTTTTTGGAAATGAGTTCATTTTCAAAAGCCAAACATATCGCGTACTATAGCTTGTTGAGTTATGTACTCGAATACGAATATTTCTCATAAGCGAGGCAAAATTCGTATTTATTCTTTATCCGAGTATGACTGATTTTCATCAAGCACACTTATCCCATAGAATGCGAAAGGCGCTTCACAATATGCTTAATGAAAATTACTCACATTCAAAACATATAGTGACCACAAAATTAATATCTGTAACTACAAAAATATTTCATTTTAGTAAATGAATATAATGTTTTAACGATCTATCTTAGTTTTATAGCATGGCGAAAATGAGAAAAATAAAACTAATATAATGATAACAATTTATTGGAGTTAGAAAACAATAAAAAATATTTTTTTAATGCAACTTTCATCGTGTGATTAAAAAAAAAATCGGTAACAACGTGTTTCTAATCCAGAGTATTTCTCAAATTTTTCAGGTAGCTGAATAGTATCGCTATGGTTATCAGTGAAGCAAACGTTCATAACATTATGGGGGGTATGGAGAGTGCAGGGGGTGTGAGGCTTCACAATCACAAGCGCAAACTAAAGCAAAGGTAAAAATTATAAGTCAAATATTTTTTATAATATTAAAAATTTTTATTCATAATTCTAATGTGCACTCCAAAATTAGAAAGACAACTCGCGAAGCGAATGATTTACGTGTATAATGAAAATTTAATACACTACAGTAAATTGAAAAATACGAATTAACCCATTGAATGTAGCTTTCATTAAAATAGTTATCATAATACTTGTATGGGTTTTTCTTAATATTAAAAATAAAAATTTTATTTCATTTCAAATAATTAGACGTCGCCCAAAAATTTCTAAGCGCATACTCCGAAAAAGTTTGGCTGCTGTTCACATTAAAAAAGTGATTTTCGATCGCTACAAATGACAGCAAGTTTCATTAATTTATTTACTTCAGATTTTCAATCATCAAGAAACTTGGCCAAGGTACTTATGGCAAAGTTCAACTGGGAATCAACAAAGAGACCGGACAAGAGGTTGCTATCAAAACAATCAAAAAATGTAAGATCGAAACCGAAGCCGATCTCGTGCGAATAAGGCGTGAAATTCAAATCATGTCGAGCGTGCACCACCCTAACATCATACACATATATGAAGGTGACTACGAATTACATTATGAATACGGTGATGAATATATCTAAATTAAATAACGATTCTTGTCTTCTTAGTGTTCGAAAATCGGGAAAAAATGGTTCTCGTCATGGAGTACGCCGCGGGAGGCGAACTCTACGACTATCTCAGCGAGCACAAAGTTCTGACCGAAGTGGAGGCTCGGCGTATTTTTCGACAAATATCCACCGCTATATTTTACTGTCACAAGCATAAAATCTGTCATCGAGATTTAAAACTGGAAAATATCTTGTTGGACCAGAACGGCAATGCGAAAATCGCTGACTTTGGACTGTCCAATGTTTTCAACGAGCAAGGATTGCTCAGTACCTTTTGTGGAAGTCCTCTGTACGCCAGTCCGGAAATCGTCAACGGCACGCCCTATCTGGGGCCAGAAGTCGATTGCTGGAGTCTCGGTGTTCTTTTGTATACCCTCGTTTACGGAGCCATGCCTTTCGACGGTACCAACTTTAAACATCTAGTCAAACAAATAACTTATTCGGATTATTTCGAGCCGAAGCAGCCGTCTCGTACGTAAAAAAATCATTGTAATTTCATCGTTCGTTATTTTGAAAATTTTAAATACAACTCATTGATTTCGTATATGCAGGAGCATCGCCACTGATCAAAGACATGCTGACGGTCTCCCCAACGCAGCGCGCCGATATCGAGCGCATCTGCTCACACTGGTGGGTCAACGAGGGCTACGAGCAGAGCTGCCTCTACATCGCCGAGAATCTGGCCGCGCAGACACCCGTGCGCCTCGATCTGCTGCTGTCGCTGGTACCGGAGCAACAATTGGTCAAACCTCAGGAACAGGTCGAGGCGCTCCCCGCCGCAGCGAACGAAACGTCGTCGCTGAACAACAACAACAATAATAATAAGCTGGCCGACGCCGCCGCCGTTGTTCCGCCCGCGTCGCGCTGCTACTCCCAGGAGCGCCTCATGCAGGTCGACAAGATGGGCGGTTGGACTCTGCCCAAAGCCAGCCATCGGGAGAAAAAAGTGGAGGCGCCGGTGGTCGGTGAAGGGCTTCCGAAGATCGACGATTCGACCAAAGAAGAGCAGGGAAAAATTGCGCCTAAGGTGGACAACGATGCGCGACGACCTCGTCCGTACAAGAAAGCAACCAAGTAATTTTCATCCTTTACGTACACATAATTATAATACGGTAATTTTCTCTTACGCATTGATGTTTGTGTATTTTTCAGGCATCATTCGGCACCTATTTATGGTTCCAGTGATGAGAAATTGTACGCCAGTGTGCCCGTAAAAATTTTCCGAGAAAAAGTTATCACCGACGCGAAAAATGAAATGCCAAGTGCAGATGATACGCGACAAGCGATCAAACTCGACGATTCATCCGATAAATCTCTAAGAAAGTTGCAAAGTAACGATACCATCGCTACGAAACCCGAAGCGATGTCTTTGAATGCAGACGCAAAGGAACCAGTGAAATCGGCATCGATAGCACCGTCGCCATCGAGAAAGCAGTTCCTGCACTTGACGGACCCCAATAAATTGGTCACGAAACCCCAGCCCACAGTGAAAACGGAGGAAGAGAGTCCCAGAATCGTTAAACTCGTCGATAAGGCTCAAGCAGCGGACGACAAGCAGCAGAACAAGGAGAAGAAGAGCCTCTCTCCGGAAAAGTTGTCGAAGGCGCCGAAGAAACTCAGGATCAAGGCTCTCTCGCTGGACTCGGAGATGGCGACGAAGATCGAGCCGATCGTCGCGCACAAGCCGCCCACCACCACCGAGCGCCGCAGATCCAAGATCTTCGAGACCGCCGAGAAGTTCAATCAGCTGCTGCTCTCGTCGTCGACGACGAGCTCGGCCGAGAGCGATCAGAAACCGGCGAAAAAATTATTCATTCCAGGCGTGAACGTGGAGGGCGCCAAGGCGGCCTTCGAGCGCAAGGCCAGTCTATCGTCCACGCAGATACCCCAGACGCTGAAACCCGCGGTGACCAAGATCATCATCGACGTGCCCCAGCAACAGCAGTGCGAGCTGAACAAAATCGACAGTTCGAGATCGGAGGATCACGTGTACGATCGCGAGGAGGAGAAGCGCCGAGCCGTCAACATCATCACGGGGGCCCTCGGCAAGCCTCCCATGCAGCGCAAATACAGCGCCGGTTCGTTGTTGGCTTCGTCGGATAGCAATAACAAGATCACGAAGCCGGAGGAGTTCAAGATTCCGATCGAGATCGCCGCGGAGACGACGAGCAGTAGTCGCGCGACGACGATGAATCGATCCCTGTCGACGACCGACAAGAAGTTCCAATTGGAGAATAGCAAAGCGGAGTTGGGCAGTTCGAGCGCGTCCGGTGGAGCATCGGAGCCGAGCAACTCGAAGAGCGCGACGTTACCTCGACTTCGCAAAACCAGCAAAGCGAAGATAACGCTCACGAGCGTACCGAGTCCGGACCACCTGTCGTCGTCCAACGTACGCTCGAGTTTCGACATCGGCTCGAAGCTCGGTCAGCAGCATCAGCCGCCGAGTCATCGTTCCGAAATGTTCTTCCCGATAAATTCGCACTCGAGGAGCGGCTTCGTTTCGGCCACGGGACCCGAGCCCATACGCAAGAGCCCGCGCGAATTCATCATTCCCATCTCGATGGAGGACAGAACTTACGCGAATGATTCGCGCAACGACGACAGCAGCGCCAAGTCAGAGCCGCCACCGACGATGCCCAAAAATCCGGGCCACAATCGTATCCTGCGCTCGCACCAAGTCAACACGCTGCTGTCGGACGCTAGCGGCAAGGACGACGACGACGACGAGCCCTCGCTTTTCCCCGGCTTCTCCAAGAAGAACGACGAGTTTCTGCAGAATCACTTGCACCGGCTGCGCAGCTCGAGGCCGCGCTACGCCACCCTCGAGCACGAGGACAGCCTGTCCTCGGGCGAGGACGACGACGACGACGGCTTCGAATTTCTCACGGCCGAGAATCTCTTTTCCACTCTGTTGTCGCGCGTGCGCAATCTCACTCAGAGGCTTAACATAAATGACAATGCGAGCGATTCGATTTTTCCGAGCGGCAGGCTCCTTAGTAGAATCGGTTCCAACTCTTCTCAGGACTTTTGGAACAGGTACGAATCTTCAAAAAATTCATTCAAGGATTTGTCGAAGCTGGTGTAAAGAGTAAATGCAATTTTTTTGATATCAAACTTTTGTCGTTGGCTTTTTCTTTTTTGAAAAAGCCAAGTATAGTATATTACATATGAACATTTTTTTTTATCGAAAAAGAGCTACTTTAAGCAAACCAAGAGGCTTTCTTTTCAAGACTCCATCCTGTAAAAAGTGATATTTTTTATTGGAACCCAAGGATGGAAGTGTCACATTCGGTAGCCTCGATACGATAAAGGTTTGCTATCTTTGCCGAAAGTAACATTTTCGGGGGCTCTTCATTTTTTCGGCCTAGTTATGCAATATACTATATGACGCATGAGCAAATGGTTCATTAAAAAAGAAAAAAAATATTTGGAAAAAAGCCGACCAAAGGTCCGACCAATTTTTGAATTTTTTTAATATAAAAATCTAAATATCTAAATACTCTGGCTCCGACATTTCTCAAGTTTAAATAATTATTAAATTAATTGTTCCTAACTTTGTCAGTCCTGTTTTTATCTTAGTATAAAATAAGTTAAAAATCCTTTCATACGCTATCTCACTTGAGAAATTATATATAAAATATTTATTGATTATTGTAAGTAAATTATCTTAAAAAGTCCTTTCAAATAAAGGTTTGAGGTGCATCTATTATTTTAATAAATTCATAAAACATGTTTTATCTTGAAACTATGGAAACATTTTGTTATAGATAAAAGTTAAAAATAGTTGAGATGCTGAACGAAAGTAATAGATTGTTATGAAAAATTGAACTTAAATATTGCGATTGTCTACTTTATGATAGTTATATATGGTATAAAAAATACCTTGCGTGTCCCCGGGAATTTTGCTTGTCAACATGATGAGTTTTTTACATATATTTGTTTCTAGCTATGAAATAATATTTTTTATGACAAATCGAAAACAGACTAAACACATTTTAGAAACAGATTTAATACATCACTTGTAATAAAAATCGTCTACATGATTATAAATTATCAAACTTTTACTCTCGAAGTGTAACTAAATATTCATACACGAAACAGTAAACAAAGGAAAAAACCAACGGCTAATTAAATTTAAAAAAAATATAATCATTGAGAGTAAATCTTAACATCTAACGCCATACAACATTAAATATGTTCAACAGAATTATATATGAACACATAAAATTGAATCAGAAAACATATATTTGTGTAATTTAAATTGGATTAAAAAATAAAATTAGGATTTTTAACATCGTCTGCGATGGTATGAATAAATAAAACCTTATCCATAACAACTTAACACTGATTTTGTAATACGCATGTATGTCTGCTCATTTGGAGCTTTTCTCTTTTGTATATGATATCAATAATCTCGTTCAATAAATAATATTCTAATTTATCATAAGTAAGCATAATTTTATTTATTCAAAATTTAATAATTTTATCATTTACGTATTAGTTATTTCAGAGAACAAACATTTAAAAAATAAATTTTGAATAATTTGTGGCAAGAGGCAGAAATTTACAATTTTCGAAAGAATTTTTCTCGTGTACTTGATAAATTGCTTAAAAATTCCATTTACTTATTTTAATAGTGTTTATACTGTCTGGCCTACATGAACATTTTTTTTTTGAAAATATATTTCCAACTATAATAAACTTTTATAAACTATGATAAAATGACGGCTGTAATATTGCATAAAAAATGGTTTTAGAACAAATGCTCCTATGCCACGAGTTCTTATCTTAAACAGTGCCAAAATACGTAAGTCCAGTGCAATTAAAATACAAAAAATTTTAAACAAACACATCCTGAAAATTCCAAAATACAAATACGCAATTAAGTTCATACACGCCTCACAAGCTACACTTGTAATTCGTTCTCACTCAACAATTGGATCTACCTTTTACTCGTGTTGACATTTTTTTTTAATGAGACTTGCCACATACAGAAGACGGCTACGATACAGGTTCAATATACGTCAGTTCTTTGGTATCAGTATGAAACAGCTCACTATAGTTTTTCACGCTTTTTATAACGCTTCGGGCGGCTAGCACAAATTTCAGATTTTAAAAGTCAATGTTTTTTTGATTGTGTGATATTATAATTGTAGAGACACAAAACCAATCTATAAATCGAACTTAGCCGAAACGTTTGTGATAATCCTAGTGAAATAATTCGAGATCGTAGGTAACACTATTGCTAAAGAAGATGCCGTAACAGCTGATTACATCTGCTTATGATTTTGATCTTAAATCTAATTTTCGTGGTTTTTTTTTTGAAATTTTTTAATATTTTGTATTCATGTATTTTTGGTTTGTTTGTGTATTTGAAACTTATGTGTGTTGTAATTTTTTTTAACCTGGAACTTTTTTCAAATTTTCTTCCTAATGTATAAAAAATATAATTATATCAAATACATTATGACAAAGCTCGTCCTCACCTTGTAGAGGTGGGTAGACCCTTGAGACACATCAGCTTTGCACGACGATGCCGTCGACACTACCCAGGTTAATCTACTTACTTACGAACGCACAAAAACCCATCATTTTTTCTTATAAAATTAACTTACGAATAAAAATAATTAAAAATTCTTCGGAAACAACTACACATTTAAACAAAATAGCAGTATAAATTATTGATATTTACTGTAAAAATAGCTCTCGTAAAAACCACTGATATCACTAGAAGCCTTACAGAGTTTAAGCATCCATTAATGGCAATATTATACTTAAAATCATACACAAAATTCCCGCAGAATCGGCGTAGACTTAGCGTGAAATTAATGTAGATTTCTTTTACTTATTTTACGTGGATAATGCATCGATTCAGCGTTGATAAATTGTCGACGTTTACTTTGAAGTTCTCTCGATGGAAGTAAAATCCCTGCAGGTTTTTGAAAAATCGATATAGGCTTTTCCATTCGAAAAAATGTTCCAAGAGGGATGTCACCCAAAAGTCTCTTCTTTAGATATTTAGTATATTATGCGACAATTGCGTAAAGCAAATTACTTACCCAAGTAGCCTTTGCGCCCTCGTTACGTATATTACTATTTTCATAAGCTTTAAAGTTACCCATCATATATAATTTTTTTAAACATACATGTAAATTAGTTTCAAAATAACCAACAGCATTCACCATCAACTTATCGGAAAAGTGGTGTGAATTTGAGTGTTATTTATTGATTCAAAAAATCATCTCAAAATAAATCTCAATCTTTTGTACCTATTAATTTTATGTTCTAGGAATACCGAGGATAAGCTGTTCAGACCATCGGTAAGCTCGGAAAAATTTGGCTTTCCAAGCAATGATGAAAGCAAAGATAATATGGTTGATAACATGATGAATCTGGCAGAGCTTATATCGCCACGAAATAATCTTTATGAAGACGAAATAGGTAGAGTAAGTAAAGGTGTGTGTCGTTAATTTTTTACATGTTAATGTTCACTTGACTCGATAAAATTGAGATAAAAATGATAAACATCAACATTGATTTCTCTCGGAGAAAGTTCTGTGTGTGTCTGTGAATAATGTGTGCATGTGCGTGAGTTTTCTTTTCCCCCGTGAGCAAGTTAAACCTCGCGGTTAGTTTCCAAATATCATTAAACGTTCACCCTTTATCGGTTTGAAAAATACATCCCACATATTGCGGGTAGACGATTATAGATCAGGGACTCGTTTGAAAACTTCTTTTATCAATAATTGGAATTTTCTCATAGTTCTCTAAGCTCCGTATTTATCGGCCAAAGAAAAAAATACGGTAGATGACCGGTAGACCTCAACAGTTCGAAAATTACGAGAAATCAATGATTCATCAATTTTATTTTAATCAATCAAAAATACAGGTTGAAAGATCGTTCCTTTGTTTTTGAAGAATATCTTAGAATTATTCAAGGGTAAATTGTAGTAGTTTTTGAGTGAATAATGATTTTACAGTCATTTTCAGTAAAAGGTTTTTAGCTTTCTATTTTGACACATGTATTACCTATTGAATTTAAAAATGCAATAATTCGTTTGACGTAGATAAAAGTTACCACTAGTATGAAAATTTAGCAAAAAATAGCCACGAGTTTGACGGTTGTAACGATTTATGAGGCGACGAACCCTGCTTCATTTTTAATTTGAACTTGAGAAAAGTTGAGAAGAAAATGCCTTACGCACCTTCGGAAGTCGTTTTATATTTAATTACGCATACTGCCCTCAAAATTATGTTGGGTCACCTGGTACATAATAATGGAGCTATTTATGCTTAGAATTCGACAAAGAATGAAAAAAATTTTTTTTAAAACTTTCGAAAACTTCAAATTATTATTTTATTATTTCTTATTTTCAAAAGCCCAAATATGTCATTTTTATACAGATATTTAAAAAATTCTGAAAATTTTCATACACTTTTTTGGTCTAATTCTGAGATTTTTAGGTTTTTCAAATTTTTTTTCAAGACACCTATATAAAAAATAAAACAATTTAAAAAATGGCTTTTTAAGGCCCATTGGGTTGAACTAAAGGTGAAAGGCTTCATTATATGGTACCAGAAGAGCCTAAAAATATTTTGGCCACGACTCGTAGATCGGAGGTCGATTGGTCTCCATTTAAGTATATTATGAAACTTATCACTGATTTTCCATAAGTCTTTAATTTTAATATTACGATTTATTATTAAAAAAAAAACAAATACAAGACTTGTATTACAAGTGTTCTTTACTTTCTAATTATGTTATGGTCTCAGGAATGGACCGAACAGTATAGGGATCAACGTGACAGAATATTGATGTGAGCCTCCTAATTGTTCACAGCCAAGAAACGTCAAAGCACATCGGAAAGTCAAGCCAAGCCCGAAGAGAAGCACTGGCTTAGTCAACGACTCGTCGAGCAGTTACGCTGCAAGCTCCCACGCTCCCTTTCGTTGCCACTAGATTTCGATTTGCGCGACAGTTTATTCACGAGAGAACAGTCGACGAAATCCAAGTATCGTTTATTCGAATGGATGCCAAAGCGTCTTCTAGACAAGTTACTGAAAGCAAGTAAATGTAATAACATTCGGAAATTCTGCGACCACCGCTTCAGTATTAGTCTCCCAAATTTATGTCGCCCATATTCCAAATCGTTAACATCGAACGCGCATCGTAAATTAAGCAACGAAATTGATTCATTTTCCCACAAATCAATTAAGATTCCGCCAGCTGTCCTGAACGATCATTTATTTAAAAATCTTGATTTTAATAAGCACATTTGTGGGAGAAAAATTACTAATAACGAGCAAAAAATATTGAAAAGAAATATAAAGAAACTTTTGATGCTCGGTTATCGACACGGAGCCCATTTGGGATTATTGACAAGATCAAAATCGCAAGATTGTTCTGGCTCTAAATTGAGTAATCAGCCTTCTGCAATAATTGCACAATTGTTGCGCAGCCGAAGTCTCAATGATATTTCGAATAAAATCAAAATAAACTTTACCCCTTACTTTTCGCATCTCAACACTTTTGACAAAGCGAATGGTCAACAGATGCAAAAACGAAACGGAAAAAAGGTATCCGAATGTGGACCACTTAAATCATGTTTGAAACGTCCCAAAGCTTACAGTCATCTTAAACAGCCACGGATAAAAAATAAAGATAAAATCGCTGTTCCAGTAGTGGGAGGTTCATTGGATAATCAAATAAATAGCTCGTTGCCAGGTCAAGAATTGAAAGATCCACAACTGAATAGCAATCAAATACCAAATCATCATTCTAACGGCAAACCAATTTCAAATGGAACGAGAAAATCTTCCGGTGCATCTTCTAAAAAGCTACGCTCAGAACCGACTAAATCCGAAGTGAAATATAATTCAGAAAATTCAGAAGTTATTCCTAATGGGTCTCATAAACTTACTTTGAATAAAAGTGTCGAACCCAAGCAAAATACTCTTTCAAAGCCGATTGAGGGTTTTGATAAATATGACACAAACTGTCAAAGTTTAAAAACTGCTAAATCAGTGAATATTCCTGAAAAAGAAGTCAGTAAAAAGTTAATAATGGACCAATGTCAAAAGTGTAAAAAACGATTGATAGAAAATAATATCAAAACTGAAGATAAAAACAAACAGACACAGATAATTATCGAAAAGAACGCACGTGATCTGACTTCCACATCTAAAATGAAGCCAGATTTATTACCA